GTTTGAAATGTGTACAATTCTGATTTCTGCAATGGAGTTTTGCAATCTAAACATGAATACATTAAAGAAAATAAAGTTCAAATATGCATTCTGTTAGGAAAGTTGCTTGCAACAAAACAGGTATATTAGCCAAAAACATCTACAAAAATGCACGCATTGGAAGAAATATTCTCAAAAGGCTTATGAAACAATGTCCAAAATAAACCAAGCTTAAAATTGGAGAAATCCTCAGTGTTTCAGATGAGCCAAACTTGAGCTGGAAAATAAGAAACTGAGGAATATCAAAATCGACAGATTCTGTCAGTCTTACATGGACAGAAGGTAGATCTCCAGGTGTTTTGAACTCTGAGTCTCAGAAGCTCCAAGAAGCAAGGCTAATGGGTAGGAATCCTGGGAGCTGAAGTCTAAAACATCTAGAGAGCTACTCCCTGCCAACTTTTAAAAGAAATATCTCTCACATGTCATCTCCTCCAATCTTCCTAGAAACCTGGAAGCATCGCTGAATCATAGATTCATAGAATAGTAGAGTTGGAAGGGGCCATGAAGGCCATCTAGTCCAACCCCCTGCTGTTGCAGGACACCACGTCACACCATCCCACTCAGATGGCTGTCCAGTTTCACCTTGAATGCCTCCAGTGGGGGAGAGCCCCCCACCTCTCCAGGCAGCTGGTCCCACTGGCATATTGCTCTGACAGCAAGGAAACTCTTCCTGATGTCCAGCCTGAAGCTGGGTTGATGGAATGTTGTGGCCATCATGTCCTGCTTGTAGGGTGGGAAAAAGATGCCGCACTGACCAGACCTTTCACTGGATCCAGCAGAGCATCTGGCTGAGCACTGTATGACACAGGATTCTGCATTAGATGGGTCTGATCCAGCAGGCCTCAGTTACGCTGAAGCCAAGATCCAGAATTCCAACCTGATTCAGACTTATTTTCACAGGGATGTATTTACCTTTGGCAGGTTAGCTTCTGAAACTATGGTAACGATAGACTGCTTATGGAGAGAATTAACAATTTAGGAAACTCTTTGCAGTGACAAATTTAGCAGAAATGGTTATGGGATGTGGCCCCAGTGGATCCAGGAGGAGCAACATGGCCCCTCCCCATGGAAATTGCCTGGCCCTGATCTAGTGCTCTTCAGATTTTTGGACTACAGTTCCCCTCACCCCTGTCCATTGGTCATTCTATCTGGGCCTTATGGGAGTTGTAGTCCAAAACACCTGGAGGTCACCAGGTAATCTCTGGTCGATCAAAGGGGCTGATGTGAGAGTAACAAGTAGGAAGCCCACTCAGGAAGGGGAGCCAGCTAAGGATCTCTTGGCCATGCAGAGCTCACCAGAGAAGGAAGGAGTCCCGGTGGCAGGTGCAGGACCATCATTTTCTCTCGTTGAGACTAAATTGCCCCTGCAGTGGAACTTGTTCTTCCCTCTTGGTGGAACTGCTAAGATCTGCTCGCTTTCATTACTCACAGCGATGGGGCTGCTAAAAAGAAATGAAAGTATCATTAGCCAAGATGAATAGCTTCCACCCTTAATAAGTAATGCTTTACCTGACAATGGGCTGGATGGCCGCTTCAAGGCTGATTTTCATATCCAGCGGGTATGAGCAGTGAAAATTAATTTTGATTTCATTCTCTCTAATGACAGCCTCATCTCCCAGATAGAGTGTGTTGCTATATGCAGCTTGGGTTTCATTTTCTGAGGTGGAAAAGAAAGAAAGCCATTCAGCCCACCTGCCTCAGAAGAGTTACATGTGCGACTGCATTAAATGTTCTCAATTTGGGGTGCAAAAAACTCACCACTTCCACAGTTTTTGGCATTTTCTTCACAGACTTGGGCACATTTATTTAAAAGTATCTCTTTCTCCCTGACTACTAATCAAGGATCATGTAGCCTTTTGTGATTATGCTATGGCGTTATGGCAAGGGCAATTTAATGTAGCTTGCTGAAGACAGTGTAAAGTCAATCCAGAGTGAGGGCAATGTTCCTACCCTTCACTCTGAGTTGTCTTTGAGATTGCAAGATGCGATCAATCAGCTTCTGCCTGAAAACATTTGCAGGTATGTCCACCCTCCCCAAGAAAGGATCAAGTAAATCCAGGTGTGGCCTTTTCTTTAAATAAGGCAGCTACAACCAATTGTGTTCCATACTGACCAGCCTGAGTGGGAGTCACCACTGAGATCATCATCCGGTTCCCTTGTTCTTCAAAGCCAGCTCATCTCTGATATGGGACATATAGGACATGATTATATTCTGGAAGTCCGTGCTTTGCAGGATCCACGTTTCAGCAGAGATTTTAATTTCAGCTGCACACATTCCAGTCATGGAGTGCCAGACTAGAAATATCTTAATAAATAATAACATTAATATTCACCAAACCCTGGAAGATTCAGTGTGCTTGCCTATGTAACCCTTTCCAACAGCCCTATAGAGAAGGCCGGTTCTTGCTCTCAGTATGATTCCTACACTAAGTGCTTAGACAAGCAACATCTTATCTCAGGTAGGCCAGTATTATTAACATCCCAGCATGCTCTGGTGGAGGCTGAGAGGAAGAGGTTTGTAATCACTGCTAAGCTGAGTGTTAAATTAACTTGTTTGTGTAATTGTAACATGCAAATTCCAAGCTGCTGATGAAAAAAGAAGAAGAAGAAGAAGCAGTCATCCAGGCAATACTGCAATTTCATGACCAGGCAGACTGAAACAAAATTGGCTACGGATGTTTGTCTATTCGTCCATGAGAAATTGCAGAAGAAAAAGCAAGCCCCAGGTCATAGTCCTATTCAGGTGTGACCTGCAGTGGTCGTGGGTTCTGGCTGCTTGGGAGTCCACCCAATCCTTGCTGTGTTGGGGGTTCCAGTTTTCTATTTTTGCTTTTGAATGGATCAATCATTCTGTGGCTACTGACCATACCCAGTCAACGGTGGGTTGTTTGGGACGAGGGCTACTCCCTTAGGGAATTTTGAAAATACCTTTGGAGTATTTCTTCCCGGGGCACTTCAGTGTTTCACTTACACATGCAAATCATGTGATCCCATTCGCAACCCTGAATATAAATAGGAGCAGAAGTTCAAACACTCTAACTGTGTTCTCAGATTCCTGAATTTATTTGTTTGTTTATTTATTTAAAATGTTTGTATTCCATCAGCCCATGCTTTGGCATTTTCGGATGACTCACAATACATACAATTAAAAGCAATAAAATGATCTTTATAAATAACAAATTCAATAAAAGATTGCATAAGAACAAAAAACCAAAAACAAAAAGAGTGACTGTTCAACGATAAAATATTAGTTTTTAAAATAGCGATTAAATAAAAAGTTTTTAACCTAGCACCGAAAAGAATTTAAAACTCTCCAGGGAGAGGATTCCATAATCTGGAATTTGTGTTTGTTTCCAGATTCCATAATCTGGAATTTGTGTTTGTGCTTTTCATTTATTTATTCATTTATTTATTAAAAGCATTTCTATCCTGTCCCCAGAAACATCTTGGGATGGCTCATAATAAATAAGCAGAATAAAACAAAGCCCACAGCATCTGGCCATCGATATACTAAAACCCCAGCTAAAATCAATTTAAACATTAAAATAAAAAGGGGTTTGCCTGACGCCGAAAATTTCAATGAATTTTCTAAAAATGCACATGTTCCCCAGATGAAATGCACACTTTTCCCACCGGAGTGAAATGACAAAGAAGAAATGCAAACACAAGAAGATAAGGGCTTCAAAGAGGTGTTTGGTGAAGCTGCCTCTCTCATGGCTTTCCACCCAATCCCAGCCCTGATGCGCTGAATGCCACCTACCAGAGCCGTTCAACCCTGGGCTGCAGTGGAAACCCCATTTCCCAGCCTGTATTCCTCTTCCACAATATATTTGGGATGTCCACTTGGGATCTGGAAGATTGCCCCGAGAATGCTCAAAAGATGCCCACGACTGCAACATTATCCCTGACCTAAGGGCATCACCGCCCTTAGGCCGCCGGCCCCGGTCGCTGCCGGCGAGCTTAAGGCCGCGTGGCCCCTCCCCTGCGCCCCCCCTCGGCCCAGCGCGGCTCTCACCCATGCCGGAGGAGGGGGGCGGGAGCAGAGCCCGCGGCGCACTCGGCGGCCGGGTGGGGGGCCCACAGTCCAGCAGCGTCCCGGCTCCCGGTCCCATGATGGCACCGTCCGTCCCAGGGGCAGCGGAGTCCTCAGCAGGTGTCGAGGCGCCGGTCAGCCGCGGTGGCGGGTCTTATGGCGGTGGTGGTGGTGGGCCGTCCGTCCCTTCCCGAAATGTTGTGATCCTTCCAGGAAGCCTCATTCGGGCAGTAGAGAAATGAAGATCATTCTTCTTGTCATTCACAGCAGTTCAAAAGTATTATAGTGCAAGAACTCGGCTGATTTTCTGCTTCCTCTGAAGCTAATTCAACCACAAACATGGGTGTTGATATGAAGCAGTAACTCAAGATGTGAGATTTACCAGGAGAATAGGTTGGACCTGAGCTATTTTGGATAGGTTGGAATTCTTTCCAAGACCTGCTTGTGTCCACAATAAGATGGAAATAAAGAAAACCCATTAAGGGCAACCCAAGAAGTTGCTTCAGCGGTCAAGGAGCATCGTTGCCAAGCCAAATCAAACATGGTTATGGTGGCTGCTTAAGAAAACCGAAGAAAGGAAATGCATAAGCTAGATGATGACTGTGCTAAAAGAGGACGGTGCCTTGCATACAATTTACATGTGCTCATTTATATGCATAGATGCAAATTAGAAATAATTTTAAAAGCAATATAACTCACCCAAAGTGTGGAAGACAGACCAGGCCACCTGTAAGCTTGACTGTTCAGTCCCTTATTTGGGCGTTAGCTGGGAATGGACTACGATTCTTCTAAATCTTTATCTTTAAATCAGAATTGGACAGGGCTGTCTTCCAAGTAGAGAATGCTTTGAAAGTAGAAGACTCCAAAGAGAGGGCTGTCCTCTATAAAAGGACACAGGGCTATTCATACACCAACAAACTGAATCATTGAATTGGTTTGCTTTTTCTTTATTTTCACACTTAATTCCTTCCTAGATTCTCACAATTCAGTCAGAATTCTTGTACATCTGGAAGCCAGCCGTCCTCCTCCTTGGTGCAAGGAAAAACAAAATCCAGACCCCCTAAAGTTCTTCCTTTGCCACAGTTTTTTTCTCTTCCTTCATGAGGTCTTCTCCTTGTTTAGCCTTTGATAATGAGTCCTGTTAAAGAAACATTAAAAAAAGAGAGAAACAACCCAACTCATGCAGCAGCGACGCAGGGACACCATAGCAGTGAGCAGTGGAAGGACCAGGCTTATCGTACACCTTGGGACCTGACAAACTAGTGGTCTGAAAGATGCATGGACTTCCCACTGAAAGATGCACGACCTGACACCTGTTGCTCCTCAGGTACCAAGTGCTAATTTTCCAATGTATATTTTCATACTTTATGGAGTGAACTTTGGTGAGCTTTTTTTTAGTTTATTTTCTCCATTTGAAGGAAATAAAAAGGGCGTATGAGAAACAAGATGAAATGGGCATAGGGTGGTATTTGCAGAAAATGAAAGGTCACAAAAATAATTTATTTCCCCTTAATTAATACCCATGTTTGAACCAATTTTGTCTTTAAATGAACCTATCTAAATTATTTTTCCCTCTCAAAACATCAGATTTATAATCAGATTCTGTTATGCTTTCTGAATCAAGAACTTCACTTGAAGGTCTGGGAAGTATGAAAGTCAGTAGTCGGTTAAGCTCGTCTCTCCATCCAGAAAGTTTGGGACAGGTCAGCTCACGCTGGAATTGACCAGAACTGACTCCAGCTTGGACCTCCTTTCTTAGCTGTACTTTGGAAAGGCCATCTCTAAAGATCAAAAGCACCGCTCTTCATTTTCCTTACCTTAATCTGCTCTTCTAAGAATTTTGCAAAAGCATCCAGTTTGTATTCCCCTTTGTATGGGATGACCTGAAAGGAAGAGGGAATTTTGTGAGATGCAAAGCCTGGAAGTATTGCGGTCTCGTCATAAATGGGCCAACTCTGTACATAATGTAAAAACATAAGAAGAGCTATGCTCTCCAGGCATTTTGCACACGCAGTAGCCAAGCCAAGGGGAAACGCTTTCAAGTCTGGCCGCCGTCACAGCCTCGTATAATAGCAAATTCCACTCCACCGCTCTGTGCTGTAACGTAAACATTCATTTTCTTTCTCCAAGATCCCCCAGCATTTAGTTTCATGGGGTTATCCTGGATTCTGCTTTCTCCCCACCATGCATAATTTTGGAAGCTTTCATTGTCTCCTCCCTTCCTTGCCCTTTTTCCTAAGCTAATTCAGCCCCAAATTTGCCACCTTTCCATGTTTCCTCCACATCACCAGCAGGAGAACAGCTTGTACAGATGCATTTAACTTAGCCCACAAAACTGATTATTTGTCCTTGGCCCAAGTTCTGGGTTACCTTGATCCATTGCTTTAAATATATGACTGCAGTTGCAGTTAAGAGACATCTGTTATTTAGATTCTTATCCAACCTGCCCCCAAAGAGCTCAATGTGGCAATTATTTAAAAACATGGGAGAACTGGGAGAGCTTTGGTTTACATCACCGTTCCAAGATGCAACTTAAACTGAGGGAATTTGCCCCCCCCCCCCCAATTATGGTGTTTCGGCCAATGGATCATGGTAAGAACACAAGGGCAAGAACCATGGTGAGCTGTTTTCTACTGAGCCAAGCCTTTGGTCCATCTAGCCTGATTGTACCGCCACCGGTTGGCAGAGTCTCCCCACAGTTCCAGGCAGGAGTTCCTCCAGCCCTACCTGGAGAAGCTGGGGACTGACCTGAGAAAGCAAGTGCTGAATGACGGAGCCACAGCCATGGCTGCGGTGGGTGGGACCTTCCTCCCTGGGTATGTCCAAGGAGAGGCTGGCCATGGACAGCCACCAGCTGAGGTTGCTTATTGCTGCTCCACTGAGCAAGAGACTGGACCAGGCGGCCTACAGGTGTCACTCCAATCCTAGGAAAGCCAGTGTGGCTACAGTGTTGGATTCAGGCTCAGGAAATCCAGGTGGCCATGAAGAACCACTTCTGGGTGTCTCTGGGCCAGATACTGAGCGTCCACCAAACCCACTTGACTGAGTTCTCATGAGAATAGAACAGAGAGGTGGAAGGCCTCTCTGGTTGCCTCAGGTTCCTTGCTAAAGGAAAAAAGCTGGGATATAAATGTCCTAATAAATAAATAACACCATAAATAAATACCTTGTATGAGTGAGAGAGAGCTGGGAACACATCACAGCGACAATTGCTAGTCTTTTCCCTGTACGGTGTTGCATTGTAGTGTTTTACCCTTTGCTAGACATTAACAATATGTCAAGAGCGATGCCGCCCCCCCCCCCCCCCCAGAAGCAATCAGCAAAGATTCCAATTTCTCAGCGAATGCCTATTTGTGCTGCCCAAATGCACAGTGCGGTTCATTAGAATCTGGGCATGTCCACCAGTGACAGGGGGTTTGCTTAAGAGATTAAAGGAGGACAAATGTCATTGAATGTAATTTATATGCAGGAAATATGGGGAAAAATGAAACGCTGAGTAATGTCTTAATTATAAAAAAGTACCATTCCATTGAATTACTTGGCTCCAAAGGTGATGTCCTGACTTCAGTTAGATTACCCTCACCTTAACCCTATTCCAATGTTTTAGGAAAGCAGAAGAGAGGAGGAAATGGGCAGCAGCAGCTGATGGATCCAATGTCATTGGAGCTGCATCATTCTGAACTTTCAGTGTGCTCTCCGTGGTGCTGAACCTACCTGAGATGGGGTTCAGAGCTGTGGGGAAACCCTTAAAAGTTCAGACTGAAACCAAGATTGGCTACGCTACCCCACTGATATTGGGCCCCCCTGCCTCCGTTGGCAGGGGGGGCAAAGTACCACAGTTTCTGCTGCACCCCGACTTGTTTGAGTAAGCACCCCAAGCATCCTTCTGTCACTACAGTGAAGCAGTGGATCAAAGCAAGTCACTGTCTCATTTATCCAACATAATTTGGGGGATCCATGCTAGACTCCGAGATCAAGGCTTTCCACATTGATCCATGGCCACAGTTCAACTGAGTACCAGTTCCCTGTACTAGTTTTGTTGTTGGTGTTAGTTGCGAAATCGTGTCCGACCCATCGCGACCCCATGGACAACATTCCTCCAGGCCTTCCTGTCCTCCACCCCCTGCCCCTGGAGTCCACCTAAGCTCATGCCGACTGCTTCCGTGACTCCATCCAGCCACCTCATCCTCTGCCGTCTCCTTTTTCTTTTGCCATCTATTGTTCCCAGCATTAGGCTCTTCTCCAGGTAGTCCTTCCTTCTCATCAGGTGGCCGAAGTATTTGCCCTGCCAACTCCCCTTAGAGTGGGGGCAACAAAACCTTAGACCCACGGGCCAAATCAGACCTGCCTGATTTCCAGAGCTGTCCTTTGGGCTTCCCCAAATCACTAAGCTCTCCACCCTTTTCTTCTCCTCCATTCACAGTGTTAGCTGGGAAGCCACCCATGAAGGAGACCGTGATGATCTGGGCGACCTCCGTCTAAGGAGCAGTTCCAGTCTGAACCATGCTGGTACCCCGGTCCCATCCCTTTTGCTAATGCTCCACCCATGACTGAGACTGACGGTGGCCTTCTGACTGAAGCAGATGCAGCAGCCCTGCCTGAAACAGTTCAAGGAGCAACTGATGGGATAGACGTCTACTTGACACCCTGCAGAGATGCTGCCTCTTGGAGAGAGCCAGATGTCCCCAGCATGGTGCCCTCGGATGTGTTGTGCTTCCACTCCCACCAGGTCACACTGAATGGTCTGAATAACATGAGGCAGCCACCTCAGGGAAGCTAAGCAAGCCTGGATCTGATCCATGCTAGGAAGGGAGACCACTTGGGAACCTCAGGTGGCCACCTTGAGTTCCACGATGGATGGAAATTGGGATAAAAACTAATGAGCTCATCCATTCCAGGCAACGTGGTCATTGAGGAGCAACATCTCTGGATGGCATTAGGGTGGATGAAGCTGACCGAGACCGTAGATGCCACTTTCCATCTGTTACATGTTCAAAGACAGTGCTGAGCCCTAGTTAGACTGTTCTGCCTCTCAAAGCCGCCCTTGCTCTGCCTCTCATTCATCCCAAAGCAGAGCTGAGCACGTCTAACCCTAGCTGACTGGATTGTTCCCTCACCCCAGAGGTAGCATGCTCCCTTGAGCATCTCACCAGTATAGGAAGGGACCTGGTCAGCAATGGAGCTGAAATCACATGGAGAAAGACAGGCACAGCCCTGTGAAACGGGTAGCTTTTTATGGTTTTTGCTCACATACTGCCAGGCACCACTCTGGACATGCAAGAAACTTCCCAGGCAGGGTTAGAATTGTTGGAGAAACCCACAACCCAAATTAGTTTATATTTCTATGAGTCTGATCCACGGATTCCATGAGAGATCTGTTTTCCCTGAGCCACACAAATTCCCCAGACATGCAGACCAGCTGTCTGTCATTTGATGCAACTTCAGTCAGAGAAAAAGATTAAAGATTTAAAAAGACCGACCAAATGTGCATTTCCTCTTTAGGCTATGGTGGAAAGCCATACTTTCTACTTGGATTTGTGCATTTTGCATAGACTTGCACATTTTCAGAAATCAATTTTGTACAAATGCGAATGAACCCATGTGTTCAGAGTCTGATGCTCTGGATGAGTAAATGATGGCAGAGAAGGCCACCCAATGACACACAACATAGAGAGAATGGACAGAGTACTACAGCATCCATAAATCCCCAGCTGTCTTTCTGAATTTGCCTTTCTGATTCTGAAACCTCCGTGCTTGCTAGCTACCAAAATACCTTCTTCATCACATTGGCTCTACTGCCCACTTCCACTTTTTCTCAACTGAAAGTATCTCACCTCAGTTTCAGATCCTGCAGGAAAATACCTGAAGAATGGGTAGCGTTCCAGGTTGACCAGCAGAATGTCATTCGCCGTGTAGTCTATTTTGGCGATGACGACTTTTTCACGGCTTTCAAACATCTTGCCAAGTTCATCCCATACTGGTAAGAGTTCCTGGCATTCTTGAGACCAAGGTGCATCTGTAATTGGAATAATGACAATCGCAATGGCAATAACGACGACAACATGCAAGAGGAATTCAACTTTAGGAGTCTACTTTCCACAGGTATGAGCGATACTTACAGAACATTACGAATACGTGGTTCTTCTCATTAAAGGCAACCCTGTCAAAGTTTTTCCCAACAAGAACTTTGACAGGCTCCTTATCCCAGCCTTCTTGGATTTCCTCACTGGGATGATGTTGCTAAGAAAAAAAAGATAAGAAATTAATGAGGGGTGGCAACAGCTGGAGCTCACTGAAGATGCCATGGTGCGGTGCTGAAGTGGCTGTCCGTGCTCGAATTGTGGTGCTGGAGGAGACTCCTGCGAGTCCCTTGGACCACAAGGCGATCAAACCGGTCAGTCCTAGAGGAGATCGACCCTGACTGCTCTTTAGAAAGCCAGATCCTGAAGATGAAACTCAAATACTTTGGCCTCCTAATGAGAAGGAAGGGCTCCCTGGAGAAGACCCTGATGCTGGGCACAATAGATGGCAAAAGAAAAAGGGGGTGGCAGAGGATGAGGTGGCTGGATGGAGTCACTGAAGCAGCTGGCATGAGCTTAGGTGGACTCCGGGGGATGGTGGAGGGCAGGAAGGCCAGGAGGAAGGTTGTCCATGGAGTTGCGATGGGTCGGGCACGACTTCCAGACTAGCAACAACAACAATCTTGTCCTGTGGACCTTCTGTTCCCCAGACTAATCATATACTGTTCTCCAGACCAATCATACACTTTCAAATAGCTCAGCATATAGGATTTTTTAAAAAGGAACTCCCAAAATGCCATGGGATAAAAATCCGCTCTCTTTCAGTTCCATACCTTTGCTTTTCCTTCTAAGTAGCTCTGGCAGAAGCCTCGTACATCCTCTGGGGTCACATCATCTGCAGGCATCTTGTACCTGGCATCACTTGTCAGGTTTAGGATTTGCACCGCTGGGATTTCCACCTCCGTGACACGGAAGTACTCAATCACACGGCCATTTCTGCTTTCATCAGTGTCCACAAAGATGAACATGATCTGAGGGACAGAAGAAGTGGTAGAGATTCCACCCCATTGGCATCCCAGAAAGGTCTTCCCCCAATTTGAGGCCTTCCAAATGTTTTGGACTACATCTCCCATCAGTCCCCATTACTGGCTATGTTGGCTGAGGGGAATTGTAATCCAAACAACTGAATAAGGCTGTCCTGGAAGGTGTCTTAGGACACCAGGGTGGCCAAATTAAAGAGGACGGTCCTCTACTTAAAGCAGCTGAATAGTCCAAATGCCGTTTCAAGAACAAAAACCCTAAAAGAGCCTTAAAAAAAGAGTTCCCATCAGCAGTTAGTACCTGGACAATAGAATGAGCAATATTGCAATTTGGGGCTGCAATAAATGGATCACTGAGTTCGGGTCCCATCAACTGTTAGCTGCTCTCCTCCCACCCTCCTCCGCTAATGCAAGTTGCATTTTCGGAACTTGCAGCAAAGACACATCAAAGAACACAGCTGGCTTGGCCTGTGTGCATCCCTCCTCATACGTGGAAGTGCCCATAATAAAATATTTTAAAACTGCAAGCTAGCCAAAGCAGAAGGGCTGGTATTTTCCATAAGCACCTCTAATCCATTACATGTACTCTGAAAAATTCCAATACAGGAATGCAATATACAAAAGAGAAGGTGGCACTGACAATTCCATCCAACTCTGATTCTCAGAAGGAGGGGAAAAACTTTAACTGGTCTCTGAATGACCCATGAACCCCATTCAGCTGCATTAATTGAGATAGAAAAACAAAAAAAGACTTCTTGTTCCCAAATTGTGCAGTGCAAAAGTGAAGCCCTTGTTTTCGCAAAGCACACCTTTCTTGGCAGCTTCTCTCCATTTAGCCTTGTCTCCTGTGACAGTATAATTTGTGACAACATAATATAAATTTGGTAGCCATCGATGCAATGGTTCATGGCACTATATCCATAAATGTTAGAAACCTAAACTGTTTTCCAAAACAGGAAAATCCAACTTTTCTTCCATAAGACTCCACCAACCTTCCCTCTGAATTCCACAGCTGCAGATGTATAATTTTCATAAGCCTCACCAAACGCGCCTGAGCTCTTGGGCATGAACAGAACGATGTGATTTTCAATGGGTATATCAAAAATCTTCACAGATGTCTGCAAAACAAAAACAACCATGCCCCCACAGGGGTTGTCTAAGAAAGGACCAGAATCCAGAAGAGAAAAGTCTTCCAGAAATGGGGAGGGCTTTCAATCCTTTTCAGATGGCTAAAGAGGAGACAAACTCCCACATAATTTATGCCCCTATTTCAAGATGACAAATTTTCATAGAGGGCAGGAAAATAATCTAGCAATCCAAGGCCAGGGAAAGTGTGGACGTAACTTCCTTCCTTTTTCTTCCTTCCTGGAAGACTTGGGCACCACTGCTGCCTTTTCAGGGGAGCCAGAAATCTGAGCGCTGAGCGCTGCTAGATTTTCCCTCTCACCCTCCCCGAAATTGGGAAGGGAAATGTTTGCGAAACCATCGTTTTTTCACTAAAGTTAGTTCTCAAATACACTTGCCGTTAAATAAAGCTTGCCGTGTACTTGCCATGTAGTAAAGCTGCAATGTATTAGGGATATACTGGGATACTCATTGCCTTCTTCCCCTGACGGGGTGAAAAGGAGCTGGAAAGGTGAAGAGCTTGTTTGGTGGTGACACCCTGTCTTTGGAATGAGCTCCTCAAAGAGGTATCCCCAGGACCGACTCTTTTTTCTTTTAGGCACCAGATGAAAAGCTTTTTACTCACCAGGTATTTTAATAATTGAAAGGTTTTTACTTTGGGTTTAAAATTGTACCATGCATTAATTCTTATGGTTTTCTTTTCATTCTTTTGGCTATTGGGTGGTACACAAGTGCAATAAATAAATCAACTGGAATATTAATATGGGAATAAATTGCATATTATTGGAGACTGGCAATAATAGGCTCCCCCGCATTTTCAGGGTATAGTATCAAAGACAAGGAATAGGACAATGTTGTCCCATTTTTAACAGTGTCAACCTGATTTTCAGACTAAGCCCAACCAAAAAATCACTTAAAAGATACCAGCCTATAAACAAAATTTTTCCTCTGCCCTCCCCATCCCTTTTTCCTTGTGTGCTATGTCTCTTTCAGGTTGTTACCTTATGGGCAGGGACTGTCTTGATTTACTGAATACAAGTCAACCATGTTGGAAGACTTTCTGTTTGAGGAATGGAAAAAATTACATAAAATAAAATATTATGATGTCAAAAATGACCTAGGATTATAGAATTTCAGGTAGGGCTTGCCTCAGATCAGCCCCAGACCTTAGAGCTGGTGCCAAAGATAGTGAAAAGGAGTGTCAAAAAATATCACACTCACACACACCTTTCTCCAGCTGGTTTGAACCTTTGTACTGCTCATTTTAGATATTAAGCCCCAAACATACCTCAAGGTTATACTCTGTGACTAAATCCATAGTAAATGTTTTTATTAATCTGATAAGGTCCATTTTATTCAGTTTGCCTTCTTGGGATGCTTCACTGTGAACAGGTTTTCCCTTAAACACAAGAAAAGTTTGATTTAACAGTAAAATCCACCACCACCACCATTCTCTTCATCTATACAGGGGAGATATCATTTTATTCAGTTATGTACAATCCAGGCTTGTTCAGACAAGGAAAAGTCCCACCAGTACCAAAAGAGGCATGCTGGCCGTTGCGGGACTTCTCTTTCTCCAAACACTGGATTTTATCTTTAGAGCAATGATCTAAGTGAGCTTTAAAATGAATTTGGCAGACCCTCTGGGCACAGTCTTAACATCCCCAGTATTTGGATTTCCCTTTTATTTTGTTTTTTTAATTTTTAAAAAAGGTACAAATACAAATACTGAAAGTTGTACAATAAAATAAAAACACAAAATACATACATTATGCAAAATTATATATAAATAAATTTATATATTTTAAAAAGTCACTCTTAGTGCACCCATCCACTTGCACCATGACTCCCTAGTATTTTTTTTTTCCTTTCATTTTTCCACTCTTTCAAAAATGCCCCCTTCCATCCAAAATTGCAATACATCCATTGCAGGTTTATTACCCTTCTAATATTTGGGCTTCCCTGGCTGAGCACTGAGAAGCATCAGGTGGCTGGATCTAGCCACACCTCTGATTTCCCATCATGCCCTTGTGTTAGCAGCACTCTGGAGCATTATGGGGAAAATGGGGCAGCTAGACAACCCAACAGAGTTGGAGTGGGCCTCAACTGACCAGGAGGCAAATGCTGGGACCCCCCAGGACTGCCTTTGCTTACTTCCTCATCCTCCCTTTCCTCAGTTTGAATGTTCTATATTCATGGGATAACAGGCCAGGCATGTGGTTTCACACAGGTGCGCATTTTATGGCTTCCTTTCAGACTGCTGCAAATGTGGGGCTTCTCCCAAGCTTGCCAATGCCTCCTTCCTGGGCGGAGACGATGCTGTTGGATCAGCCCTCAAGGGGCTGAGACCATTCCTGGCACGGAGGATGGTAAGCATGTCCATACCTTTTGGAATATCACGACCGTGTCTTCTCTGATGCGAAACTTTGCGAAAAGCTCTCCACTGGCTGTGACCCCAAAAGGGAGCTCGGGAACATCTCTTGAAATATCATAGAAAACCTCCACTGGTCCACCTTGAAGTCTCTGATGAGGAGGAGGGGGAAGGGGAAGGGGAGGTTGTATATTAGAGGTAAAGGTAAAGGTTTCCCCTTGACATCAAGTCCAGTCATGCCTGACTCTCGGGGGCGGTGCTCCTCTCCGTTTCCTGGCCGAGGGAGCCAGCGCTTGTCTGCAGACAGTCTCCATGGTCATGTGGCCGGCGTGACTAAACACCAAAGTGCACGGAACACCGTTACCTGCTCACCGAAGTGGTACCTTTTCATCTACTTGCATTCGCATGCTTTCGAACTGCAAGAACAGCAGGAGCTGGGACAGAGCAATGGAAACTCACTCCATTGTGCAGATTCGAACCGGCGACCTTTCAGTCAACCAGCTCAGCGGTTTAACCCACTGCGCCACCTGCATCCCTCCTAGCTAGAATAGCCAATGGTAAAAAATGGTGGGAGGGAAGAACACACATTCCCGACATAGATGTGGGATAATTCTTGCCGCTTTCCTTGAATATCATTAATCCAAAGAGCGCCTCTACCCAAGCCTTTAAAACAGCAAGGGAAAGGCTGTGGCCTTCTATGGCAACAGAAACAATGGATCAAATTGGATCAGTAACGGATTAAGGTAAACGTAAAGGTTTCCCCTTGACATTAAGTCCAGTCATGCCTGACTCTCGGGGGCGGTGCTCATCTCCGTTTCCTGGCCGAGGGAGCCAGCGTTTGTCCGCAGACGGTCTCCGTGGTCATGTGGCTGGCATGACTAAACACCGAAGTGCACGGAGCGCCGTTACCTGCCCACCGAAGTGGTACCTTTTCATCTACTTGCATTTGCATGCTTTCGAACTGCAAGGTTGGCAGGAGCTGCGACGGAGCAACGGGAACTCACCCCGTTGTGCAGATTTGAGCCGGCGACCTTTCGATCTACCAGCCCAAACACTCAGCAGTTTCACCCACTTCGCCACCCGTGTCCCAGTGGGTTAGAAAGCGTGATGCTAATAAGTGGCCTTCAGACAAATGTAATAAATAAAATACATTAGCACCATACCAGGCTGCAATGAGCAAAGCCTCTCCCAATGTTTCCCCAAACGGGTGGCCTGCAGATGTTTTGGGCTGCATCTTCCAAGACAATCGACCATGCTGGCAGAAGGTGAAGCTCCAAACTTCTGGAAGGTACCAAGTTGAGGAAGTGAGGCCTGAGTCTGGGCTGGGTGGTGGGGAATACCACAAAAGATGCGATGGAGACCACAGCCCTGTCCACGCTTTCCATTTATTTATTTGTTTATCTATCTATCTATCTATCTATTTATTTATTTAGAATTTTCTCCTGGGTTCCCAACCCAGCATCTTGGGCTTGGAGTCCACTTTGGGGTTACATCACATTGGCCTCATTCCAACTTCATCATGTGAGTAATTTATGAGTATTGCTCGTAAGATCTTAATGCCCCTGCTGCTCTCTGACGTCGAAGCAACAGAAGAGTAAATATGGCTGCACAGAGGAGGGGAACTTTAAAATGGAGAAATTAACCAAGGAAAGATGAAGGTTCCTTCCAACATTCTCTGCATCCAAAATTCCCCTCAAATATCAGGGATCTGAACTGCCTGCTGTTGCTTCCAAAGAAGAAACAGAATAATTAGGAACACTGTTGTTCTGTTTTATTCTGCATTGCGAATGACCTTTTCTCTGCAGAGAACTGAAAACACCTGGATGCTAGTACTTCAGAGCAAGCGACTCCCCAGGGAGTTTGTCTTATCCGTCCCATGCTCTGTTTCATAACTTCCAAAGCATGTGCTCCAAGCTTTTAGAGATCATATGCTGCATCATCAAAGACGCCCTCTGCTTGAAACCATTCTTGCTTCTTACTCTGACCAATCCTAAGGGACCAATCCAATGGTCCCCTATGCACTGACTGAGGGATCATAGGATTTTTGGATTCCCAGCTCCACAGAGCTGATTTCCCTTACACACACACACACACACACACACACAGCCCCTCACCGCCAGCACAGAAAGAATCTCACTGGCTGCTCTCCAAGGTCAGGACAGTGACTTTGGAGAGGGGCGGAAGGAGGTGTTTTGAGGAAGGAAGCAGCCTGGGGCAGCCAAGATGCCATCTAGCCTGATATCTTTCCAACTTCCTTCTCTCCCCCTCCAAAATGCTCTAGCTGGATGGCTTAAAAAGTCAGATGAAAAAGCAGAGTGGAGGCATGGAGAGGCAAGGATTCTGCCTGTACTCGGCAGCTCCTTCTGCTCTGCATTGGATGGGTGCGAGGCCGCAAGTTTACAGAGATCCAGATTGGGCAGCATTCCGGATTCAGCTGCATTCCGGATTAGGCTGCATTCCAATTCAGTTCCAGGGAAGAATCTTTTCTCTCCTCTCACCCCAACCTGCTTTTCGTCTCCTGCCTGGATGCTATGACACCTCTGGAGGGGTTTGGGAAATTACAAAAATGCTATTTTTCCAGGGCCTGCTATCCTGACCTGGAATGGAGCAGAGGAAGGAATGGGGAAAGAAAGGGAGAGACTGAGCATTAAGAATAGCTAGGGGTGTTTGTTGGAATTTGTCTTGCATCAAACTGTGGATTCTCTTGTGCAACACAGCTCAAGAGGAGCTCAGAATTGCCTGCCTTATGTTCAGATTTTCATTTTCTTTCTTAAACAGCTTGGTTTGCCAACCCAAGATCCAAATCAAGCTGGGCTGGGGAGGGAACTCTCCCATCACTCATCCCACTGTGGCAGGAAAGCCATTTCAATGCTCCGAGTGGCTTACCTTGAAAAACCCCATCACAACCAGATCTTCAAGGCCTATGAAGGTCATGGCCTGGTCTGTACCATTAATAAGCACAGTGCTGGGTCCTATTCTTCTTCGAATCCATGTGATGAATGCAGAGGCCTCCCTAACTCCTGCAAAAATGAAATAAAATAAAAGACGATAGAAGGGATGGGTGTCATACATCCCTTCTATTCATAGAAGTGGTACCCGGACTCTGGCATTTGCTCACCAGGGCGTTGACTTTGCTTTCTTTCAGACACTGGGTAAAAACCTTTGTTGTTCCAACACGCTTTTGGTTATTTTAATTATACCTTCTTATTGATCATTTATTGGTTTAATTGGTTTATAATTTAATTGGTCATGATCATTTATTGGTTTAATTGGTCATGTTGTGTATGGTTTTATATAATTGTGATTATAGGAGATGGTTTAATAATTTACTAATTTTATCGCTTTTAGTCATTTTTATCTGTTTTATTGATTGTATTAATATGCTACTTTCAGCTTTTGTAAGCCACCAGGTGAACCCTCAGGCTATGGGGCAGAATAGAAGTAGACATAAATAAATACCTAAATAAATTAAACAGAACCGCCACTCATGTTCTGCATTCACATGTGACTGAGAACAAGGGTTGGCTGGATCACCTCTCTCCCAATAGGGGGCCATTGGAGCTGCAGTGGCTTATTTCCTCCACCATGTGAGCCAGCTGCATCCCTCAATGGCATCGCTTGCCATGGCAACCAAATCAGGGTACCACAACATGAGTGATGGGGCAGCAACTTTAACAGCAGCTCGTGGGGACCTATCAGGTCCCTGTGTGCTTCAGTGCCCCCTGCCTGTCACTCTGGAGGTTCTGCCTACAGCATTAATGTTTTCAGCCAGGAAGCATTTGCATGAGCTCCCTCTGTGCCGATTGGATGCTCTTCGATGCGCCGCTGCCTGGAATCTCACAGTCGCCACATGGCTGTTAAGTATCTGATTTTCATATGTGCCTTTGAAAACTCCCTAGGTAATTGGCAGTGTTGCCAATTAGCCACCTAATCACCGGCTTTCACATATGTTCTTTCAGGTCAGTCCACTCTCCCTTCAAAATCTTGAAAGGGCACAAAGCCTCACGATTGCCAGGGAATCTCAGGAAAACACCGTCTAGCCCCAGCGCAAGGTATCAACTGACAATTTAATCCAGAATGACTTTTGGGACCAGTCCACAGTTTATTGAGCAGCTTGCTTAATTAAATTAGATGTCAGAAATGAAGCTGTGTGTGTGTTTCTGCTGAAGAAAAGGCTTAATAGAAAGGTGCTGAGGTGTACTACACAACCAAATGGGTGCCATAGCTGAGGTTTTCTATTTGGACCTGGGAAAGGATCAAAGCCCAAAGTATAAAAAAAGAAAACAAATTTTGTAGGCAGCCTGATTTAAATACAAATATACCATTCCTGTTTCTGAGCTTGCAAGGTGATTTGCACCCCCCAAAATAAATAATAAGTTGGACAAATGCATACATTAGGAAAATGTACATGAAAAAAGTTTGAAAAATGCATGCAAATGTGCTTTAATCCATGGAAGAAATTTGCCTGCTTTAATGCATACTTTCTGAGAACTATGCATTAAAACATGCATGGCTTTTGGGGCCAAAAAGTGCAGAGGGGCAGGAGACAAAACTTGCCATCTGATATAGACTTGGGTCAGAACAAACTATGGGATGGAATTTGGACTACTCCAATTTGCTCAAGTGTGGCAAAGCATCTTCTGGCGCCAGGCTAAATTCTTTTTATTTTCCCAATATTTTAAGGTTTGATTGTCATTTTAACTTGGGTTTTATTGCTAGAAATCAATTAGCATGCCACATTTCATTTTGTTTTATTCTGCTTTACTGTCAAACTGTTTTATTCTGCTTTACTATCAAGCTGTCCCGAGACCTCGGTAGTGGACTTTTCATTTTAAAAGTTTTAAATAAAATAAGTAAATAAACCTGCCCACAGGATCCCTCGAGCAGGAGGGGTGCAAGACCTCCACCTGCCCAAGCTCCTCAGCAACTGGTGTGTGCAGGCAGGTGACCAGGTCAAGGAGGGAGCACGTGGCCAGCAAGGCTAGTAGCCATTGGTAGCCTCCTCCTCCTCCTCCTCCTCCTCCTCTGGGACTATGGAACCTTCCATGCATTCCGCCAGAGGCAAAAAAGCAGGATAGAAATGCAGTGTAATAAGAGGAGGAGGAGATGGTGGTGGAGGAGGAGGAATGTGTTACACCAGGTCACTTGGGCTGCTTTAGAAGAGAGTTACAGACGTACATGATAGAGAATGAGGCCACCGACGGCTACTAGCCATGCTGACTGTATATCACCCCCAGTCCGCTGGGGAACAGAGGCAGGAGGCTGCGCTCATGCTCCTGTCTGACTTGTGGCCTCTTAGAGCTTAGGAGAACAAGGCACTGGACTAGAGAGGCCGGTGCTCGGATCTAGCAGGGCCCTGCTTCTGTTCTTCGGCTGCACTTCCACTGAGACGGGATGTTTTATTTCCTGCACAAAGCATATGCAAACTGGATCCCAACCTGCCCCTTTTGTCCTTTTGCTGCGGGGCACCGAGATCCATAAGCAAGCAGGCACCCAGGGGAAACGCACCTTTCCCCCCCTCGGACTCTGCAGTGCTAAGCATCCTAGTTGGATCTGCTCTCTGCTGAAGTTCTTGTTCCATGAGCTGCCTGGGAGTGAGACACCAGCTCCCCCTTGTGAGCATATGCGATGTTGGAGCACCTGCCACAGAGCGTTCGTTTACCTTTGCAGTCAACGGGATTCTTCCGATCGCCATCCACAAAAAACTTCAGAGTGGGATATTCTTGGATGTTGAATTCCTTTCTCAAGTCCTTCTGCTCTGTCACATCCACTTTGCCAAACCGAATCTCCACCGCTTCCTCTTTAAGCTGCTTTGCTGCCTTAGCAAATTCCACAACTAAACTCTGAGAAGGCCCAGACAAAGCAACATCTGGAAAGAAGCCAGCATGGAGAAACATGATTGTGTATCCGTCACTGGTGCGACTCCAAACAGGTGTAGCAAGACTCATGCTTCCAAGAGTGTTCTCCAACCTGGAAGCTTTGGTTTTCAGCTCCCATCAGCCCCAGCCAGTGGTTTGGGCATATACAAGGATTTCATTTCAGTGCATAAAATGTTCAGACGTGTCCCTTTCACTGTCCTGAATTTGCATGTGTTTTTGGAGAAGATTGCCCTGCATTTCCAGAATTGTGCCTTTTCACACCTTAATGAATGGGATAAGTGTACCTTTTGAGTGTGCTCTTTAACAAATGTGTGATTGTTCTTCTAGGTCTATTGATGCTAACTGCTGCGCTAAAAGAAAAGGAAAGCTTAGTGACCTGACACTTTGCACTTAGGTTTGGTTTTAAACTGACTATTTTAATATGATTTTATCGCCACGTGAATGCCTGTTTCTTATTATTTGTATTGCTTGATTTGTATTGATTTATCATTTGTAGTTGTATTGATTCCCTTCATTCTTATTTTTAATATAATGCAATATAATGTAAGCTGCCCAGAGAGTGTCACAAATACGGAGTGCAGCATACAAATGCAACAAATTCATCATCACCATCGTCATCAAATATGTCATTTCCCCAGGCAAAAAACACACAAAGACATGTTCAGAATTGTACCCTGGGTTTCAGGGAGGAATTCAAAAGACGCTGCAGATCATGAATTTCAGATGCTCACTTATCCCTGACATCTTGGGAGCTGCCACTCAAACAAAAATTCTGGGTGGCACCAACAGGTGTCCTCTTCACACCCTTCAGCACTTTCTGCGCTTGCCAGGAGTTCTTTCTTCCACAGCCCCCTCATTGATGGCATCAGTTTTCTTTTTGTTCCCTGAACTTGTGTTGGCCCCCTTGCAGACCCCCTCCAGGACGTGCAATTCAGCCTCCATTCCTCTGTCTTCTTTTTCTCAGCTCCTGAAAGTCTCTTAAATTCAGCAAGCTTTCCTTGGCTGACCAGCCACCGTTTTTATTGATTCTATTGCAACACATTGTTTTATTCTTTTTATCTTTTGTATCCTGTTTATTATTTGCCACTCCAGAATCGGTTTAGATGTGGAGCAATGTAGAAATGTTTCCAATAAATTATCCCTCATACAGATTTTCACTCTTTAGCCTAGGGGGACAAATGCATGTTTTCCATTAGTGGGGCTTTTTTCAATGGTTTGCATTTTTCTGCAAGTAGGGGTACACTTCTGTGGCCTTCCAACATCAGCCTTTTAATTCTTTAACCTTGGAGCTGGACAAGCACAACCCCCTTCACAGTCAGTGCAGTAAAAACTGGGCCAGCTATTTCCAAAGCAGCTTACAAGGTTCTCCTCCTCTCACAACAGTGAGGTAGGTTAAGCTGAGTCTATCACTGCCCCAAAGTCACCCAGTAGGCTTAATGAATGAATGGGGATGAGAACACAGATCCAGCATACATAACCACTATACCACACTGTCTCTCCAGGGCAGGTTTCAAAGGCATTCCTTTGAAATGTCTCTTTCCTGTAAGATGTTGATGGTCCTCCTGCTTGAAGAAGATCTGGCTTATTTAGGACACAATTCCATGCGAGTTTAGACAGAAAATTCCCATGCCTGGCTCCTGGCTTCTTTCTCCTCTTTGCTTTGCTGTGAGACGCTGCAGAGAGAGCTCTTGGGGAAGGCTTTGCACAGGTCACTGTTCTCTCCAAGCCGGACTTTGCTCCAATCACTTGCACAACAGGCTGGACCAGCCCCTTCAGCCAGTCCCGTGAACGACACTTCACTTGAAGGGGAACTAAGGCCAGATCTCAAACACTGCTAAAGATCAGCAGAACGTGATGCGGAGCCTTTGACATTATTGCCACAAAAGAAATAGTCAGCCAAGACTTTCCACTTCCTGAGACCTGAAGCAGGTAAGTGCAATGAAATGTCTGGATTTTGCAGGAAAGCTGGATGCTCCGTGATCAAATCCAAGTCTTGTGTCAACCCCAGCCCACCTTCAAATGATGAAAACTTGCAGAAAGTTGCATAAATGGAGATAGGCTGGGATAATCTCACTGCCTATCCTTCTCCATCTTCCCATTACAGAAAAGAAGCTATAAGTCAATGATAGGTCAGGTCCAAGTTCGGCCCACAAGATCTTCAGCTAAAAAGATTGAGGGGGGAGTAATGGGAAAGACCTCAAACTAGAAAGCCGCTGCCAGGCAGAATAGATGAAATGTGTTACCTGGACACATTGCCTGATCTGGAATATGTTTCTAGGCTGCAAAGCAACTTGGGAGAAATGGAGTATTTTTACAGGGCATTTAAGGTTAATAAAATGGTGACTGTCAAGTGTCAGGAATAGCCATAGAAATGAATTCTGCTGCCAAAGAAAGAGTCCCTCACCCTACCATATCCTCTGAAGATCCTTCTGAAGATCATATGTACCTCCAGGCCTTTGTTTCTGAATTAATAAAAATGGAATGGAATGAGCTCCATTTCTTTCCGTTTCCACTCATCTGGAATAAATGCACACCTTTTCTTTTTTTTTAAATTGCCTTCTCTGTTTATCCCACCTTCTAGTTTCTGGGTAGGCAACTCGGCAGTCTTCAGAAGTTTTGGACTACAACTGCCAGAATCTTTAACCATTATCCATGCTGGTTGGGGCTTATGGAAGTCGTAGTTCAAAATGTATGGCGGGAACTATGTTACGTACCCAACTTTACATCGCTAGCTTTTTGCCCTCCACTGTTGCACACAACCAGCTGTAACTTGCGCCTTCACACCCTAATTCTCCAAGTAATGAGACCCCCAGGGGTGCAAGCATTCCCTAGGATCTCCTTGGAATGAAATACTGGAGCCTTTGGGGAGGGTGTTTGTTTTTTGTTTTCGCTGATGCACGGTCTATGTGCACACTTATCGAGCATAGTTGTGGATTCACAGCAGTATAACTGCAACAGCCAGATTAGGGCTTTGCTTCCAGCTCTCCAAGGAAGCTCTCTCGCCTCCAGCACGATCCTGCCCGTCCCTCTGATGCAACATGACCAGCCATGCTTCCTTTGCCAGACCCCAGGGGAGCACCCCATGGGTCCTGGGGCCTCCATGCGTGGCACTCTGGGCAGCCCACGCAGCTCCGGGAATCCTGCCCATTTCCCACTCGATCATGAACTGGGCAGCAGGGAAAAGAACATTCCCGGGCTTTAATCTGAGCTTCTTCCAGCCGTTTCCAAGCAGCCAAAATGGGAATGCTTTTCTGCTTGGGTCAGAGAGGGAGGCTGCCTGTGTCTTTGAGAAGATGCGTGGATGGAGAGAAGAAAGAGAAAGAGAAGGCATTCCTTTTCACTCTTGGCTTTGGGCTCACCCTCTTTGGGCTTGCTCCCACCCACCCCCAGCGGCCGGCACCCCTGACCACTCACACAGGCGCGATGCAGCCTTGCCCTGAGAAGGCTGCCCTTCCTGGTCTACACCCAGCACAGAACAAATGAGCCTTCCTGAAAGTCTGGCCAGATAGAGGCTTTTCCACCTCAAGGAAGGGCTTCTGACCACTTTGCCCCAGCCAGTAAAGCCACCTCCATTAATTCAGCTGGCTGAGTTTACCTCTCCTTGTCACCAAAGTGAGTTCGATGGGATCCCATGGGGCCATCCTACCCAACCCTAGGCCTCTTCTCAGTACCTTCCACTTTTTCTTGCATGAAAAGAGGTAGGTCTGTTTTCTCTTGCATAAGAAGAGAGCAAACAGCACGAAAAAGTCCCTTGGAAGGATGGCATGGCTGGCACAGACACCTCTTCAAACGTTTCCTTCCAAGTGTAAGGTGTTTTCCCCTCTCCCTGGCACCCGGAGAAAGCACGGCAATATTTACTTAGTCTATCTTTGTTCCTTTTTTCAGCATGTCACACACACGGCTGAGGGCAACCGCTTTGAGAATGTTCCACAGAATTTCCAGGTCCCCAGCAAAACTACCGGATGCCCCAAAAATTCACTTCTGCACATATCAATTTTATACAGGTTAAAAGTACTTGGCATTTGCAAGATGCAACGATTTCACAGTAACAGCAGCATTGACACTCTTCCTCAAATTATAGGGCTTTAAAGAAGAGAAGAGGGGGCAGCTAAGGGAGAACTTTTCTCTGGAAGGACTGAGCTCTGCCCATTTCTGGGGCTCAGAACAAATTCCTGGGCTCAGAATTCTTTCATTTTCAGTGGATGAATTGGGTTCAGTTTGACACTGGAACCACGGGGCTGAAAGAAAGTGCTTCTTTGTACCTTCTTTCTCATGGAGGGCCTTCCACCCACTAAAAATGCAACATAGAGATTCAGGAGATCCGGTTTCATGGAGTGGATTGTGTTGTGGAGTGGGGGTGGAGGGGTGGGGGGAGGAGCCACAAAATCAGGTAGAAGATCTTTCTGCTGTAAGATCTCTTCCTTCTTGTGGAAGGTCCTTCCACCTCATGAGATCCTGGTCCCAAATCCATGCCTTTTGTACTAGGCTAAAGTTGGTGGATGATGGAGGTTCAAGTAAGCATCACTACAAGCCTGGAGTCTGCCTAAAATTCACATGCAATGGCTCCTTTCCATAATGGGGAAATTTCAGGCAGAGGGTAAGACTTTCGATACATCAACTGAACTTCAGCTTGGAAGCTTTTCCATTAATAATTACATGCTCTGCGCCCTATGGGTGACCTTTGGTTCAGCAAACAGCCTGCGCAAGACAACTGCAGTCAAGTTCACCATTGCTTTAACATCAAAGGGCCCACTGTACTTTCTTCAGCTTCCAAGGGGCTTTGGAAAGTCAGCTGGTGCCCACATGGGCTGAATCCCCTTCTCCCTGCTGCGAGTAAGAATATAAGGCATTTGTTCCTGTTCCTTTTTAGCAGGATTTTAAGCAGTTCACTGATTCCAGACCAAGGATGGACTCAGACACAATCTGCAGTTGAAAAATCCGTACCTTGCTGAGCTTCTCCTGTGATTTGTAGACCAAAACAGGAAAGATGAGTAACCACACCTGCAACAGCATGTCTGCATTACAAAACTGTGTTCAGAATTGTGCACAAGGATGTGTACATTCGGAAAAAATACTCATGGAAATGCACACAGATTTTCTTGCAAAAACGGCTCACACAATTTCATATGGACTCAGGTCAGAATGAACTTTGAGATGGAATTTGGATAGCTTCAGAAAGCTGGGAGAAAATGGGAGAGAAGAGAATTCAAGTCCCATAAGGATTTTGCTTTGGGGAGTGATCCCAAGCCTTTGAAAGATGAACATATGGTTAATTGGAAACTGATTCTGAATCAGATAACAAAATTTAAGTCTTGTGCTATTTGACAGCTGTAAATTCGAGATGGTCTCTTTTAGAAAAGGAAATACTCACAGAACTCCACCAGAAGATATTTCGATTCATTCAGGGCCTTATCAAAGTTGCTCTTCTGCAGAACCAAAACATTGTCCTCTTCTTTGATTTGGGAAAATTTGGCTTTTTTGGATTTCTTTTCCATTGGCCCAGTGCTCCCCTCCACTGCAGAGAAAAATACATATGCTAATCCAACAACAAGAAAAAACCACAGAGTTTCCATTCTGTCTTCTCAACACATTGCAGGCACCAAACAAGGTGAAGAAAGGTGTGTGGAGGGAAATGGCTGTACTTAAAAACTGCCCAATCCCTTATCACTCAACCATGTGGCTAAATTCCCACAGAATTAAATATATAAAGTACAGAGGCTTTCTGCAAACAGAACTAGCTTTGCTTTCCTTCTGAAGTGATATGACTGCTGATACTTGGCTTTTTCCCTGGATTTAAAAAATAACAGGAGGAAAGGACCAAGGGAAGGAAGTTTGGAAAACTCTGACTTTCTCTAATTTACTTTTGAAACAATGGAAATGACTATCAGAAGGAAACAGAGAGGAAGCAACCACCAGAAGACAAAAGGGGTAACGGTTTGCTTCAGCAAATTGGCTGGAAAGAGCCACACATGCACAATGAAGAGCAGAGCAGAGCAGAGCAGAGCAGAGCAGAGAAGAGAAGCACAAAGAAAGGGGAGAGAAAGAAAGAAGGCACAATGTACAGGCAGACGGGTGCCCTTTTGTCTCTGTGTTTATAATCAGTTAGAGAATGAGCTTTAATATTAGCATTTTTTCATAATGGGTCTCAGTCCTAGCTTTGGTGATAAATTCAGGGCAGTCCAAATTCTCTCTCTCTCTCTCGCACGCGCGCGCACACACACACACACGGGGGGGGGGATCTATACCTCCTGGTGGCTTGCACACTAAGCGTGGCAATTTATGCATCTCCACCTCACCGGCACACAGAGAACAAAAGAGATTATCAGAAGATTTCCATCTGTTCATTTGAGCATGAAAATGCAAGTTGGGAATGGATGGCTCCCATTTAACTAGAAATGCATTTCCCTCCAACGGCATCCAAGCGTGGAGGAAAGGGAATTTCGAGGGAGGGCCAAGGAAGCGTGCACCCTTGCGGATCACAAACGCCTGGCAGCACTACGGCGGGAGAGTCCTGCCTCCACTACACCTCTGTCTTGAGCAGGGATGGGGGGTGTGGGCCCCCCCATGTATTTCCAGGGCAAAGGCGCTGCAATCCACCAGCCCCTGCAGGGCAAAACTTCCCCACCCCTGCCCTAGACAAGAGTCCTCATCTGCAAGGGATGGCGCTGCTCGTCCCACGGCTCCTGGGTCCAGCAGCTTTCAGGGTGCTCCCCATGATAAACAGCACAGGGCCACTTCTCTTGCTCCCATGGAGGACCCACAGCGCCTCGCGGAAAGACCCTGCATGCCGCAGCCACGTGCCAAGGTCCAGTCATGCTCAAACAACATTGCAGACAGAATGAGGAGACTGTGTAAGAGCCGCCAGCCTCTCCCTGGAAGCAGCAACCTCTGTGACTTTCCTTGCATCGCTTTCCCCTTTGGCCACGTTCTATTATCAAGAACACCGAGAGCAAGATCGATCTCTTGGAAGACACTGCAAACACTCCGTTGCTGTGGCCAGCCGGTGCCTCTGCTTAACCCGACCTAATAATAAAAGAAAACAGGCAAGGTCATTCCCTCAGGTGCTTGGTTTCCCCACTGCTGCTTCTGCCAAGAAAATCTGTGATCACTTTTAATCCCCCGTGGCGCCTTCTTATCAGTAAATATACACAAGATAGCCATATGCCCTGCCTTGCAGAGAATGCCTTCTATCTGAAGTCCATGGTGCTCTTTTCCCTAGTTTATAGCAAAGATTTTATTGGTGAGATCACACAGAACAAAGTGCAAGGGCTCCATCTCTACCTTGGGTTTCAATCAAAAAGTTCAAGTCTCTAGGCCTCATGATTACAACGGAATGTGTGGGCCTGCCGACTGTGCCAGAAACCCAAATGACTCCAGCAGGTCTATAAATGCACATACTGACGATCTAGCTGATGGGTTGCATATAGGTTGGAGGACAGGACAGTATGAATCATGGGCTGTTGCTGAATCCTGCACTCGTGGGATCCTGTTGACCACAAACAACCCAGGAAGAGAATCCATGGTTGCTGCCTTTTTTTCAGGCTGTCTCCTCCTCTTTAACAGCCAAATGGCTGGTATATAAAACTGGATGGGAATAGCTTTACCTGTTACCATTGACCAGCACAGATGGGTGAGACTTTTATTCAGATTCTGTATTCATAAGAACCACACAAAATCCACACCTTTCTTCATAAGCAGGATGGGGGGAACTTGAGATATGGTGAGAGTCAGTGTGGTGTAGTGGTGAAGAGCACGGGACTGGGACTCAGGCAATCCAGGTTCGAGTCCCCGCTCAGCCATGGAGCCAACTGGGTGACTTTGGGCCAGTCACAGACTCTCAGCCCAACCTACCTCACAGGGTGGTTGTTGTGGGGATAAGATGGAAGAGGAGAATGATGTAAGCTGCCTTGAGCCCTTTGTAGGAAAAAAGGCAGGATATAAATCGGAAAATAAATAAATGAATAAATAAATAAATATGGTGCATGGCAGTAAGACTGAGAGATACGGCCATCCTTGTTCAGAGTTTTATTTTTCTTCCACGCTGCAGGGAAACAAAGACAACTGACCCAGCCGAGTGGGTTCATAAGCTGATGCGATGAGGACCTTGTCGAAATGCTTCCAGAATCTGCAGTCATCTTGCAGGTTTTTTCTCCAAGCCAAGAGATGCTTGGTCTCTCCGATCACTTCACACTACGAAGCTATAAACCGGGGTGAACAAGAAGTGCCTGAGTACTTTAATTTTGCATGTGATGTTATGGATAAGTGGACGCAAGTAGAAAAGGTAAGATCTCTATTGCTTTGGGGAGAAGTTTGCAGTTGGAGGCCAAAGAGGATTAAAGGGTGTTTTGGTGGTCCGCTTTATAAGTCTTTTAGCTATCAGAAGGGGATATAGAATTCATTCACACTGACCATGTGTTTAACTTCCAAAAAGCAGGAAGATAATTGGAAAGAATGTGTGCATCAGTAAATACTAAAGCCTGCTCCAATACAGTGTTTATCTGTATTATAACCTCCCCACAAACAGAGCCAAACAGAGCCTACACCTCCAGCAGTTAGCCAACTTAGAGTGTAGTTCTACAGTCGCACCTTCAATGTGTGTGACTCTTCAGACTCAGATACTTACACACATCCTGTACCACCAGGCCTTCTGCTCTGATTTTTATCAAGACGGCTGTTTTCTAGACAAAGTTCCAGGGAAAGGGAGAGGGAGAGGGAGAGGTCGGGAAGGAGGTTGGTGTGCTGGTAGGAATACACTTTGCTCCCAGGCTCATCTCCTCCTCACCCCACCCCAGAACAACCCTTTTCTCCCCTCGGATGTGCACTCCCGACCTCAGAGGAAGCAGCTGCCATAGTTCTTTGCACATTGGCTGCAAGGGAGGCAGCGCACAGGCTTAGCCTTTGGAGCCCCAGCGCCAAGATCACCGGATCCAGGAGCCTAGACCCTGAACAATCCTTTGGCCCCCCCAGGCAATATAAGGAGGCCATAGGAGTGCCTCTTAAACCCTTAGTGAAGGGGCATTGTAGTGTCGAATGCAAATGATTTTAACAAATGCTGCTGCCCCCTCGATTTCCTATTGACTATGATTCCCTCGCACGTTTCAGGGAAGATTTTGTCATCGGCAGTGCAAGAAAGGTTTGGTCGAGTCTGTGGATCCTTAACCTACTCCCTGCCTAATTTTAACTTCTTGAGTTATCTGGTAGGATGGAAAGAAGCCTCGGAACCCAGCCTTCTGGTGGGTAAACAATCAGAGGGAAGAGGTGAAATGGAGCTTTGAGGAATTGGGAGTCTTGTCCCGAAAAGCTGCCAATGTGCTCACTGGCCCATGCGGCTTGCAGAGAGGTGACCGGATCCTGATGGTGCTGCCCCGGATACCGGAGTGGTGGTTACTTCTTCTGGCTTGCATACGAACAGGTCAGTAAACATTACACAGAATAAATGCAATCCTCTTCTCCCACGGGGTGGGGGTGGGGATTAAAGTTTACCATTTTTAAAGGAAGTTTTTCTTTTTTTTTTTTTTTTGTCTCTTGCTCTGTGAAGCGTCCCAAACTTGGACAATCCCCAATCAGGTTCCTTGCTCACTCCATTCCCTGCTTGTTTTCTAGGCATCGTTTTTATCTCAGGAACGTCCCAGCTCACCGCTAAAGACATCTCCTACAGACTCCAGGCGTCCAAAGCCAAATGCATCGTGGTCAGTGATCAGTTGGCTGGTGCAGTGGACTCTCTCGCGTCTGAAAGCAAGTTTCTGCAAACCAAATTAAATGTGTCTGATAGCCCCAGAGATGGCTGGCTGTCATTCAAGGACCTACTCAGGTAGGTATTCCTCTAGGCTGTGCATTCAGCAAGGTACAAGCAAGAGCAGTCCATTTTTGACTGCCATTGTCTCTGCAATCCTTTGTGGGCGGCCAGTAGGTGATTCAGCGGCGGCCCCTTTAACAGGGTGATGCATACTAGTTCAAAAGTCTGGGTGTCAGACAGAGGATGGCTGGATTTCCTCCAAGGGTTGCTGAAGCTGGATTCCAGCCACTGGGATTCCATTCCTGAAAAGAAAACCGTATGTGAAAGGCAAGAAGGATTGTATGTTCATGCCATATAATATGATTGTTTTTCAGAGCAGCACCTCCTGATTATGACTGCGTTAAGACAAAAAGCCAAGAGCCAATGGCCATCTACTTTACCAGTGGGAGCACAGGACCCCCCAAGATGCTGGTACAGTCCCACTGCAGTTACGGCATCGGATTTGCATCCAGTGGCAGGTAATGCCTGTCGGGTGCCTTCAAACTGCGATCCCTTCCATGGGCTTAGCTCACAAAGGGCCCCAATAGGATCAGAAAGCATCATATCAACGATGAAGGCAGAAGGATGAGACCCTCAAGCTGAAGAATGGGGAATATATAGGGTTAACAAGTCAGCTTAGCAGTCACAGTGAACATTCAGGCTTGGGGAACCGAACCTCTTTCAGTCCAAGGAATAAATTTCGGAGAAGCTCTTTGCAGGCCATGTCCATTGGTAGATGGAGCTGAAGGTAAGGCATGGGGTCAAGGTATTCCAAACCCCAGTACACGTTCTTGTCACCAGTAAGTAACCTTAGTAGAGGCGGTTAAAATATATTGAATGGGGTGGGAGGACTGAGCAAAAGTCTGGACACTCCCACATGATGGGCATGCCAGGGGCTGGTGGCCATCCGTGGGGTAAACCTGACCCATCCATTTCAAGTTGGACGCCTCTGACTGAAGCAGTGAATCAGAGTGTCTGCTGGTCATGTAGAGATGGGGGCAAGGAGAGGAGGGCAGTCCCACTGCCGGCCCACCCTCTGTGCATCCTCATCCCACGCAGTGGTGATAATCTGCCTGGGGCCTCCGCCACTGCCCAGCTCCTGGAGGGCTGCTTGCATGTGTCAGGGCCCAGGGGTACGGACAGTCAAAGCACCAGCACCCAGACGCTCGGTGTGCTATACAGGTCTATTCAAATGCTGGTCAGACAGTCCAGGGGTCGAGGCGGGTCACCGAAGGGCAAGGTAGGCCAGTTCAAATAATGAAGAGTGGTCAAAAGCCAGGGGGACTAGCCGAGGAGAAGCGGTACTGGGAGCAGAGAGGAGTAGGAGAAGACAGGAAAGCCAGACAGGGGCTCCAGATGCAGGTTCTAGAAGGCACAGGGAGTTTCAACCACACCAAAGACCTTTGTTGCTGAGGCAGCATCTGGAGGGAAGAGCTGGTTCCTATACAGCTCTTTCCCCAGGGCTCCCAGGTGGTGCTGGTAACAGCCCAGGTGGTTGCAGTCGGCCGTGGACCTGCAAAGACCAAGGCGACTGTTCTGGTTTCTGGCCAGCAGATGGAGCCCTGATGCTGCCTCAGAACCTCGCAGCATGAAGCAGTGGCCACAGGGTGAAGAGGACATCTTTGCACACAACCATGTCTGGGTGGGATGGTGGAAAAGGACCAGCTGCTTCCACAAGCCATGAACTGCTGTGCAATCAAGGGTAAAAAAGCACTTGATTCTTCAGCACGAATCCTGGATCTGAAAGGCAAGAAGGAAACACCAAAGTTTCTCCTTCTCTGTCTCCATCTCCGTCTCCTTCTCCTTCTCTGTCTCCTTCTCCTCCTTCTCCTCCTCCTCCTCCTCTTCCTCCTTCATCCCCATCTATTTCTTCTCCTTCTCCTGTTTTACTGAGTGATCCATTTCCCCTGCTTTACTTCTCAGTCAACTTTCACTGTGCCCTCTAAATTGGACGCGCTTTGCATTGGCTGAGTCATCCTGTAACTTCCCAGGCTCCTGCGGCCTTCAGTCAGCCATTAACTGCAGGCATCTTATTTCCCAACGAATAGGCACTGGATGGACCTGAGCCCTTTGGCCGTATTCTGGAATACATCAGACACAGGATGGATTAAGGCAGTCTGGAGCAGTGTGTTTGCACCGTGGATCACTGGATCATGTGTCTTTGTACATCACCTACCTCAATTTGATCCCACAGTGATACTAAACGTAAGAATTACACCCACTGCTTTCCATCGACGGGCCAGGCCATAGCATAGGGGTAAAGCATCCGCGCTGCAAGCAAAGGTCTCCGGTTCAGCCCCTGGTTTCTCTAGAAGGAGTCGCTGCCAGCCAGTGCAGATCAGGGGTGAGGAACTGCTTAGGGGTGGGTGGCCAAATTTGTCCGGTACATGTCCCCTGGGGACGAGATGGCACAGTGTGGGGAGCCACATCCAGGGAGACTGGTGACTCCAGTTCATTCGTTCTCCTGATCCATTGTAGCTTTTGACCTAAATTTTATTGGAGCTACCCAGGGTGCTGAACTGCACTTCAAAAAAAGGTCAAACACCATGCTTAGCTTCAATGAAGCTCAAAATAAAACCTGCAATGGATCAGGAGTCCCATGGACATACAAGTCACGAGGCTCCCCTGGGCCTTTGTTGGTGCCTAGCCTCACAGGGTTGTTGTGAGAACGAATGGAGAGGAGAGCCCTGTAAGCCACTTTAGGCTCCTTGCAAGAGGACACCAGGTGGGGTATTTATTTATTATTTATTTATTATTTTGATTTATATCCTGCCTTTTTCCTACAAAGGGCTCAAGGTATAAAGGGCATAAATATAATGTGATGAATAAAAAGAACTTGATGTCATTTTGACACCAGCTGCAGAATCCCCGTCTCCAAGTTTTTAAATCCTCCATCTATTGTGTTATCCTGCCACATGTTTAATGTCTGCTGGTTGTTTTTTATTTTATTTATTTATTTATTTCCCGATTTATGTCCTGCCTTTTTCCTACAAAGGGCTCAAGGCAGCTTACATCATTCTCTTCCTCCGTCTTATCCCCACAACAACAACCCTGTGAGGTGGGTTGGGCTGAGAGTCTGTGACTGGCCCAAAGTCACCCAGTTGGCTCCATGGCTGAGCGGGGACTTGAACCCAGGTCGTCTGAGTCCCAGTCCCGTGCTCTTAACCACCACACCACCCTGGCAGTTTTTCTAGTACTGCTTTGCTATATCACAGGACTCCCCCAAAATGCTGATGAAATGAAAGAAAGCTGGTTAACAGGGCAATGCAATGAGAAGGCCCATTGAACTCCAAGTGGATGCATGCGGTATTGAAAAGCTTCATGGCAGAAAGAGCGCCCAGTGCAATATATGACTCATGCGATTAACGCAGCCCTGTATACCTTGTGCTGCCGATTACTGTTTCCCAGGCTGTGTTCATGATTACACTTTCATCTTGTCTCTCTCTAGACTCTTGCAAACTACCCAATTACCACTTTCTGTACAGCACCTACTGCATACCGGATGTTGGTGCAACATGATCTTACCAGGTACATTTTCAGCATATAACTGGACGTGTGAATGCAAGAGAGCAACTGGTACAAGAACTGACGGACAGTGACATTTTCCTACAGGCAGCCCCTTCTGGAACTCCCATTTTAGTAGAATCCTACTGTTCTCTGATCCTGGTAAATTACTGCCTGTATTTTGGTCCCCTGGGTCTTATCGAGATCAGCATCCTGTATCCCACAGGGACCAGCTGGATGGCTCCAGGAAGCTTTGACCACAGAGCCGGGCACTCCATTCATTTTGGCTGTCGAATTGTATTTTGAACGGTTAGCATCCTTTTCGAAGGGGGTTGGGAACCTCTGTCGGGCTGAATTCAATTTCAGGGACACTCTTGCAGAATGCATTCCAGGGCTGGGTGGGGACAAAAGCACAGGGGGTGCAACTAACTATCCCCCTGATATTAATATGCTTTGAGAATTGAGGCCTTTGAATTGGGGTGCTGGCGGAGACTCCTGCGAGTCCCTTGGGCAGCAAGGCAATCAAACCAGTCAGTCCTTGAGATCAACCCTGACTGCTCTTTAGAAGGCCAGATCCTGAAGATGAAACTCAAATACTTTGGCCACCTAATGAGAAGAAAGGACTTACTTGAGAAGATCCTGATGCTGGGAACGATTGAAGGCAAAAGAAGACAGGGACGGCAGAGGATGAGGTGGCTGGATGGAGACACTGAAGCAGTGGGCATGAGCTTAGGTGGACTCTGGTGATGGTGGAGGACAGGAAGGCCTGGAGGAATGTTGTCCATGAGGTCGTGATGGGTTGGACATGACTTCGCAACTAACAACAACAAAGCTTAAAGCTCTTATTGCCAGTGACTACGCCTTTCAAGTTTTCAGAATGGAGACAAAAACAACAGTGCAAAAGCTCAGAAATACGATCAGTTCAGGGAAGGACTGGAGAGGATGAGGGCTGGGCATCTGGGTGGTGGAGACATGGGGAGTTGTAACTGGCCCCCAGCTGTTCTGGTTTGACCCACACTAACTGCTGAGTAACAAGTCCAGGAAATCTATCAAGCCCTTTCCTTGCCTTTTTTTTTTTCTTAATCAAGCTACAAATTCATGAGTTTGAAGCACTGCCTGACTGGAGGAGAGCCACTCAATCCAGAAGTGATGGAAAAGTGGAAAAGCCAAACAGGGCTGGATATCTATGAAGGATACGGACAAACCGAAACAGTACGTCTTTCTAATTCAATGACTGGGCCGGGTAACAAGCCCTCCCTCCAATCACTGTGAAAATCTAGTTTTTGAAGACAGTTGCCTATGCATTTAATACATGCATGCTATTTAGTTTATGCATACATTATACATGCATGCATAGCAGGTTAGTTCAGGGGTGGCTGATGGGCAAGTTCCATTTCAGAACTAAGTACTAGACTGGGTTCAACATACTGCTTTGTACATGCTCAGAGTTTCACTCAGGCTGCTTGTGCTTCTGGAAAACACTTTGGTGAATCAAGAACTTTTTGCAAAGAAAGGTCTGTGGTTTTAAAGTGGGAAGGGAGGAAACAGCTCACAGCAGCAACCAACCCAAACCTCTTCTTCTCTTCCAGGTAACAATATGCTCTAACTTGAAAGGAATGAGCATTAAACCAGGATCAATGGGAAAGGCTTCCCCACCATACGATGTCCAGGTATAAGGACCCATTTAAGTTTACCAGATGGGTGTCTATCTGACAGTGGGCAGAATATTGTGCAACATTCTCTGGAAGTGATCGGCCACTGGCACAATGCCGTGATGATGGACAGAGAAGACCAAACAGGAGATGGACGAAATCCCTAAGCGAGTTGCAGCCTTGAGCTTGGAAACACTGGATGCTGCTGCCGTGGAGACGGCGTTTTGGAGGGCTTTCATTCACAGGGTGGCCATAAGTCACAGGCGACTTGAGGGCGTGAAATACTCACACAGGCTGAGGAAGGTTGCCACAGACCTTAGCAGGGTCCAGCAGGTGCTGGCGATGGAAGTGTGAGGGTCAGATGCCCTGGCTTGGCTCCTTGGCCTCTAGTCTGACGTGCCACAGCCTGAGTCCAAGTTCCTGGCGAGTTTGCCCAGTGTTTGCATGCAGCTTGCCAGGAACCGAGTACCGCACAAGCAGCGTCCTTCTTCCACGTTGTTAAAGCCGCCTTCACTTGAACATTTGCAGCTTGGCTCACTTTCTAAGAGTGGGCTAAATATAAGAGGAAGTCTGTGAAATCTAGATGGACAGATTCTTCTGGACCTCACTGCAACATGAAAAGAGCCAGGAGGAGAATCGTAGTTGTGCTAGAAGGCACCTCTGAGGCCATGGAGTCCGACCCCCTGCTCCGCTTCCCATGCCACCACATTTCTCCACCCTCATAGTTCCACTCTGGTTTCCCTTTCTTGGGATGAGCCCACACTGTGATGCACAATGCAAAAGAACCTTATCTCTTTGTTCTTCCTTTCTTTCAAGCTGGGAACCCAGCCAGAGTTCAACATGCAGCCATAACCTGAGGGCTCTCAGGGTGTCTCTCATACCAAACATAACACAGCAGCTCAGATAATAAGCATAGATAAACATTCACAGCTAAAACCACAGTTGCACCATGCGACTGTAAATTGCAAATATAAAGTACAAACAGGAGGTTAAACAACTATATAAGCAACGATAAAACAATAAAACCAGCAGCGGAAAGCCAAACGAAACGTAATAGTCCTAAAAACAAATACTAAATTAAACGGTCTGGATTTGGCACTGAAAGCAAGATGGTGTGGGTTCCAGTCACACTTCTTTCGGGAGAGAATTCCAAAGGCGAGGTGTGATGGCAGAAAAGGCCCTTCTCCTCGCTAATTCCCCCCTCACCTCATTTGGGGGCGTTACAAAGGAAGGCCTCTGTTGATGAACTAAGCGATCTAGTGGGGACATATGGAGACAGGCCTTCCTTTAGCTATCCTGGTCCCAAGCCATTTATGGCTTTATATGTTAGCACAGCATTTGAATCGGGCCTGGGCAAGTAACAGGCACCAGTGCACTTGGTGAAAGACAGTCGTAATGTGCTCTCTAGAACCGGTCCTTGTTAATAACGGTGCTGCTGCATTTTTTAAGTTTATTTTTATTTCTTTAAAACATTTATATCCCATCCTTTGCAACAAGCCTCAGGACGGCTTGCAAAGATTAAAAGGTTACAAAAGGTTTTGGATTAATTGAAGTGCCCAGACCATCTTCCAAGATGAGTTGATGCTGTACGTGCAAATTTAGAATCCCCACTGAACCGCTGAAGCATCTGTGCATTTCTTCTTGCTTTTGTTTCTCCAGATTGTAGATGACCAGGGCAATATTCTGCCTCCTGGGGAAGAAGGGCTTGTTGCAATCAGGGTCAAGCCAAAACGGCCATTTTGCCTTTTCTCGGAATATATTGTAAGCATTCTTCTCTGTGAGTACTTCTAAAAGTAAGGTTCGCATGTTCCCCAGCCGTTTCACGTTGCGGTAATTTTGGTGGCACAAACTGGAGTTTGATCCGGTTTGGGACTTCTACTGGGAAAGGGCTTGTTTCGTCTCAAGTGCGTGCGGACAACAGACAGGAAACCTCTGCTTTAATTCCTCATTCAGTCCCAAGATTCACAGCTTCACTTTTTGGAAAACAGGGTCCGTGTCAGAGGTAGGGACTCGGCGTGGCCCATGCTTCTGCGGGACCTCCTACCGGCTCCAGGTGCCCCCCCTGCCTTGTCGCCCATTCACCTGCCCTCCCTCTCAAAACAAGCTAACAGGAACAGGGAGAAGCAGTGGAGCAGTGGCCTGTACCTGGATCGGGTACAGGTGGGGAATACAAGCAAAAGTCCATGGAGGTGGCTGAGAGGAAGAGGTGGTCCCACTCAAAACAGGAGGACAAAGACTGGCACCTCTCTCGCACATACACACCTGAAGCCAGCACTGTTTCTAAGCACCAATTTGCCTTACCTGTTTATCTTGAAGAAAGGTTGCTGCTGCTGCTGATGGCAATGATGATAGATTTATATCCCACCTTTCTTCCCATTGCAAGGAACCCAAAGTAGCTTACAAGTCTCTCTTCCTTTTTACTTTATCCTCACAATGGCAACCTTGTATGTGGGTTAAGGTGGTGCCTGGCCAAACTGAGTTGCATTGGCAGGTGAAGACTAGGACCTGGATCCCCACAAGCCCAGTCTGGTACTCTCAATCCTACACCACACTGGTCCCCACACCAGTTAGTAAAACGGGTGGATCTCCAGGCACCAGTTAAGTGCTGTGGAATCCTCTTTTGTTGCTGCCAGGATAACCCAGAGAAAACAGCTGCCACTGAGCGTGGGGAGTTTTATATCACTGGAGACAGAGCGACCAGAGACGAAGAAGGCTACTTCTGGTTTGTGGGAAGGTCGGATGACATCATCAATTCTGCCGGGTAGGTTGAATCCGGCATGGCTGCTTCCTCGTTGGCTTGCTCTGCTCTCAGCCAGGAAAGAAGCAGGAATAACGGTGCTGCTTCCTAGGTACCGCATTGGCCCCTTCGAAGTGGAAAGCGCCTTGATTGAACACCCAGCAGTACAAGAAGCTGCGGTGGTCAGCAGCCCGGATCCCATCAGAGGAGAGGTAATACAGACCCCCTCAGAGGTGCAAAGGGACACCGTGGAAAGGGAATGTGTGGCATATATTGTTCGGCAAAGATTTGCCTGGCCAGGGGGTTGAGGACTGGGAAATGCAGTGGGAGTGGAAAGGAGTATCCCAGAATGGGGCATGGAAGGCTGCTCCAAACCCTGGACCGGCATTCCCACATATTTTACCGCAGGCCTCGCCTGTCTTGGCTAGTGAGGGTAAGTATACCAGTGAGCCAAGAATGCTCTTACACTGCAGCCCAACTTTTTCCCAAGTCTTTAATGCATGTAATTGTCCTTATTTAGGTGGTGAAAGCTTTTGTCATCTTGTCCCCCACCTTCTTAGCACACGATGCAGAAAAATTAACCAGGGAACTGCAGGATCACGTGAAAAAGGTCACTGCCCCCTACAAATACCCCAGAAAGGCAAGTACCTTCAGTGTATGGGCGGGAAAATTGTAGTATATGAGTATAAAGGGTCAATGTTGGGAAATTAAGGTATTAACTGGGCTTAGAGCACACTCTGGAGTAGATTAAGACAGAAATCCCGTAACCGTTGAATGCCGTGCTGTCTGGGGATGCCACAAGTCCTATAATTTTTGCTGTCTTTGCATCATGCAGACGATTGCATCCTTACTCAACTAAGTAGATCCATTGGAATCATCTCCTGTACCTATTGGGCGAATACAGTATGTGTGCCAAGGTACACACCAGTTAATAAGGGTGATCCAAGAGGTTTTTCTCCTACTACTGGTCCTCAAAGTCAGAGGATTTGTGGCAATATTTTATATCTGATCAGCTTTCTTCAGCCTGGATCATTTTGCTCCCAAGTCCATCTGGGCGGTGGGTTGAATATCTGCGCTGAATATCTCCAAGGTGGGCAGCTTTGCCCCTGATCAAATGCACAGCCCCGCTGGTTTGTATGAGATATCACTTTCCCCCCATGCTATTTTTGGCAATAATTAATTTAAATTATTTCTTGAATTTATATCCCACCTTTTTTCCTATCAAGGAACTCGAGGCAGTTTACTTAATTCTCCTCCCTCTCTCAATCGTAACTTCACGACAACCCTGTGAGGTAGGTTGGGCTGAGAGTTTGTGGCTGGCCCAAAGTCACCCAGCTGGCTCCCTGACTGAATAAGGACTAGAACCCAGACTGAGGTTCTAGAGAGGACTAGAACCCTGAGTCTCATTCCACACTCAACCACTATGCCAAACTGGCTCTCCATAAGAATCCATTAACCCGACAATTTCATTAATGTTAATAAAACTTTTCTCATGTGTACCAACTGACACAAGGCTTCAGAAGGTGAAAGACAATCTTTTGCTTTCCCAACACAGATTGAGTTTGTCAACGAGCTGCCAAAGACATTTGCTGGAAAAATTCAAAGGAATGTATTAAGAAATCGAGAATGGAGGAAAGCCTAGATGGAGTCAAACACTTGCCAAAGAAGTTCGTGTCCTGACCAGCTGCTTCGATGGAGAACTTCCCCTTCTTGTTTCTTTTCTACACCGATGGTGTCATTCCGATATCCCAAGCATTGACACAACACCAAACTCTGTAAAACAAACTTAAAATCTGGAATCCGCATGGCAGACGTGGTGGCAAGAGAGGGCCCTCTAGCGCAGCAGCCCAAATATTTCCGTTGGAGGCAGGAATCTCTGGGAAGCGCTGTGCTCCCCCAGCCCGCTGTCCGCTCGCGTTTGCTGAAATGCAGGCACGAGGGCTGTGGCTTTGGCCTCCCCTCCTGCTGCCCTGTGCGTAAAGCCCTTTTCAGAAGACATGGGGTCACGTAAGGACACCTAGAGAGATGTATATTATATACAGCACCCAACCTCCATGGGAATGGGACGGTTTACAACACTTTAAATAAACGCGCAAGTATCGGCCGTTGTGCTTGTTCTTCGGTTTCGGTTTTGGTTAACCCCGCGCCTGAGCGCTGCATCCTTTCAGTCGCTAGCATCACCCCGCTCCCCGGCCCCTTAAAAAGGGGGCTTGCTGCTTCTGGATAGGTCGCGGCCGCGGCCACGCCGCTGGGAGGCGAGGCTGGCGCGCCGGGCGCCCGTCCCGCGGGGCGCGTCCCAGGCCAAGCAGGACGTGCCCCGGGCCGCGGACGTGCCCGGCCCGCCACCGCCCTGCGCTCCTGCGCGCCGCGCTCGCCGGCCGCGGAAAGCAAAAGTGAGTGGGCGGGCGGCCGGGAAGGCGGCGCTGGGCGTTGCTCTCCGGCGGCGCCGGCGGGACGCGGAAGGGAGAGCCGAGCGGGCCAGCGCGTCGGGACGGGACGGGGACGGACGGGACGGCGCCGCTGGCCGGGGCGCGCTGGCCGGAGACTGCTGCCCGGGGGCCGCCGCCGCCGCCGCGCTCGGGACCGCCCCGCAAGCGAACGGGAAGGTCTGTCCTTTCGGCCCCCTTCCTACGCGCGCCCTCCCCAGACCCATGCGCCAGCAACGGGCGGGTGGTACAGTCCTGGCAACGTTTGCTGCTTACCGACGTCCTGCTATATTTGGTGGGGCAGGGCCTCCCGCGGAGATGGCCGCTTCGGCGTCTCTCCAGTCGCCTAAGTATCGTAGAATCATAGACTCACCGAATAGCAGCGTTGGAGGGGGCCAAGAAGGCCACCGGGCCCAACCCCCTGATGTGGCAGGATCCCAATTTACACCAATTTGTGCGGTTTCTTCTTGAATGTCTCCAGTGCGGGAGAGCCCACGGCCGCTCCGGGCAAGTGGTTCCTCTGCCGTATTGCTGTGACAGCGAGGAAGCTTTTCCTGATCTCTTGCCTGGACCTGGGTGGTCGCAACTTGACTTGATTATTCCGTGTCCTGCACGCTGGGATTGGCAAGAAGAGATCTTGACCTCCCTCTTTGGGACAGCCTTTGAGGGACTTCTAGAGGGATACTGTGTCCCCCTCACTCTTCTCAAGGCTGAACATGCCCAGTTCTCTCAGTCTCTCCTCACAGGGCTGTGTTTCGAAACCATGGATCATTTTTGTTGTCCTCCTCTGGACCCTTTCTCATTTTTCTGTGTCAGAAAAATTTGCCTCTGTGTGTCTTTTCGAAACCTGCAGCTGCCGTTTCTCTTAACTTTTTGGAAAGTTGGCTGCCCCCCTACCCATGCCCTGCTCACTTCTCTTTGCACGCAAACTGGGCCTTGCACAATCCTAGAGGCTGAGAATTGTGGGAATTGCAGTGCAGCGCATTTGAAGGGTACTTGGTTGCAGGATACTGCCCTGAGCCAGTTCGAACATTAGACTTCATTAGGTTTCCTCCAAGGAACCTAAGGGAGAGTATGCAATCCTCTTCTTGCCCACTGTGTCCTCACAACAACCCTGACAGGTAGCGGAAGCCGAAAGTCAGTGTCTGGCCCCAAATGAACTTCTTGGCTGAGTAAGGACTAGAACCTGGCCTTCCCGAGACCCCGTCTGACACTCTCGGCATTAACACCACACACCTTCTGGGTGTGTCGATCTGCTCCAGAAAAGATTTCAGTCCGAACGTTCAAAGTTCAGCCCGATGTGGAGTGGAGGAATCAGGCTGGCTCAGAAAAGATTTCAGTCCGAACGTTAAAAGTTCAGCCCGATGTGGAGTGGAGGAATCAGGCTGGCTCAGAAAAGATTTCAGTCCGAACGTTCAAAGTTCAGCCCGATGTGGAGTGGAGGAATCAGACTGGCTCAGAAACTGCTAGTTTGTTCTTCTTGAAGTTGTGGGTACAAGGACTTCTAATCTCGAGTTCCTTGAATTGAGGTTGCACAGAGAGCAATGCATGGTGAAATGCTAGCCATGCATTACACAGAAAGACATGAATAACTACAGAAGTTGTCCAGAGCTGGAGAGAACTGGAGAGAATATAAAACTGTATGAATAAAGCAGGCCCAGATGTTCCAGACTCCAGCTTCCTTTGGCGCCAGCCAACATGGATGATGCTCAGAGCTAATAGGACTTTGTAGGAAAAAATGTCTGAAGGACACCCAGCTTTTCTTCCTTCAGATGAATGCTTGGGAGATGGTGAAAGCTTATGGCACTAAAGCTTTGCAGGTCTTTAAGGACATGGATCCCTGATCCTACTTTGACATGGTTTGGGGAGGCCATGGGATTATTTGACACTGGATCCAGTAGAAGCTCCTAGGTGCTCCTACTGGATCTGGCCCTTGGTGTATGTCCATGCCTGCAACTTACGAAAAGACAGACTGCAACACAAATAAAATGCATTCGTGTTGCATCAGGGACATTTGAGGGAAACCAATGACTTGGTATGCCTGAGAGCCGGCAAGTTAAGTTTCATCAGGTATCCCTTCACATGTTCACCAAGTTTTCAGAGTTGCCTGCTTAAAAATGTCGTTGCAGGGAGACGAAGCAGGTTGACTCTGTGCAGGTGTGTGGATGAGCGGGCGTCCAGATGGCCTTGTTCAAATGCTTCTGGACCTGGCAGCCCCCTCGCCTGCTCTTCCGTCAAGTGAAGAGACACCTCGCCTCTCCCATCCCCGCACACTATGAAGCCATCATCAGGGGAGAGCAGGAAGTGCCGGAGTATTTCAATTTTGCAAGTGACGTGGTGGATAAATGGGGGCAAGTGGAAAAGGTGAGGTTTCTATCATTTGGAGAGAAGGTCCATAGCCAGTCGAAAATTGAGAGGTCAGTGATGTGGCCTGCTTTAGCGCAGGGGTGTTGAGCCTTACTCAGAGGGCCGGATTCCATTGCAGGGAAATTCTCTGGGGCTGCATCCCAATGGTGGGACAGGACTGGAGGCAATGATGGCAGGAAGGAAAGACAAAACATACCACACATTTCAGCTTAAAAGTTCCTACTGCCAGGAACTAAGCTCTTTGAGGGGCATGTAAACCTTTTAGAATGGAGATTGCTGTTGTCTAGTCACACAGTTGTGTCTGACTCTTTGCAACCCCATGGACTTCTTTCCTCCATGTGCTCCTGTCCTCCACCATCCCCTGGAGCCCACTCAGCCGCACACCCACCGCCCCGGTGACCCCATCCAGCCACCTCATCCTCTGCCGTCCCCTCCTTCTTTTGCCATCTATTGTTCCCAGCATCAGGCTCTTCTCCAGGGAGTCCTTCCTTTTCATTAGGTGGCCAAAGTATTTGGGCTTCAGCTTCAGTATCTGGCCTTCTAAAGAATACTCAGGGTTGATTTCCTTTAGGATTGACTGACTGGATTTCTTTACAGTCCAAAACCGACAGTCCATCAAAGACTGGCCAGGGGAAAGGAGTGTGGCATCCTGGGAAAACCCCACAGGGCAAGATGGGCACCATGCCCAGGGTGGAGTGATGGGAGTCATGAGCCTGTGGTTCTGATCCCCTGTTTTAGGGCTGCCTCAGGACATAGAGGGAAGGAACATGCCCATCACCAAGCTGCTTGAGGCCCACCTGGAGCCACCTTCCCATCCCACTGGCTGTCCTCCCATTTCCTTGTTGGCCACAAAATCACATTTGACTCAATGCAATGATGGATCATATGAGACTTTTGCCAATCATCTCCCGTCTTCCGTTAACTGCCTGAGTTTATCCGGTAGGGTGAACACAGACTCCCAGCCTTTTGGTGGGTGAACAATCAGAAGGAAGAGGTCAAATGGAGCTTTGAGGAATTGGGAGTCTTGTCCCGAAAAGCTGCCAATGTGCTCACTGGCCCATGCGGTTTGCAAAGAGGTGACCGGATCATGATGGTTCTCCCTCGGGTACCAGAGTGGTGGTTACTACTTCTGGCTTGTATACGAACAGGTTAGTGAACAATAGCAGGAGAAATACACAATAACCCAATTGTCAAGTTAAATGATTTTAAATAAGGCCTTTGGAGGAAGAGTTTAATATTTAAACTCATTGCATGGGGATATCAATCCTGGTCTTATATGCTTAAAGATTCCAGCAACCAAAAATGAAGATGCTACAGTTTCACCTTAAAGAAAAACTGATTTTGCAAGTTCCGCTCTTCTGAGCAAAGGGGTTACTTTGTGCATTTTTCTGCTCGAAATTGTTTTCCTGGCTGCATTTCTAGATGTGTGTTTACAATTAGAGAAGAGATCAGAATTCTTCCTCTTTGCTGTGTTTCTGCACAAAATTTCAGGTTCGAAAGATGTGTTTCGTTATTTAAGAAAGAAAGAATGGTATTTGAGTGTGGAGCACAGCTTGTATGAATCGGTTTAATTAATGTAAGCTGCCCCCAAAGAGAATAATACTGATATATCCTGAGAAAACCATGTGGTGATTCCCTCCTTCTGTTTACGAATGTGCTGCAAGCAAAGCACTGCCTTCTCCAAGAAAGGGGGTGCAAACATCACTCCAGGTGGCTAGAAGGGAAACTGCTGTCTTCTCCAATGATTTGGCAGCAGGCAAACAGTCCCCAACAACAATTGAAGGCACATAACGGAACATTGCTCTAAAAAGAAAAGACTTTGTGCTTGGGAAGTGGGTGCTCCTTGCTTTCATTCTCCTCTTAGCCTGGTTCCACAGTTCTACCAGCCCAGCTCAGTCGTTGTTTTTTTTATGTTGATTTATTGCATGAACTTCCATCTGTCCTCCTAGGATGTCATTGTTCTTTGCATTTGTATTGAGTCTTTATATCTCTACCTTGGTGTTCCTTCAAGGAGTCCAGGGTGGTGTTAACCTGATCCCCATTCTTCCCATTTTATCCTCACAATAACCCTGTGAAGTACTTAAGGCTGAGAGCCCAAAGCCACCCTGTGAGCCTCACGGTCAAGTAAAACCGAGAACCCAGATGTCCCAAGTCCCAGTCCAACCGCTGCACCACCGTGGCTCTCGGAGTTGGCCGAAGCTTTGCAGGTCATCCAGTCCAGGGTGGGAAATCCAGGCCAAGAGCACCCTCAGCTGATGGCTGTCCATGCCTAGCCTTTGCTTGGAAAGTTCATTCACATTCCCACCCGTCTATGTAACGGATTTCAGGGCCATAACTCTGCAGGCCTTGGCGTTTCAGATAAGAATCCCAGCCCTGTCTCTTCTTCCAGTTCTGATTCAGAATTTGTATTTTGGAAGAAGCAGGCCAAGTCCCTACACTTGCTAGTTTTATCCTTTCAACAAGGCTGTAAGACAGGATAGTCTGAGAAAGGGAGAGAGCAAAAACAACTTATTCCAGGTCACCCCTTGAGCTTCATAGCCGAGCAAGGATTCAAACTCAGGTTCCCCTGGCCCAGTGCCTGAACCTCTACGGAGGAAACTCTGTTTGCAGCCTCCTTGGACCAGGTCCTCTGCTCACTCCAATCCCTGCTTGTTTTCTAGGGATCGTTTTCATTCCAGGAACATCCCAACTAACCACTAAAGACATCTCCTACAGACTCCAGGGGTCCAAAGCCAAATGCATCGTGGTCAGCGACTTGCTGGCTCCCGCAGTGGAGTCTGCCATGGCAGAAAGCAAGTCTCTGCAGACCAAGCTGCTGGTGTCAGAGAGCAGCCGAGAGGGTTGGCTGAACTTCAAGGAGCTACTCCAGTAAGTATCGCCATGCCAGTGTGGGGAGAGCAGCGCAGAATCCTAGAGCCAGAGGGGACCTTGAGGGGCCTCTCATCCAGCCCGTTGGTTAGTACAGCCAGCTCTAGCTGAACACCTCCATGCCAGGAGCCCCCAGCACTTTGGAAGCTCCCGCTCTTCAGAAGCTCCTCTTTATGTTTAGCTGATTATTTAGAATGGGAGGAGAGTAGGCGAAAGTCAGGAAAGTGCCAAATGATTGGGGATTAGCCGTCAGTATGTGGAGGAATCCATATTGGGAGTGAGGACCCATCAGATTCCTGGTCTTGGACACTGGTCCAGATTCCCTAGACACTGGTCACTTTGCCGCAGTTCTGCGCCCAAGTTCCTGCAGCCAGTGCTTGTGGGGTGCTCTCCAGGAGCTGAGCCCCAACTTCTGTGCAAGCAGCACCCTTCTGCTGTCGCACACAGCAGCTGTTGGTGGTGCTGCACTGACAAAGAAGGTTCCCGGTTGTGCAGCCTTCATCCCACAGGTCTTCTGGAACTGTCCTCTCAAGCTCTGTCTCCAAGACCGGGCCAAGCATGAGAGCGAGGTCCACAAATTGAAGAGGGATGAATCCCACCATGTTTTGCCTAGTTAGTGCAAAGGCTGTGGCCATCTCCGGAACACTGGAAGGCTGGGCTTTGACCCCAAAAGAGCCAGATTTGGACCTGGGCCTCCGGTTCCCCACCCAGACCGAAACCCAAGCTGAAACAAAATACAGTGCACACCAACGTTGAGGAACCCGGCTGCTTGATGGCAATCCCCTGGATTTCCGCCAGTGCCCTCTTTTGCAGGATTCCAGGTGCCGGAAAATTGCCCAGAGTTCCATTCAGCACAATCATTGTGAAATGGAGGAAGTGTCGCACATCAGCTTCATACTATGCACTTGCTTTGTAGAGTTGCGCCCGTAGACCACGACTGTGTGAAGACCAAGAGCCAAGAGCCAATGGCCATCTACTTCACTAGTGGAACCTCCGGAAGTCCAAAAATGGTGGAACAATCCCAGTGCAGTTATGGCATCGGACTGACAGCTGCTGGCAGGTAATGTCTCCTGACTGCTCTCAGAATTTACGAGAGCGCCACAAGCCATGGGAACTTAGCAGCAGATCGGAATCGATGGGCACCATTGGTGAAACACGTGGAGAGGCCTACCCCGGCGCTAGAGACCAGTCAGTGCCAAGCAGTGCCCTGATACTTGTGTGCACAGGGTTCCACTCAGACCTTCCACTGAGCGAATGAAGAGTGGGGTGGGGAGCAAAGCGCAGGCTCACCCCCAGCCCTCTGTGTTCAGCGCAGGCAGTTGTGAAGGCCCAAACAGCCTCGGCTCCGCATGCAGTGGTGCCCCACCTCCTGCAGAACTGGCTGTTTGACGCAGCTGCACTTCACTGAATGAGATGTGTTGGACTTCACCTGCAAAGCAACATTGGGCAGGTCCTTGAAATGGCCCCGGCCTGCATGTAGGAGCTCCTTCCATAAGCCATGAACTGCTGGGCAATCAGAGGCGAAGTAGCACAAAATGCCGAGGCTCCTAGCTTTAATCCTGAATCTGCCAGCTGGGCAAGAAGCACTGAAAGAAGCCCAGAGTATTTTACGGTGTGATCCTTTTCTCCTGTATGGACTTTACACTTCTTGGCCATCTCTCATGATACCCTCTAAATTGGACTAGCAGCACCTTTGAGAGTCAACTTTTAACTCATTTTCCAGATCCCATTCCCCTGAGTCAGCAATCGGCTACAGCTGTTTTCCTTTCCACTGAACAGGCGCTGCATGAATCTGAACACTTCTTCTGTATTCTGGAATACGTCGGACACCGGATGGATCAAGACAGCTTGGAGCTGTGCGTTTGCTCCGTGGATGCATGGATCGTGCGTCTTCGTACATCACCTGCCGCAATTCGACCCCGCAGTCGTACTGAATGTAAGAATAGCCGCTCGTGTGCTATGTAAAGACCCCTTTTTACGGGGAGAGGCATGGCTTGGAGATAGAATGCCTACTCGGCATGCACATGGCCCCTTGCTTGATGTCCACAAGTACGGCTGAGAAAGACCCCTGGCTGGAAACCTGGAGACCTGCTGCCGGTGAGCGTAGGACCTCCCTCAGCCCAAGGGCCAATTTCAACTTTGGAGAAGCCCTTGGGGGCTTCATTCCAGTGGTGAGCAGGGCTGAGCCTGAAGGCAAAAGAGCTGAACTGAAATACAAACAAGTATCAGCCTATTTTAGTTTTGTGCTCTTTCTGCCAGCACCAAAGCCTTGGAAGAGATACTTTGGCCTTTTAGAAAAGGGAGGAAAAAACCAAGCAAAACTGGGAACATGACCAAAAAGTCATGGAAAAGAGATAAGCGTGTGCCTTCTGGGAATCTTGATGAAATAAATACAATGTGAGCTAGTTGGAACCTAAGTTCCAGTTCCAGATTCTGCAGCTTTCAGTGTCCTGCATCACATTGTAACTTGCAGATGAAAAGGTGAAATATACCGTGGCTTCTCAGGCTTATTTATAGACTAAGTTCAGGCAAACCTCATTATGACAGGGTTCAGACATGCCAACACTCAAGGGTTGAGTGTGGCTTGTCCCTGAGCCATAGGTTGTGCAACATGGGTTATTGTGCTGTCTGAATCCTGCCATACTAATAACCCATGGTAAACAATGCCTAAGGAGAACCTGTGGTATGTTACCAGGTTACAAACTGTGGGTTGTTTGCCATAGTTAACTCAGCTTGGCCCGGAGAACAAATAACCCATGTTTCAACAGCAACCCAAGTTTAACCACAACCCATACTCAACCCATAGTCAGCCCTTGCGTATTGGTTTTTCACACTGTCTGAACCCAGTCCTAATGAAGCTGGGTTCATGTGAGGCCCCTTAATTTAAAAAACAGGGTCCAGAAAACTGGTGCGATTCCAGCCAGTTTGTTTTAAGTAGAAAGAGCAGGGCAGTGTTATCTTTCTGTTTAAAAACACCTTACGGAGAAATACAGAAATACAATTCGAAAGACCAAGGGCCAGTAGAGCAGGAAATTCTCACACTGCCATATTCAAGTTCTAAAAGGAAACGTTTATCAACACTTAATTTGAACAGGCACTCAGGCGGGCAAGTCCCGTGTGCTGAAGCCACATCTGGCAATGGCGGAATGATTGCAATTTCATTTCTCCCATCCAGACTCTTGCGAGCTACCCCATCAACGTTTTCTGCACAGCTCCCACTGGATACCGTATGTTGGTTCAACATGATGTTGCCAGGTACTTTTTGCTATGTAACTAAAGCCATAAAAGAAAGCCAGGAATTGACATGGGGGTTGACAGGCAGTAAATTCCCAGAGGCATCTACTGGCTCTCTGCCCATCAACCAGCGAGTGAGAGCTGTGATGGGCAGGAGAGGAGGAGTGCAAGCAGATGGAGACCGTGGTGATCTGGAGGTCAGTCCCCTGAGGGAGGGGGCCCCCTGAGAGTGCCTTGCCAAAGCCTGCAGTGGCTACCCAGCTGCCTCCAGGGGGCATCTTCCGCCCATCCAGCCATTTCACACATTCTATCCATGCGGTTTCTGTTCTGAACTGCTGATATTCCATAGGGAAATCGGTGTTTCTCTAAGAGAAACTTTCCAGAAATTTTGTGCGGTTAAATATTTTGCTGCATCCCATCTTTGTACCTCCCTCCCTATGGAAATTCACCTGGCGCCATCTTTATTTTCCTTTCAGTGCCAAGCGAAAACATACTTTAGAAAATAGTTAACATTTAGCCCCTGAATGGTGTGGCCCTTTTTATATTGCTGGGATAGATGTTTTAATTCGTTAGTGTTTTGATAGGTTTCTAATGTGTTTTATTTTGTTTTAATATGTTTAATGTACTGTGAGCCACCTAGGAAGGCCTCACCAGTTATTGGCAGCCTATAAACACGTAGAAAGCAGGCAAGCCAGCAAGCTCGTGCTGTCCTGTGACGGTGCCACCCAAAGATAGCCGGCTGCCGGAGCTGCAGCACCAAAAGCACCCGCTTCTGCCCGCTGCCCCCTCTGCCCCTCCGGGCAGACCTCAGCTCCCGTTGCATCACACGCTCAAGCCAGCCTTGACTGTAGAGTGACATGAATCCAGTATCCAGCGGTTGCACTCAAGCAATCTAGTTGTGCAGGAAGGACGCGGCGGAGCGGCCGAGTGAGGAGCGGGGCCCCTCCGTGCTGCAGCTCCTACTCGCAGGGCAGCTGATCCCTGTTGTTTCTTTCCCAGCTACAAGTTCAAGTGCCTGGAGCACTGTGTGACTGGAGGGGAGCCCCTGAACCCTGAAGTGTTTGAGCAATGGAAGAAGCAATCAGGGCTGGAAATCCATGAAGGATACGGACAAACTGAAACGGTGTGACCTGCTACAGTTCTGCTGGATTGTGTTGGGCAGCACTTCCCATCTCTCTCTCTCTCAATATCTTATAAACGAAGCTGCAAACGAGCAAAGCATCTGGATAGATTTCAAGGGAGTCGAGACCACTGACCTGGTTTCTTTGCCCACCACAGAGACGTGGGGAAAAATTGCAGCTCAGTCGTAAAGTGGATGCTCTCAAGTCCCCATTTCAGTCCACAGTATCTCCAGGTTTGGCCTGTAGCCAGGGAGCTGCATCAGTGATACTGGACTGGGGGGACTTTTTAATTGCCCAAATAGGCAAAGCTGTGTGTCTGAAGCTTTCTCTCTTACAGGTAGCAATATGTACAAATGTAAAAGGAATGAAAATTAAACCAGGTTCAATGGGAAAGCCGTCTCCACCATATGATGTCCAGGTACCTCTGTCACCTCTGTTTGGTTTTATCCTGAAGATTAGCAAGATTAGAAGAATGTGGGACCTATATACTTCCTGGCAGTTACCTGCTTCTGGTGAAATGCCCATCATTATAATGGTCACCTTGTATATAGCAGAGGAGGGCAGACAGTAGCTCAGAATCTACAGGGGCATCACTGGATGGTTTGCAACAGATCATGAAAGGTGTTTCACGCTTCTTTTTTGTTTAAGAATAGCAGCACTGAAATGTTTCTTGACTACCACCAGTGTTTCTCCCCACCATTTTGTTGGCACAACAAAAGTTTTTGCTAACTGGGAATGGAATTACATGTGAAAAAAAATGTGATCACGGATTATCTTGCAACTGAGAGTCCTTGGGCTCAGCATGTATTCAGAGGCCGCATGTCCTTGCCCTACATATGTGGCTCTGCATCCTGCACAGAGTACTAGATCCTGGGGTTCTAGCTAAAGAATGAAGGTAGATCCATCTACCCTGAAGTCTGTTCATCCTTGAAGAAAGCCCTGTCGATTTCAGAAATCCCCCAAGCACATAAATGAGGGTTTCTTACCTCCACACAACTCAGTGGGAATCTTTCAGAACCAAGCCTTCTCTGTCTTTTCTTGGTCTAATATTCTCACTCTGGTTTCACTATCTGGCTGTGACGTCTAAGGACACTCACACTGTGAAGCTCTGTCTGGAATCCAGCTCTCTTGCACTTCCTTCCCAGACTTGGCTCAGGCGTAGGAAGCAAGTCCAGCGAGATCAAGCCCAAAGACACTCAGAAATGCCATTTGTGCTGAATTAGTCTTCTGCAGAGGATGCAAAAACGACAAGTGCACAAAAACTGAATGCGAGTCCCTGAGAGCTGAGCCAGTCTCCCAAGCTCCACACTGATTTTGAGGAAGACATTTAAATTGATACTGGCCATTTGCAACCACATCCGTAATTTTTGTTGTGGCTTTTTCTTTCGGCAGATTATAGATGACCAAGGTAATATACAGCCTCCAGGAGAAGAAGGTGACATTGCCATCCGAATCAAACCGAAGCGACCATTTTGTCTCTTCTCAAAATACGTTGTAAGCATTATTATAGGTTGAAATGTCCACTCTTTGCTTCATTTTGCACCCTCACTGGTAACATCACATTGAATTGGGCCCAGACTTCAATGGATTTCAATGGATAAAGTTTTGGACTTCGTAGAGTTTTTGCTCAGAGTTTGGGTGTCTGCTCTGAAACCATGGCATATGGTGTCTGAACATGGAACCCTGGCATTAAATCTTTACAAGCAAGGTCAGGGCCAGAGGTAGCCAATGTCGGGCTTTTGTCTCCCCTAACTCCTGGCTCTGCTCAACCTCTGCTACTTCACCTAACATGAGACAGAAGCCAAGGGGAGAAGCATTTTCTGTTGTCTTTCCTTCTTCCTTTGGGTCAAGATGTAGTTTGGGCACCAGTCGAGAAAGTACAAGCACTCAGGCTACAGGCTGCATGACCCCCCAGAAACCAGAACAGGACACCATTTGAAAATAAAATGGTCTTGTTGCTTGACCATGAAATGGGATAGAGCAGCAGATGTCAGGTAAATGTTGTGGAGTAACTTTTGTTTCCTGCCAGGATAACCCTGAGAAAACAGCAGCCAGTGAGCGTGGGGATTTTTATCTCACTGGAGACAGAGCGACCAGAGATGAAGAAGGCTACTTCTGGTTTGTGGGAAGATCGGATGACATCATCAATTCTGCCGGGTAGGTTGAATCCGGCATGGCTGCTTCCTCGTTGGCTTGCTCTGCTCTCAGCCAGGAAAGAAGCAGGAATAACGGTGCTGCTTCCTAGGTACCGCATTGGCCCCTTCGAAGTGGAAAGCGCCTTGATTGAACACCCAGCCGTAATGGAATCTGCTGTGGTCAGCAGCCCGGATCCCGTCAGAGGAGAGGTAATAATGGTGATCCAGCCATTCTGCGAGTCCCATTAGGCATGTGCAGGGACACCATCACGTGAGTTGTTCGCACTGGGAAAAGGGCGGTTCTGATTGAAATATCCCGTACGTCACATATTTGACAGTCGCTAGTGGCTTCATTCCACCGAAGCAAATTCCATTGTGCTGGTAGAAACCAGGTTCCGAACTCTGCACAACGAGAGAGTCCAGCTCGAGTTGTGCACGGCCTCACGCAAACACAACATGCTTTGCTGGTGCATTGTGCAACTGTGTGTCCCACGGGAAAATCAGATGGCCCTCCTCCAAATTTTGAACTTGCAGGCTGACGTGGTTGAATGCCACCCATTGAATTGCAGGGGCCTGTCTTACCAGAGAAAAGTATTCGGCAGATCTCCACCGGATTTTGATAGATCCATCCACTTTGTCGTGTGTCCACCATACTTTGAGTTCGGGAGACAACACTGTTGGATCCTGCCCACTGTGTCTGCCTTACCAGAGAGATTATAAAAGGAATACAGCAGAATTGACAGGCTTGGGGGAACTTCAAAGGTTGGGGAAGTACAAACCACCTTGATGAACACAAAAGCGTCTAAGCAGGGCATGGGGCACCTCCAGAACAGCTGACTGGGGATCAGTCATGCTCCCTACCCATGGAGGTGCTCCATGCCCTGCTTGGATGGCTTTGTGTTCAAGACGTTTTGTGCTTCTGCAAAATTTAGGTTCCCCCAAAGGGTAGGAGGGGGGAAACGGAAAACTGCATGGGATGCAGAGTAATAGAAAGAAGCACCCTGGAAAAGGGTATGGCTGGCTAGACCTGGAAAAGGAGCTCTTCATGCTGTCTTGTTGTGTTGCTGGTTCTACTTGTCTCAGCTAATAATATAAAACATATCAATATACCAAGAACCCAGCTGTGGTGAAACCTTTTCCTCTAAGTTATTCATGCATTTAATTCACATCATTTAGGTGGTGAAAGCTTTTGTCATCTTGTCTCCTGCCTTTGAATCTCATGACCCAGAAGAGTTAACCAGGGAACTCCAGGATCATGTGAAAACTGTGACAGCTCCCTATAAGTACCCTAGGAAGGCAAGTATCTACTGAGTAGGAACTGGGCTTACTTACTATGTAAGTACGAAGGGTTAAACTTGTGCCTCACAACCTACTGGATGGATGAAAAATGAGTCCCAGTATCTAAGTCAGTTGAGCTGCCCCGAGGCTTCAGCGAATGGGGTGGCATAGAAGTTCCCTAAGTGTGTGTGTGTGTGTGTGTGTGTGTGTGTGTTTCCCGACTCTGTTCTAAATCAAATGTGCAGCCGTACTTCCTCTAGTGCATAAGAGATGTTTCCTTACAAAGGTTCGATTTTTCTGTTGGCTGCAAGAAAAAATTAGGAAATGTTTAAATAGCACTGACATTGAGATTCCTATAAGCTAAATATGCATGAATGAATTGAAACAAGGCTTTGGAAGATGAGAGAAACTCTTTTTTTCACAACACAGGTAGAGTTTGTTCAAGAATTGCCCAAGACAGCTGCTGGAAAAATTCGAAGGAATGTATTAAGGAGCCGAGAATGGGGGAAAGCCTAGAATGAGTTGAACACTGGCAAAGGAAGTTATCTCCTGGCTATCTGCTGGAATGGAGTTTTCCCCTCTTGCTCAATTCCCTAATCTGTTGTTTACTTCAAGGAGAAAAATTCACATAGTCAAGCAGCTTGGATTGTGCTTACCTACCCCTTTGGGCCAGGTGCTTCCAAAATTCCCATCTCACTTTCTCCCTGATATAAGGACTATAGAATTATCTTGCTTGCAAAGTGGAATTTATGGAATTGATGCATCTACTTTTGTTACCTACCCAGAGAGCCTCAGCTATCGGGTAGTATAAAATGAAAGAAAGAAATAATTTCCCACTTTTTAAAATTCAGCAACAAAAACCCTGATGACTACAGTATTAACAACTTTACCACAATTACAACCTTAATGCTAATCTCCCACCATTTCTATTTACAGCTATGCATTAAGAAGCCAGTATGTATCAATACATATTAAAACAAGTAATTCATATTTTACTATTCTTGATGTAGCAAAAAAAAAAAAAAATCTATCCCAGTACTAGTAGATTGTACTGCTAATGCAATGGTAATTTCTTCCATTTTGATTGTAATAACTCCATATATCAATCATTGACCTAACCTCTCATTTCTATACATGTTTTTGGTAAACTGTGTATAATTTTAGACTGCCTTTTTATCCAGTCTAGCTTAGAATTCCAATCAAGTCACACCTTCAGAAATAAAGACAGCCATCCTTTCAAACAAGTTTTTCCTAAAGAAAATTATAATAATTTTGGTTTCAACATCCTTGACATGAGCAAAGGCATATCTGCCACCTCACGAAAGGTTTTTTTCAAGAGTTGCTTTGTCTTGTAGCTGCAAAGTGCCAATAAAGACCTGAATTGCAAAGAGGCTGTCTGGTGTTCTGGAGCTGGGGGGCGGAGCGCCCAGTGGTTCAGCTGAATGGGAGAGCTGTTTTGAACCTGAGTAGTGAAGTTAGAAAGTGCAAGCTGATAAGCAGTTCTAAACCACGGTACATCCATCAAATGCATAAATTCAGGACGATATGCAACGTACTAAAAGAAAAATTACAAGAAAACCAGCAGTAAAAACTGAAATCACATTAGGCAACCAGGCTGCTTGATTACACCGGTCTACAAGGAGAAAGTAGCTAAATTTTGCCAGAATTGGGTCACTAATAAAGGAAAATTAAGTCCTGAAAATTAAGTTCCAAGATACAGCTTCAGGTCAAAATTGCATCAAAATAATTCAAAATTACAAGGGTGATGTGCAATTATGCTCCATAACTTTTCTGCAAAATGTGATATAGCAATGAGAATGGTAATTTAGTTCACTCTGTGAAATTAGATGTGGTTTTGGAGGGGCTAAAGTTTGGGTCCGCTGACAGCGACGGCCCAGGATCCGCTGCATCCTGCTCACTGTCTTTATCATCATCTGAGTCTAGAGAGTAGGATTCTGGTGGATCTGGAATTGGCAAGTCCTCACGACTGGGTTCAGGACACAGTGTGGATGGAATGTTTGGATATTCCGCAGTCCACTTCTTCTTTCTTGAGATCCCTTTTGCAGCTGGGGGAACCATGCAAAAATAGCAGCCGCTACTATGCTTGGTGGGTTCCTCCACACCACTGGGACTGCGAAAGGCATGGACTTTTTCTTCTTGTTCAGCCAATGACGCAGATAAGTTGCACATGCAATGTGACAATAATGAGGGGCCCAACTCTTGTCCTGATCCCCGATTTTGCATCCAAAATATAGGCAGTGTGCCTTTTTTTACCACTGCCATCATACTGCACTTTTGAGATGCAAATGTAACCTCTCTGTAGCAGAAGTTATCTGCGTTGTTTCCACAGTTCCGATGCATCTTGGCTTACACAAGGTGGCACTGCAGCTTACGCATATTATGCAGCTGTTCCTTGGAAATGTTAGGCAATTACACTTTCACAAGCCACCCAATGTAATTGTATGATGCGTAGATCTGATCAAGACGAATTGCAATAAAAGAGCAATAAATTACAGTTAGATAATAATCTTTAGTCTCAAAGTGAAGATAAATTTATACGCTTCCATGTGGTACCATTTTCATTGTTCTACCATACTTTGTCAGGAAGTTACGAGGCATCATGATGATCAGACACCTCCCTCCCTTGTAGGCAAATATACTCGCCTGTATATAAATCTTTATTGTGAAATATCTTGAAAACTTTAGCCAACCAGCACCTTTATCACCTGTTTTCTAATTCATCTAATCAAAATATGTGAGAATAGCGCACTTTATCTCGGAGGTCAATAATTTCCCAAAATTTATAGACCAGTGTTCTTTAGCTTGAATTGGTAAGTCTGAAAATACTCATAGGTGCTTGCATAATCAAGTTCAAAACTGCATTTACAAACATTAACCCACTTGGCTGTTCTGTTGGGAAGCAGTGAGGGGAAGATGGAGTTTGAATCACGTGTGCTTGAAGTATGTGCTTAGCCCTGCAACTTATGGGTTCTTTTCAACAGTGACACTGTACCACTGAGTCATCCCAGGTTTCAAAGCAACCTCCATGTGGAAATCGTAGTGTGGAAGGAAACAGACGCATTTCTGTCCTCAAGCTGCAGCCCCACATCCAGAATAAGAAACTTGAGCTCTTGTGTCATTCAATCTTCTGTTGTGCCACACGGAACTCTTTTCTGTGTGGATGAGCATAAAGATGGAGGAAGGTGTTCGGAGTCCCTCCCACTGGGTGGGTTCACACAGCATGGAGCACAGTGGTTTCTTGCGCAGGGTGGTCTGTCACATTGTCTGAAAACCTGTTGTGGTGCTTCATAATGGTATGTTTGGCTTTTAGAAACCATGATAAGAAACAACAGTCTGTTCTATGGATTCCGTGCGTCACTGTGGTTTCTTTGATCGTCCAGACCCAGCATCATGGTTTTCTTGGTCCTAGTAGGCAGTTACCAAAGAGTCCCCTGAAAAGAGCAGCAGCTGCTGTAGGACCTGCTCCAGCCATCCAGCATGGGATTGGATTTCAGGAGCAGTGGCGGATGGGATATGTACCAACAGTGGGAAGACAGAGAGGAGGGCGCAAACCATGCATACATAGGAACCAGTTAATCATCTGTCAGGCACATCCACATGAAAGACCACGCACCACGGAAACCACACAGGGCTGCTGCTTGTGACATGCAAACTCGGCCACTGTGTAGCATAGTGTTCCTCAACCAGATACCCTCCGTCTGGGTAGCACTGAAATTCGCACCATTCCACTGTGGGGGAAACAGCTTGTGGAGGACGGCATTGACTCCTTCCCCCAGCTACTGATCCAAGCAACGCACAGCACAAATAAGCAGGCGATCAGAGAGTCTTCAAGCCATATAGTAACGCTCAGATGCTTCAAAAGCCAGTAAAGGACTGGGACAAAGCGAGGCTCTTTCTCAGCCCCAGACACACCACCCTCTTTATCTGCATTGAGGCCCAAAAGACCAAGGAAAGGTGTGGTCACTCAAGGAGTAAATTGCACTCAAGCACAATTTGTGACATTGCACATCACCTTGAAATGTGGGTGGAAGGGAAAGAAAGGACAAGGTAATGTTTTCTTAACCGTGTCAATTATTATAGGATGCTGACATTCAGCAACTTGCCCCCATGTACCCATTGAACTCCCCACTTTTTCTTGAATGGGAACGTACAAAATGGGCCAGAGAGTTGGCCCCTCCAATGCAATGCGTTTTCTGAAACCAAACGCAGGCTGAATGGCAAGAGAACCCGTGAAGACGCTCTTTCCCCAGAGCTCTTCTCCAGCACTCCTGCCTACCTCCACTTGAAGGTCAGTACCACGCACAGATGGACATCCCTCTCCAGCTTATTTTGAACAGCAAAACTGAGGCAGCATTGAAAAAGCAGACAGTACCCATGTGCACATCTGATAAATACTTGCAGATTTCCCTTTTAGCTGATTGAGCGTATTTGGGAATTGTAAGTCCTGGGCAGATCCAACTCATTTGCTCTTCTCTCCAGATGGAACACAAGCCATTTGCTCAGCGGCTCCCACAGCTTCAACCCCGTAATTTATAATTTTAGCTGGGTTGAGCAAATCTGTCCATTTATTTCTTTTTCTCGCTTCCTTTCAATCATAAATTGAGATCTCTTTTTTTCAACTTTGCATGAACCTTTATAAACATTTTGGAGCAAGCTTCTCCTAACACTTGCATTTTTTTCATGCATTCACCCCAACATACCCACCTTCTCCAAACCGCTTTCTATAGTGCATTTTAATGTTACTTTCCTTGATATAAGTATCTTTGCACAGAGTTTTGACTGCCAAATCGCACTGCAGAATTCAGAGATGAATTCATGTGAAAATGAGAGTGTGAACAGCATAAACATAAATTAACTGAGTCTCTTCTCCATCCTGTGGTTTTACATGCTGTCACACTGAAAGCATCAGCCTGACTTCAGAAAGGTAGCAATCAAGTTTAGACATAGATCGATTGTGGCCAGTTATTATACCGATTTTCCTGAGAGGAACCCACAGTTGTCTATGCAACCCCCTCTCCATTTTATCCTTACAACAACCCTGTGAGGTATGCAAGGCTGAGAGTCAGTGGCTGGCTCAAAGCCATCCAGGGAGAGCCAGACACGAGTACGGACTGCAACATCAGTGAAATATCAGTAGAAGATAAACTGGCCAAAGGAATACATTTCTAGAAGAAGTTCATTCTGGGGGTTATGGATAAAAAGTTAATGATTAATTTGTCCTTGGAATATTGCCCATCCGGTTTTCTTTAACTCCAGTGGATTTCCTTTGGATACGTCCTCTACTCTCTGGATCGTGGGACCTTCTGTTTCATTCGCAGGTACGTGTGTGTCGTTCCGTATTATGCATTCTGTTTCTTTTTCCAGCCTGACCAGTTGGAGCAGGCTCAGGTAGCGCCAGAGGGACATCCCGGGTTCTGAGCAGACACGCAAGCCATGAGCTGACCCACATGCATGTCCCACTTGAGAAAACACGATGAGAAAGCCATCCCGCCTGGCGCAGAGGCTGAGCTCCCGGCAGCTAGTCAAACAGGCACGGATGGGACACCGTGCTGGAAGTAGCTTCCTGCAGTGTCGTGAAGGAGGCATTCGGAGTACACATGTCCAAGAAAAGAGACATGGAAGTGGAAGGGGCTGTTTAGAGAATCAGCTCCAAGGGGGATTTGAATGGATCGAAACACCTGTGATGGACGGCTGTCCGATCGCTACTTAATACCCCCAAGCGAAGCAGAGGCCAGCACCTCCCAAGGCAGGTGGTGAAACAGAGCAATTCCATCGCTGAAATAATTGTGTTTTCACTTGCAAATGTTTTCGGGATCATCATGCATTTCCTGGATTTTCCCAACCCAGAGACCAGGAGATCTTTTTTCCCCTTTCACTTGTTAGTTTCCTTCTATGACAATTGAAAACCTATATATAGATGTTATACTCTATATACACTATAGATTTTCTATAATCTACCCTACCCTGGTGCAGTCCTAATATAGGGGTAAAATACCATTGCAAATAATGTGATTTTGAAAAAGCCTTCCTTGAGTAGCCCTTTCTGCACAGTTCAACATTTCTGCCCATTCTAAACACATTTCAACCATCAAAACCATGCTAGGACACCTCATTTTTCTAACCCTAACCCAATGATGGTGAACCTTTTAGGGACCAAGTGCCCAAACTGCAACCTAAAACCCACTTATTTATCGCAAAGTGCCAACACTGCAATAAAACCTGAAAACTGAGGTTTTAGTTTAGAAAAAACAACTCACAGCCAGTCCAAGCAAATAAACACACACACCCATCCCTCCCCCCCCCACCCTCCCCTTGGCAGCGCACTGACCAGCCACACGAAAGCTCAGATGAGTGATGGCGAATGAGTTGCAGCTCGTGATGTCATTGCCTGGTGCCACGACTCCTTTCCGAGCATGCGCATGGCCCCTGTGTGCGCGCTTATCCGATGCTGGGCTGCTGGGGCGATGCTGGGGCGCCTTGGCTCGCGTGCTGACAGAGAGGGCTGTGTGTGCCCCCTGCTGTATATAGTCTTTATAGTCTATATATAGATAGAAAATATTTATTTATTTATGTGGGATATTTCTTACCCGTCCAATCTGCGAGCATCTCTGTATACAAGAGATCATACAGTATACAAGATCATCATATAGAAGGAAGAAGCTTTCATCTTTCTTTTCAAAGCAGAATTCCATTTGTCACTTAAATCTTTAGCACAGCTGTATCTAGAAACGCCACACTGCAAAGGACTAGTGAGTGCAGGCAGGGGTGCCATGCTGCGGGGGCTTCCTGAGCCACCTCCATGCTGCAAATCTGCGTTTTTATACCTTTTATCCTCCTGTTTCTCTTAAGGAGAAAAGAGGGAGGGATGCCAGCCTCTGACTTCTCATTATTGCACTATCCTCTTATGTCCCTAGTTAGCCGTTATAATCTCCATTGCAATTTGTTAATATAATGATCCCTCTTATAAATCTCATCTCTTCCAGATTTTTGACTTAGGGTGCCCCACTCTGCCTTCACTGGGTGTAAGTCTCCAAACTCAGGGGTTTTAGTGCATCCAATGCCAGCTGAAAGCCTCCACGTGCTTCTCCCTGTGCATTTTATCTAGACAGCCATTTTCAGATTATAAAATCTATTTATAAACTATTATTTCCCTCCACAATTATAATCATGGCCTTCTCTCCTCTGCTCTTGTTGTAGATGGAGACTCCAGAGGCCTAACTGGACCAGCGTTGTGGGAAGATTTCTTTTTTCCACCATGAGAGCTTTACTGAAATCACAGATTCTCAAATCCGTCTGGCAATTTGGACAGCCTGAACAATCATTCCATCGCTCTCACCGGCTCCTTTACTCTCCCATATTCAAGCAATACGAAGCTGTCAGCCGTGGGGAGCAGCCACTACCTGAGTATTTTAACTTTGCAAAGGATGTATTAGACAAATGGTCACAAATTGAAAAGGTACAATTGTTTTCCTTAAATGGATGAGATGGCTGTGAATAAAGAGAGATGGGGTAATTAAATTTAAACTGAATTCTAAGAAGCAGGGGATATACACACACATACGGTTGGGCATAGCATGCTTTAGGACTTAAAAAAAAAAAAAAACAACCTTATTTTTACTTCCTTAATGTCTATACTGCCTAATAGCCAAAGCTCTTTTCTACATGATAAGACTCTCTGATCTGTGACTGGGAGTGAGGAAAATTCAGTTTTCAAATATGAAAGCAAAAGAAACTGCTTTTTTCACTTGTGCTATTGCTTTATTCTACTATACTATGGTGCCACCTAGAGGTCATGTAGGAGAAAAGCAGGAAAGGAAATACTCATGTAGTGATCTGATCTCGATTTGCGACAAAACCAGAAGTAGATGCAAAATCCAAAGCCAATGATGAGCAGCCTTCTGTAGGAAAGCTGTTAGAATAGACATGGTAATTAGGAGTCTCTTGGTGAGCATTCAGAAAAAACTTCATCTGCTTCCAAGACTCAATCACAACTAGCATAGTCCCTGCCCGAGAACTGTTGCACTGTACTGCACATACCAGCCAGGAAAAAAAGTTTTAAGCAGTGGCACTGAAAGATTAGCTTAAGCTGACAGCCTACCAGCTCTGCACGAGGCTGAAAAGGTAAGCAAAAGGGAGGTGTTTGCTTCCCCTTCCAGGTGTGTCCACACTGAAAATGTTTGTGAGCACCAGATATGATGCCCTGAACTATTACCCGTTAACAGCTCTAAGAACAAAACAAATGAATTTTTGTTGTTTTCTTTGCATTCATTTTTAGGATGGAAAGAAAGCTTTCAATCCAGCACTCTGGTGGATAAATGGAAGAGGAGGTGAAGTGAGGTGGAGCTTTGAGGAGCTGGGTATCCGGTCCAGAAAAGTAGCAAATCTTCTCTTGGACCAATGTGCCCTACGTCGGGGAGACCGGATACTGGTTGTTCTACCCCGCATCCCTGAATGGTGGCTGTTGACTGTGGCTTGCATAAGGACAGGTCAATAAAAATTGCTTTGAAGTTAGCAAAAAGAGATGAAGCTAGGAAATACCTGCGGTCAGGAGAGTCCTAAAGGCCGATATTTGTCCAGTCCTCTCTCCTCTTCAAGGGCCACTTCTGGAGTAATTGTAGACAATAGACTAAACATGAGCCAACAATGCAATGCAGCTGCCAAAAGGGCAAATGCTATTTTGGGATGCATTAACAGAAGTATTACTTCCAAATCAGGAGAAGTAGGAGTTCCTCTATACTCCTCACTAGTCAGACCTCACCTGGAATATTGTGTCCAGTTCTGGGCACCAAGATTTAAGAAAGATGCAGGTAAATTAGAAGGGGTCCAGCAGCGGGCAACAAAAATGATCCAGGGTTTGAAAACACCACCCTATGAGAAGAGACTGCGAGAACTGGACATGTTAGGTCTTGAAAAGAGAAGACTGAACGGGGATAAGATATCCCTCTATAAGTACCTCAAAGGCTCTCACAAAGAGGAAGGTCAGGATCTCTTCTCACTGATCCTGGAGTATAGGACACAGAATAATCAAGTCAAGTTGTGATAACCCAGATTCAGGCTGGACATCAGGAAAAGCTTCCTCACTGTCAGAGCAATACGGCAGTGGAACCAGCTGCCTGGAGAGGTGGGGGGCTCTCCCACAGTAGACACATTCAGAAAGAAACTGACAGCCATCTGAGTGGGATGGTGTAACATGGTGTCCTGCAACAGCAGGGGGTTAGACTAGATGGCCTTCATGGTCCCTTCCAACTCTCCTATTCTATGATTCTATGATTCTCTCCAACTGTTTCCCAGCCCAGGAAGCAATGCTTAAACTGTAACTCGCTAGGACTGTTTTGCACAGGTGCATCTCTGCCTTAAAACAAAACTCCTCTTGTAGGAATCATTCTTATCCCTGGAATATCCCAGCTGACAGCTAAAGATATGCAGTACCGACTCCAGGCTTCCAAGGCCAAATGTATTGTCACCACCGATGCTTTAGCGCCTGCAGTGGATTCCATTGCCAATGAATGTCCCTTCCTGCAAACCAAACTACTGGTATCTTCAGGGGAAGGCGAGAGAGATGGATGGCTGAGCTTCAACGCACTGTTCAAGTGAGCTTCCCTCACGGTGTGCCTGGTGAGGTAATGGCATCACCCGAATGAGGACCCGTAAAAATTCCATGGGGAATATCATGCCTCCTTGTGCACGTATCTTTCCCCAAAGAGGATGGAGGGTTTAGGTCCCCTGAACCAAGGTTGCCTTAACTTCGTGGGCTACCAATTTGTTTCTGGGCAGGGATCAAGCTGCCGATTTGCGAGATCAAAGTCAATGCCTCCCTTGGGCTTGTGGACAAAATGCAGCTCTTCTGGGCTCCCAGCAGTCTGAAGTCCGTCAGATGCTCATGACCCCTTCCAGTGGCCATGTCCCCTTGCCCCAGTTGGCTATTGTCCCATCGCTACAAGCCATTTTCAGAACCACGGAAAGCTCCTAAATGGCTGGACTGTGGCCAAGAGGGGCTAAGCTAAGCTGCCTCGCTGACATCAGAGCCACAAGCTGGCACTGCAGGTGCCATTAGGTATGGTCTGAACCTCATTAGCCATCTGGGCTTTGAGCCGCTTTAATCATGCTGATGTTCTTTGCTGAACAGAGATGCAGCTGCCAGCCACAGCTGTGCGGAAACAAAGCTCCATGACCCAATGATGATTTACTTCACCAGTGGAACTTCGGGCGCTCCGAAAATGGCTGAGCTTTCCCAAGGCAGTCTTGGCTTCCGGTCGATTCTTGGCAAGAGGTACAAATGAGGGCTGTGTGAGAACTGAGGTGCATAGCCAAACCAGCAAATTCCATATGTAGGATTTCATTGTTGCAAATAAACTCCTAGGGAAATAAAATTCCGTTTTTGGTGAATAAAGGATTCCCTATATGCAGGAGCAGTCTACCTTTGCTTTCCAGCTGCTGGGGGAAATAACAGACAGTCTGTGTTACATACTTTATCCCATGTTTGCTTGAGAAACAGTGAGGCAATGTTGTTTAGACCATTGGACCGGGCCTGGAGAGATTTCAGTTCAAAGCTCTGCTTAGGGACAAAGCCCAAGAGGTGATCTTGGACTCTCTAACTCATGAACTGACCACATGGGGCTACTCTGAGGATACAGACTCAGTAGCAAGTACGGTACCCCTGAGCTGGGTGAAAGAAAGTCAGGATACAATATGGGTGGGTTCTTAGTTTTAAAGAATGATACAATTAAGGAAACCCCATCAATCATTGAGTAGAATCTGTTGACTTTAATAATAATGAGCCTCACTTACCTGCTACTGAGTAGGACTCGTTAATCACCGAGTACGACTCATCGACCCGAATGGGATCAAGGACGACTTACCAACCCTCATACCTCTGAATTGTTTTATCTTATTTGTTTTATTGCACCCTTCCTACTACCCAATAACTGAAGCAAAAAGTATTTACAATCATAAACTACAACATAGTAAAATGTATACCATAACTTGTCAACCACTCGGAAGGACTCGTTGATCTTCAGACCACTGAAAACGGCCATGCATGAGTCTTTGTTGTAGTGTTGGACCAACTGGTGAAAACGTTCTTTCCTCTGCTTTTCAGGCTCTGGTTGGACCTAACCCCTTCAGACATTATGTGGTCCACTGTGGACACAGGCTGGATTGTGGCTGCCCTGGGAACGGTTTTTGGTCCCTGGGTGTTTGGATCATGCATCTTTATACATAACCTGGAACAAGTGCAGTCAGCGACTATCCTAAATGTGAGTTGAACCCTTCTCAGGACAATTCGCTCCATCCTCTTCTTGTATTCTTTCCTGTTTCTCTTTATCATGGCAGCTTTCTTCTTTCTTCCTGAGCTTCCATGTTAGAGTGAACTTTAAAGTTATTTGAACCACAATTAGCTTGTTTTAGTTATAATATAGTTTTATTGTGGTATAGGCCTTGCTGTAAAAATGTGAGGACTACACCCCCACATTGGCCTTAAAGAAGACATGAGACTATTTGGGAGTTTCTGCTCTGTGTAAAAGATCCATCAATGCCTAATAATATAAGCTGCCCAGGCCATAATATTTGCCCGTCCAGTGATAGCCCCGTCCTGCTGAGATGTCAATCCAACATTAGGAAAGAAGGTGCTTCCATACTGCCGCATAAAGGGCTGTCCCAAAGCACCATCTTTGTATCGAGGGTTTTGTGGCTGGACCTCCACCTCTGTCTTGTACTGAGGCGCTTGGACAAGTCGCTTTCTTTGCAGTCTCCTTACTTTGCCTTCTGGGAAATGAGAGTTTGGTGACTGGCTATGGACGTCATTTTATGAATGGGCTCCCCAGCCCTGGATAGTATCCGTTTGATAAGAGTGCCTATAGCTAAGCATGCTGCAAGGAAAGATCCTTCACGGCAATGGATTATCTGAGAGCAAAACGAGCAGATAAATGGGAATGTGGTCACGTACAGATTCCTCTTCCCACTGCGACTGCCACTTCTACGCATCGGTTTGTTTATTTGAGATCCCAACGAGGTTAAAGAAAGCTTCACTGATTCAGCAGTTGAGTTGGCTGTTGTTGTTCCCAGCAGCAGCATTTCTTAGTTCCCCATTCTCTTTAAGAAGACCCAACAGCAAAATTATTGAAACGTGCAAAATACGAGTGAGCTTAAAAGAATGTTTGTTAAAAGGCCCCAATAAATAGCAAAATAGCAAAGCAAACATCAGCTCTGAGTCAGAGCACAGCCAATCGAGGTACTTTCAGATCCCTAGAAATGGAGGGAAGTCTTTATCTCATGTCAAAGTTGGTAACCCCTGGAGAGAGCATTCCACAGTCAGAAGGCCACCACTGAAAAGGCCCCGTCCTTCATTGCTGTCCTCCAAGCCTCCCTCAGAGAAGACACTCCGAGGAAGGGCTTCAGAGGTTGCTTTCAGGGTCTGGGTAGGGTCATACCAGAAGAAGCACCGCATTGGGTGACGCAGTCCTGTGTCTAAATTAAGTTAGACAAAACAGCACCTAGGATGGGCTTTGGAAAAACAGAGGCGGCAGCGAGCCAGAATGATCCGGAATCAAACCGTGCTGTTCATGCACAAACTTAGCTTGTTGTCTTCCTCTTCTTCCTCTTCTTCTTCCATGCATTAGACTCTCTCCCGATTTCCCATCACCACTTTCCTGAGTGTTCCAACCATGTACCGCATGTTGGTGAAGGACGATCTCACCAGGTACTCTGGGAAGGAGCTTTCGGAAAAGGACGGCCACAATGAGGATGTTCCGACTCACACAGACCATCGTCTGCAATGCAGCTAACGCTTGATTTTCCCTAGCACAAAAGATTTCCCCTGCTTGCCCTCAATCCAAGTTGAAGCTTACAACCCATGAAGCCGTCTCTATTTCCAGCTGCACACTGAGCTTGGGGAAGGGCCTTTACCTCCTCTCCCCAATCTGTGGGGTCTGCTACTGCAACGGTGTCGTGGTGCTTTTGAGGTGCAGGCCCTTGTCAAGGCAGAGTGTTTGCATGCTCCCCAGGGAGAATCCAAAAATACAGGCTGCCGCATTGGGCCATGTCAACACACCAGCTCTAGTTCTGTGCAGCTCATCCACTCTCCTTGCCCACTCACAGGCAAGCTGCTTGAAGCACCTTGTGACACGGCTAGCTCATGATTTTATATTGTTGCTGGGAAAACCCATGTCCCCTACCTCCGGCGACGGTGAATTGCTGTTGAGCTCAAGGGGAAGAGGGCAATTTGGGGGGGGGGATGACACCAGTGCCCCCGCTTCTCAAGACCTACCAGCTCTGCATGCCCACAATTCCTGATTCTACTGCTCCACTCCAGGGCCAGCAGTGCCCGGGGAGCCTGAGAAAAGCAGTTTTCCCTTGGGTGCCTGACATCTTTGGAAGAGGCTTCAGGCCCCCTGGAAGCTACACACCGCAGGCTCCCTGGCACTGTTCGCCTGCCACTGGGAAGTGCCAAGGAGGGGGGAGCTGGGGCAGCCCCACACACTCTCGCAGTACCCCTCCTGTGGCCATTGCTGGGTCGTGGAGGCAGAAAAGTGGAGACAGGAGCTGGGGGAATAGTTGATGGGGGTGGGAATGGTCATGGGGAATCAGGAGGTGCTTGGCTCCTGTTTAGCTCCCACTGACATCAAGAAGAGCACAGCAGTCCATATTTAGCCCAGAACAATGGAAGCTTAGCGTCAGGGTCAATTTGGACCTCCTGGGCCTAGGTATTAGTCTGGTAGCCGCTTTTTGCACAAGATGCGTCTTGTGAACAGGGAAATCGTGTGCCAGGCTCCCTGGCCCGCCGTACTCTTACTGATAATACGGGTTAAGCTTCTTTTGATGCGGATGCCCCAGAATACCAGTCTCCCCATCCTTAAGGGTCTCTCATTTTCTTCCTCCGCTTGAAGTTATAAATTCCTGAGTCTGCAGCACTGCATCAGTGGAGGGGAACCTCTGAATCCGGAAGTGGCGGAGCAATGGAAGAACAAGACGGGCCTGGCCATCCACGAAGTATATGGACAGACAGAAGCAGTAGGTTCCATCTATTTCCAGTCTGGGGCAGCTATGCATGGGTTCAAGCAAAAGTCAGTTTTCCCCAGTTCCCTGTGAATTTTGGTTTTAAGATGTATGAACACTTATCTTTAACCTTGGTGTGTCCTCTGCCACATAAATTGCACAGTTCTGTGTGCCAGAGGTACAAAACCACAGGGTGGGGAGCCCAGTCTGGACCTAAGGAGTTCCTAGAAGGTTCCACCATTTCTTCTGGCCTTGTCCCCTTTTCCCTGACCATGGATGGTTTGGTCCTTTTCAGGTTTTTATGTAATGTGTCTTCCCTTCTAACTGGTTGAAATGCCTCTCCTCCAGTTGAGTTGCAGGCTGTAAAAACTGTAAGCTAAAATTGGTTTAGAAACATAGAAACTGAGTGAGTCAGAAGGGGCTCCGTTCACGACATGCCTACCATGTGCATGTCCAGCCTGTTAACTCTCATTTCAACAACACCCCATGGTTCGACGACAGTCAGTATCATAGAAGAGGCATTCCAAAGAGGATGTCTCTTCCTTGGGGTTGGTTTGGAGAGATTCAGGATCAGAGAACTTGAAGCCAGCAGCAAGATCAATGGCGACATGGAGGTATGTGAGGGGGTGTCACATGGAAGTGGGTAGAGACCTGTTCTCCCCTGCAGAGGAGGGCAGGACGCACTCCAGCGGAGCCTAGCTCAAGGAACCAAGGCTCAATTTGGATGCCAGGAAGTACTTCCTGACAGCACACCAAGGGTACGGAATGGGCTTCCACAGAAGGTGGTTGAGGCCCCATCAGTGAGGGTTTTCAAGGACAGGCTGGACATGTAGTGATCTGAGTTAGCATGTTGTCCGGACCCAGACAGTATCTGCTATTAAAGCATGTTTCTTGGTTCAAAGCTGTAGTTTTCAACAGAATAAATGAATCAACTACTTTTTAAAAATGTGTATGACAGCCCCGCTGTTCGATGAAATTTCTGACAAGCACAACAAAAGCTTATGCATGCTTACTTGGAGGTGATTCCTACTGAAATCAGTGGGACTCTGTTCCGATGCATGTTTTGCTAGCTGCCTGTGTCCCCAGATCCAGGAGAGGGGAGTTGAAAATCTCCATTTTCTTTTTCAAAGTCAGACTCTTCTTTTAAACAGGGTATTATTTGTTCGACGAGCAAACAGATGAAGGTTAAGCCAGGCTCAATGGGAAAGGCATTTCCACCATATGATGTTCAGGTTGGTCAATGCAGTTTTTTGAACTTTCATTGGTTTTAACATCTTTCCTTGCTGTGAGACGCTGCAATGCATTGATGCATTTCTCTTCTTGTAGATCATAGATGAAGAGGGAAACATTCTACCTCCTGGGCAAGACGGCGAAATAGCAATCAGAGTGAAGCCCAAAAGGCCACTGGGCCTTTTCTCCCGCTATGTAGTAAGAAATCTACCTGCCCCCTAGAGAAATCAGAGTGACTGGTGGGACACCATAACCCACACTCCAGAGTCGAATCTGAATATGAGTTGAGCATTGAACTGTGAGTTGCTGCTGAAATGTGGGTTATCTTGTTGTCTGAACCTGGCCACATAAGAAACCTTGATGAACAACTCATAGTTCACAACTTAACAGTAAGCCATGGGTTCTCCTCATGGCTTGTTCAAGATTAACACCCATGGCTTGTTGTCCCAGCTAGGTCCAGACAACACAATAACCCTCATCTGAACAACAACCCACACAACTCTTCATCTCCATAAAACTGATGGGTCCCTATTGCCCATTGAATATGGCCATCACCATCCTCACCTTCATTTCTATACCACCCAATAGCCAAAGCCCTCTGGGCATTTCACACAATGTATAAAATTACAAACCACAAATACAGATGATAAAATACAACACAGCATTTCAATACCCAAAATTTGAAACCATTTAAATAGCTGAAAACAATATGCATAAAAATACTAGATATGTTTAAAGACAATGAATGGAAATGCCCCATCATATACTATTAAATACTATGGCGGGGGGGCTTTTCAGCATCTTCTACCCGGCCTCCTTTTCCCACCACTGGAAAGCAACACCCAAGAGTTTTTCTGAAACTGAACTTGGCCCTGGGGCTGAAAGGGGTTGGATCGCTGCTTCTCTGCAGACCACAGCTAAGGCAAACCATGGCTAACTCCACCCTTCTGAAATGTTTTTGTTAGGATAACCCAGAGAAAACAGCTGCGACAGAACGAGGAGAGTTTTATGTTACGGGGGACAGAGGAGTGATGGATCAAGACAGATACATACGCTTTGTTGGACGGGCAGATGACCTCATGACGTCTTCAGGGTTAGTTCGATTCCTTTCCTTCTTCACTTTGCTGTTGTGGAACCCCAAATATATGAGCAACTTCAACCTCGCGAGTCTTCCGACCGACATATAAATACCACAACAATCCCCAAAGTAGGTCTCCTTCGGTTTTAGACTTCCCTGAGACAGTTTGATTTCAACGTCCTTTTCTCGTAGGTATCGCATAGGACCGTTCGATATAGAGAATGCCCTTCTGGAGCATCCCGCAGTTGCAGAAGCGGCTGCCGTCAGCAGCCCCGATGCCCTCAGAGGAGAGGTAAAGCGCACGGTTGCAACAGGAGTATCTGCACACCCGCTGCTCCTGGCTCCCAGCAATAGCGCAGGCAACAGCCACCCTCTGACTGCACCTCCGTCGCTTCTGCTGCTCTTGGCGGTCCCGCACGGAGTGCGGCTGGAACCAGCACTTGCCAAGCAGGGTGCTGGAACCTTGTCCAGTCCTAAGGCCAAATCCAGCTTCAGAGATACTCTGAGGAGCAGCATCCCAGGGGTGGATGGAGCTGAAGTCAAAGTTCATGGGGGGTAAACGGGCAAGCATAAAAACGCAAATGCTACGGTCTGGAGGCACATGGTACAGCCAGCTTGTTGAGGGTAAGCAGGTTTGGGGCCGGCCTGAGCTTGGAGGGGAGACCACCTGGGAACTGCATGTGACCACCTTGAGTTCCACGATGGAAAAAGGTGGGATATAAATATAATAAATAAGTGCTTTAATGTAAAGTTCATACTGCCGGGAACGAAGGCTTTAGCAGAGGCATTTCAACCTACAAAAAAGCCAGGAAACCACTAAATGATTGCTGGGAAAGAGAGATGGGAAGGCCAGGTTCTTCTCATCACCCAGTTGCTGAGCTCAGCTCTGGGCCAATCATCTCTCAAACTAAGCTTGTGATCCTAAAGATAAGCTCAGGTGAGCTCAGTGGAAGGTACCCCTGGGTGGAAGTACTTAGGATAGAAAGTTACCTGTCACACAGGGCTGCTGTGAGGATAAAATCAGGGGGAAGATGAGGTGCTTTGCCTCAGGCTCCTTGGGGGAAAGGTGGAAAAGAAATGAAATAAGTAAGAGGACCATCTCCTTGCTACTTCTTTATGCAGATGCATCCTGGCAAGTTGAAACACGCTAGAAAATCAGGTGTCTTTGGAGACATGCCTTGAGCTCAGTAATTATTGTGCTTGCTTAGAAGCAGCAGGCAAGCTTGGATCCATTCACAGGATTCTTCCAGGCTGAGATGTTTCACAAGGCGATACAGGATCCAGATGATGTGGGGAGTTTTTACTAGTCTCCGGCACTCCTTCTAGAGTTAGAACTAAAGCATGGGCTCACGAAGGGCAAGATTAACTTGTGTACGGCTTTCTGATCATGGGTTGAGGCTGCAGCCTTAGCTTCCACCTTTCCTGACTTCACAACGAGGTGGTTTTATTTCTGGTCTTAAAGTGGCAGAAGGGTGTATTCCTATTTCGAGCATATGTGATAACTGATTATGTCAACTCTGCCTTTTAGGTAGTGAAGGCATTTGTGGTCTTGTCTCCAACCTATACCTTAAAAAACAAGGAGGACTTAACCGTTGAGCTGCAGGAACATGTCAAGAAAGTGACTGCCCCATACAAATATCCCAGGAAGGCAAGTACCGCCAGGAAACAAAGATGCTCAAAGATTGGGTCCTGGGACCAACAATGGAAGCTCCAACAGCTCTTTTTAAGCACACGGAATCATACAGTTAGAATGCCAATTAAGGAAATGAAGGACAAATGCACTAGTTAGGGTGTAGGAAAAAATTGCCATGCCTGAGCCAGCCGTCCCCAAGACCATTGGTCATGCTGGCTGGAGAGGATGGTAGAACGAAAAGGAAGTAGTCTGGGAAGAAGAATCTGAGGTCAAGGAGAGAGCCAGCAGGGCTGTCCTTCTAAGGGGAGGGAGCCATGGCCCTCTCCCCTGAAGACCCCAGTTTCCTTACTTCTCCTGACATGGGTAGATCTTCAGCATCGTTTATTTCTGGGATATTTCTCTGGCTCCTCTGGGAGTAGGATTTCTCCAGAAAAGGCATGACATCTCCCCTAAGACCATAAAATCCAAGGTCCAAAATTACCTGCCTGGATGGACTAAGCCTTGCAGAACAGGCCTATAAATACGGTGCACAGAACGTCACACACAGAATCAGAAAGTTCACACTACTTTTTGTGTTGGTTGCTTTTAGATGGAGTTCGTCCAGCAGCTCCCCAAGACAACCACAGGGAAAATCAAAAGGAACGAACTGAGGGACAGAGAATGGGGGCGAATCTAACACAGCGGAGACTTTGCATGACCACCAGCCTGGTTAACTCTGCAGACATCCTTCAAGGTCTGCTGATATCAGGATGACCTATTTCTGGGTTGGACTTCAAACATTCAAAAGAGATTATACATTAAAAGGAAGGACAGAGGGCAGGGAGGTTGCTTCATGCTGAGCAGGCACTGGGAGGAGAACTGGGTGGATGTCCAAGCTGGCGCTCCACGGCTGTGTTCCACTGTGGCAAGAGAGGTCCCAGGAGACTAGGAGTCTCTCCACAATGCAAGAGCCAGTGTGGCACAGGAGTGAGGCGTGCTGGCCTGCAGCTCAGGAGGCCTCGTTTCTCATCCCTGTGGAGCTGAGTGGCTTTGGATTGGACACTGAACCTCAGCCTCAGGGTTGTGTGCAGGTAAAATGGAGACGAGGCAGATCACGTATGCCACCTTGGGCTCCTTGCAAGAAAGGCGGGATATAAAGCCCACAAATAAATGAATCATATAGGAAAACACTGGTTGATTTGCAAATATACAAGCCAAGTGTAGTGGAAGCCAAGAGAGTTCTACAGCAAGCACTTACAAAAACTTTTGCCACTTTTCAATCAAATAGAAATCAAATAGATTTCTTCTCCTCCTCCTCCTTCATATCCATCCTCTGTCTCCTCCTTCTCCTGCATCTATTCCTCCTCCTTCTCAGTCCTGTCCTACATCATCATGGCTATGCAGTCTTTCGATACGGCTGCCTTAAGCCATTTCTTCAGGATGCAGCAAGGGATACAGGCAGCCCATCACATTCCTCCTCCTATCATACACCTGGCAGAAGCCATTCTATTAGCCTCTCCCCCAGAAAGCATTGCCAGGAGCCTCCACATTCCCTGCTGCATCTGCCAGGGAATAAGCACACGATCCTATTTGTGCTCAGACAGAAAAGCTGAAGAAAAGGCCTTCAGCTCCCACTACCAGCTGTGCTGGAGTTGTAGCCTTTTTTCTGTACAACAAAGTGTGCGATTGCACTTTACTCGATCCTATGCATAATTTGAACAGGAAAAAGTCCTACCACTCCCAGCATCCCCCTTGCGTAGGATTGCACACGAATTCATTCAGTCTGCAAGCCTCTGTTTTGAGACCAGGTTAAAACTGCAAAGCTCATGGACACCCCATCCGGCCTTTACTGCCTCTTCCCCCCTTGCCTGCTCTTTCCAACATCCAGCCTGACGGCTGCCTCTGAAGACCTCAAAACTTGCACATTCTGTGAAATTTTGGTTGCTCCCAATAAAGGTATTGGCCAGCGATGGATTTTTGATTTTATTTCCCATCATGGCTCTCCTTGATCTGTGTTTTGTTTATTGCTTACTCAGTCGTATTTTCCTTCTTTAAAATGGATTTGGTTGCTTCTCTGGGTATTATGCATACCACTGATTGCACAATTAAAATCATACCATATAAATAGAACACCAGGTTCACGTTAAATACGGACTTAGAATTGCTTTTCCGCTTCATGGGCACACTGCACCGTGCTAGTCGCTAGCCTCTTGCTTCTTGACACCACGCTGCACCCGTCAAAAGCGTTTTGAATCTAAACCAGTTGGAAAGGATCCTGAGAACAGGCTGAGCAAGTGTTAAAAGTGCCGACTCAAACCCATCCATGCCCTCCTTAGCAGATGGGCTGGGCAGTTTTTCAATGAGGAGGCAACACCGTTTTGGCCGGGGAGGGCGATGCTCGTCTGGAGACCCTGCACTGTCAGTGCCTCTTTGGCATGGGGAGGGCAAGGCGGAGGGCCAGGGGTCAGCTCCCCCCTCCACTTTTATTCCATAACTCCCAGGGAGGCTTCCCATTCCCAGGGAGTTTGTGCAGGAAAAGCAGTACCTGCCCGCAAAGGCCATGAGACGGAATCTGCCACGCCTGAAATCGCACGGTGCCTCAGTGCCTAACTTCGGCTCACTCCATTTAGGGGTGCGAAACGTCAGGCGGCTGTTCACATTTCAGTACGTATGAAACCCCTTCCAGAAGAGTTATCCCAGACTGGTTCACAATGCCAACCCTTTGTCCTCCCAGATGTGTTATGATGACACGGATCGCTCACCTATTTCATCTGCAAGGAAATCAAAGCAGCTTGCATAATCTTCCGTTTTATCCTAACAACAACCCTGGGAGGAAGGCTAGGGTGAGAGTCAGCAACTGGCCCTAAGTCACTCAGTGTGTTTTGCAGCCAGGTGGAGGCTAGAATCAGATCTCCTATGCGCCACACTGGCCCTTGAGGAATTCCTACTCCCATCGTCCACCACCTGCATGACGAGATGTAACCCAGGGCTAGCTACCTCCCAACACAACTCAGGTCTCCAGAGCAAGTATGGGTGTTGGTGGACCCTGGAGCTGCCTGTTGGGGGGTGCTAACCCTACCCAGCCTGAGGAAAATCCCTTGAGGAAAGGCCCGTATGATTGTAAACACATAAAACTTGGCAGGCTGCTAAGGAGGGATAAAGAGCGTGATTATTTTTAAAGAAATTACATAAGCAGGTCAACACTGGCCTTAGAAACACCTCCTCTCACTGAGCTTCCAAGTTTCCATATATGTGGTAATAAACATGGCAAGGACATTATAGAAGGCTTAACAAAGCTATTGCCCTAGTATGGATATTGGGATTTTCCATATGACCAACGCAGCTACCTGAAGGCATCCTCTAATGGACTCGGCTATGAACCTCTGAATACAGAGGACTACAGGCATCCTATGAAGGCAGAAGAAGGTCAGGGGCAACCTGCCCCCTGTAGCAGAAAAACTTTACTGAGAGAATGACAAGGAGATTTCCAAAGTCCAGTAAGTAGTGGCGTGAACTTTCACAGCATCCAGAAGAAGAATAGCTTTTTGGATCCATGCCTTGGTCTGAAGCAGCGCCTCAGCTTAGAAGATCGCCTTGAAGCTGCTTGTTCTAATTATATTCCTTAAGGTAAAGGTAAATGTTTCCCCTTGACATTAAGTCCAGTCATGCCTGACTCTAGGGGACGGTGCTCATCTCCGTTTCCTAGCCAAGGGAGCCAGCGTTTGTCCGCAGTCTCCGTGGTCATGTGGCCGGCGTGACTAAACACCGAAGTGCATGGAATGCTGTTATCTGCCCACTGAAGTGGTACCTTTTCATCTACTTGCATTCGCATGCTTTCGAACTGCAAGGTTGGCAGGAGCTGGGACGGAGCAACGGGAACTCATCCTGTTGTGCACATTCGAACCGGCGACCTTTCAATCAACCAGCACAGCAGCACAGCGGTTGAAACCACTGCACCACCTGCAGTCCCTTAATTATATTCCTTAGACAAGGGCTAATTTTGCTGTGAGAAATGAAACTGTTCGCTTTACTTCAAGCCTCCTTTTCTCACAGGAAGGAAGATAAGCTTGTGACTTACTACAGCCTCTGAACTTTATCAAACCCGTGGTAAGAAGTTTTGTCCTTTGGCTCCCAGCTTGGGACAACAAACACAACTGTCCAAGCAACTTGGCTGTGGAGCAATGCCCACCACATTAGGAAGCCTTGTGACCAGAGAAAGGTGTATTTATTGACAAACCCCATCCATATTATAACCTCGTAGTTAATAAACTATCTGTCAGCTTTCACACAAGTGAGTGCCGAAGAATTGAGGCCTTTGAATTATGGTGCCGGAGGAGACTCTTGCGAGTCCCTTGGACTGCAAGGCGATCAAACCAGTCAGTCCTAGAGGAGATCAACCCTGACTGCTTTTTGGAAGGCCAGATATGAAAGCTGAAGCCCAAATACTTTGGCCACCTAATGAGAAGGAAGGGCTCCCTGGAGAAAACCCTGATGCTGGGAATGATTGATGGCAAGAGAAGAAGGGGATGGCAGAGGATGAGGTGGCTGGATGGAAATGATATTTTATTTACACAGGCAAAGATGCCCACCTCGGACTTTAGACACCAGGCTGTTCTGAACATTAATAGTGAGGAGGGTATTGACCAGTTCATACCATGACAAGCTGGTCGCTGAGTCCAAAGAAGGATTGATTAACCTGGGTGCACCATTCCCTTCTACAGCCTGCCTGATTATGTATTATAAATAGATAACCAAGAAAGATTAACAGTCCAAATGGAAGCCCATGCTACTCACATTTATACCATTTGCTGCACTGGACAAGGGGACATCTGTCCCAAAAGATCACATTACCTACCGAAGGCAAGATTTCCTATCTGTGGGTCTTTCATCTTACTCCCTTAATAGCCAAGTCATTCTTCATCTAAATTCAGCATGGATCTTTATTTGCTGTCAGAGGAAACATACCATAAAACATTGGAGACCTGAGCAATGATTCTCTATTACCATCTAACACCAGACAAGTAGACAGTATAACAGCTAAATCTCCCAGTGTTATTATTTGTTCTATTTCTATACCACCCGTAGCCAAAGCTCATATTATCTAGAGGTTGAACAAGTCTTTGCAGCAAGTCAATAGTCTAGCCAGAAACAGAAACTCCTCTGTGACTAAAGGAAAAACTGCATCCACCTTTGGTAGAAGAAATACTACAACTCCCAGCAGCCCCCAGCCAGCAAGGTAAAGAGAAAAATGCAAAAGGTTTTGACTAAGATTTTTGATTAAGTCTTTCTTCTAGGATTGCTTCATAGAGCTGATATTCCCCAGTGACCTACTCTCCATTTCCAAATGAAGAAAAAGTGTTTTACTGTGCATTTAGGCATTAATTAACTTAAAGAATAAAAGAGAAGAGGAGCTTTTGCACATCAGTGAAATATCAGTAGAAGATTAACGTGCAAAAGGAATACATTTCTAGAAGAAGTTCATTCTGTGGGTTAAGGATAAAAACGTAATGATTAATTTGTCCTTGGAATATTGCCCATCTGGTTTTCTTTAACTCCAGCGGATTTCCTTTGGATACGTCCTCTACTTTCTGGATCGTGGGACCTTCCATTTCATTCACAGGTACGTGCATGTCGTTCCGTATTATGCATTCTGTTTCTCTTTCCAGCCTGACCAGTTGGAGCAGGCTCAGGTAGCGCCAGAGGGACATCCCGGGTTCTGAGCAGACACGCAAGTCATGAGCTGACCCACATGCATGGCCCATTTGAGAAAACAAGATGGGAAAGCCATCCAGCCTGGCGCAGAGGCTGAGCTCCCGGCAGCTAGTCAAAGAGGCACGGATGGGACACCGTGCTGGAAGTAGCTTCCTGCAGTGTCGTGAAGGAGGCATTCAGAGTCCACATGTCCAAGACTATATTCAAGACAGAGACATGGAAGTGGAAGGGGCTGTTTAGCGAATCAGCTCCAAGGGGGCTTTGAATGGATCGAGGCACCTGCGACGGGCAGCTGTCCGATCGCTACTTAATACCCCCAAGCGAAGCAGAGGCCAGCTCCTCCCAAGGCAGGTGGTGAAACAGAGCAATTCCATTGTTGAAATAATTGTGCTTTCACTTGCAAATGTTTTCAGGATCATCATGCATTTCCTGCATTGCCTCACCCCAGAGACTAGGCGATCTTTTTTCCTTGTTAGTTTCTTCATATGATGTTTGAAAGTCATAACAAAATATATAGAAGAAAGAAGTTTTCATCTTTCTTTTCAAAGCAGAATTCCATTTTGACACGTAGATCTTTAGCACAGTTGTATATAGAAATACCACACTGCAATGGACTAGTTAATCTGAAGCACCACACTTTAAGAATATTGAAGATCTGTGATCATGCAATAATTTTTTCATGTATTTTGCTTAGGATTTGATGATGATGATGATGATGATGCCAGTAGGGGCCAGAGATCAGAGACTCATCACTCATAGAATATTAGCATTGCAAAGGATCCTAGAGGTCATCTATTCTCATTCTCTGCTCAATGCCAGATCTAACATGCATGAATTTAGAACTGCAGCATTCCGCCTGGGAGACAGCCATCAGCCTCTGTGAAAATTCCTCCCCCTCCAAAGACTCATGCCATTAAGAAATGCTCTCTGTATTAAGATGTTGCTCTCTGCAACATCTGCTCCCTCGGAAGTTTCACCGGTTTGTTGTAGTTCTGCCCACTGGAGCATGAGATGCGTGTCTTGAGATACCAGGACGATCACCTCAAAGAACAAGATGTACAAAGTGCACATATTGCGCTAAAGGGGTGTGAGATGTTGGTCTTGACCCGCACGCTTCGGTGAGCAAGAGAAACTATTTTTCCACGCTGCTGCTACTATAGCACCACGCCTGAACTTGATCGCGTGACTGGCTTGCAATTGTGACAGAAGGGGAAGCAAGACTTGTCGAGAGAAGTCCTCGGGGAAAAGAGGGAAGCGTTTTGCCAGCGGAGGCTGTTGACCACGAAGCCAGTGGGCTCCCCCTGCCCTGCAACCCCGGCACTCTTATAGGAGCTCTCCATGGTGCCAAGTTCCTTCCCCAAAAGAGCTTCGCCCTCATGGGTAACGAGTCACCAAACTCCCCTGCCTTTTGCACATGTCCAGAGGCAGTGTTCTGTACTCAACTCTTAATTTTTCTTAAATCTGCAAAACTTTAGATAAATCTAATGCTGTATGTGCATGTATTCATACAACTTCACACGTGCTCATTTATGCCTGTGCCCTGAATCTTTTATGTATATCGAAAAGTCCCTGAATGAAAATACATGTTACTTATAATCTGCAGCATACTGTTTGTGCACATTGGGTCTCGAGAGCCCATGTGAAGACTCAAGTTGGATCCAAATTTTGACATACTTGTTGCTATGTCCCGTCTTCCATCGTATTTCCAGCTGGTATGCCATAAGAATGGCTAAAACTGGTTCAGCCCATACAATAAGTCTTCCATTTGCCCTCATGGTGGATAGGGCTCACTGCAGGTTGCCTAGTCTGCATGAGCTGTTTCCCATTTCAGCACACGATTGTTACTTCAGGGATTCTCTACAGGAGACATTTATGGTGTATTTATGATTCCACGCTCCTGGTCCTTTGCAGGTGGTTATATGTGATGTCATCTCCATCAGGGCCTCTCTCATGCTTGGCAACCATTTATGCGGCATTTTAGATTGCGGAAAATCTGGTATTATCTGAAAAACACACCAAGAGAAGCTCGTGTGTTGCCACCGTTCCACTGTACTGCAGCACCACCTGGTGGCTGTGGAATGGAACATACAGAAAGGCAAAAGAAAAAACCTAAGTGTAAAGGGGACAATCTTAATCCCACAAAGAATCCAGAAGCTGATTCTTGCTAAAGTGACGGGTCAAAAGCCTTTTGTACAGAAATCCCTAGGTCAGAATTAGCCCCTTTCAGAAAACTCACAAAATGTGGCTGAAGTCTTGTTCATCTTAATTTTCCAATTGCAGGTTTGTTATCTTCACCAGCTCCCTTCACCTGTTTCTCATATACAGACAATAACAGAATTTGGAATGCCCTTTTATTCCTTTTTTATTTCCCACTGAAGGTAGAATCATTCATGGCAGGTGCGATTCAACTCCTCCCAAGACCACATGCTTTGAAGTTTGTGAGGGCCTCTAAATTGCCTTATAGGATCCAGAGGCAAAGCAGTGGTGCCGTTTCTCCCGGAGATTTCTCAGACTTGGAAGCCCTGTATAGAGAAGCACCAGAGTATTTTAATTTTGCAAGAGATGTGCTGGATAACTGGAGCCAGAAAGAAAAGGTATGGCTTTGTATCTTCTAAAAAGTATAATATATAAACCCTGTAGTATAGGTAGTCCAGAAAAGGGCAACTTTGGAGAATTGGGGAGGGATGCATGGATTCCCCCCCCCACACACACACACACCCCTACCCCGCTGCACTGCCAGTTCTGATGCCAAAATGCAGTTGCAAAGAGGAAGTAGCAATTTTCTTTAAAACAAGATGTGTGGAACACACATGCCTTTTTTGGGCACAAAATCAGGGCCCATGAATGCAGTTCTGTTTCTCCAAATCATGTCTTTTTGGCCACTTCTGCAGCAGGGGGTAAATTCCTTTCCAGAGACACTCCAGGGGCCACTTTCGAAGGGAAAGGGCCAAAGTACTGGCAGTTTCAGCTTCTTGCTGCTGGAAACTAAGTCTTAGGAGAACCACTTCACACTTTTAGAAGCGGGCGTGGGGGAACTGCGCAAAGGCCAGGAAATCACAAAACCACCATTGGTCTGGAAAAAGGGGGAGTGCCAGAGAACTAAATGGGGATGCCAGGCCCAAGCTGCCGTGCTCCTGCAATGGCTACTGTTGTTTTATCTATTTATCAATCTATCTCTCGATCGATCAATTGATCTATTGTTCCATCTATCACATTTGTATCCCACCCCATAGCCCAAGGGCTTTCGGGGCAATTTACAATAAAATGCAACAGAATCAACAATATATCAAACAAAATAATAATACAAACAATTTAAAAAAAAATTAAAATAGCACAGAAACTTGGCAGTGAATGGCAGGGAGAAATAAAAGTGAAAGCAGCAAGGGTACTGGGAAAAACTCCATGAGAAGTATATTCCATAGGGGGAGCGGGGGGAGCAGAGAGAAAACCTTCCTCTTATCCGTCACTCCCCTCATTTCTTTGGGGGGGCGGGATGGCTCTTGGAGAAGGGCCTCCATTGAAAATCGAAACGACTGGGTAGGGATCTATGGAGACATATGGTGCTTTTATTAGTATTTACTGAACGATTCATGTTTATGTGCATTGCCCTGAAATCCTCTTCAGGATAAAGGTGCAACGCACTGAATTTTAAAGCACAAATGGTCGTGACGGGCTGATGACGCAAGCGTGTTCTGTCTGATAGGATGGAAGGAGGCCCTCCAGCCCTGCTCTCTGGTGGGTAGGTGACCAAGGCGAGGAGGTGCAGTGGGGCTTTGAGGAGCTGGGATTCTTATCCAGGAAAGCGGCTGAAGTGCTCTCGCAGGCTTGCGGTCTCCGCAAAGGGGACAGAGTCATCGTGATTCTCCCGAGGGTCCCCGAGTGGTGGCTGATCACCGTGGGCTGCATCCGAGCAGGTCAGTCAGCTCACCCCCGTGTTGCGCGCATCCCGGGCAAGCGAGGCCGAGTGCCTGCCGAGGACTCCCAACCAACGACCGAGGACACCCCCCTGCAGCCACTCCTTCACCTCCTCTGCTTGCTCAGCTGCCTCGTGCTTTGGCCCAGGTGAAGCAGGTGGGAAGGAGGAACAGGTGGTGCCCCAACCTGCTTGCTCCCTGCCAAGGAAGCCAGCAGCAATGAGGAGCAGCAGCAGCGGGTGACCCCGGCGGTGAGGAGGGGGCTTCCCAAGGGAATGTTCTCACCGTGTTTGCGAGGCCCAAGGGCCTCCTCCAAACCTGGATCCTCTGCGCAGCAGGGGAAAGCTGAACCCGTCCTCTTCCTTCCCAGTGCCAAAATCTTTCTTTGCTTTGCTTCCAGGCATTGTCTTTATTCCAGCCACTGTCCTACTGACTGCAGAAGACATCCAGTACAGACTCCAAATCTCTAAGGCCAAATGCATCATTACAAATGATGTTGTCGTGCCCTTAGTAGATTCTGTCGCATCGGAGTGTCCTTTACTGGAAAGACGGATGCTGGTCTCCAAAGGAGGCAGCAGAGAAGGATGGCTGAACTTCCATGCCCTGCTTGAGTGAGTACCACTCCTGCTGACTCTCAAGCCTGCTGACCCCAAGCTGGAGAAAGGGGAAGAGAGGGACAAATCATGCTTGGAAGCCCCAGGATTGAGACAAGACATTCATAATTGTATGATGGGCCATGGTGCTGGGCCAGCAAGACTACAGGGAAAATGTCTCAGCCTCACTCAGTAGAATAAGCAGAAGGGACCCAAAGGTTTCCAAGCTGGCCTGCCTAATTTTAGAAGTTCAATAAAACTCATTCTTTACATTGAAAGAGGTGGTAGGACCATAAGACCTTGGATGTAGAGTGAGCCATCTTAAGACCCGTTCAAGACCCTTAAAGAAGACGCATAATCTTGTGGTCACAGGGTTGGAATCATGAGGAGTTCTCCATCTGGAAGTAGCCCCAGCTGAAGCAAGGTGAATCCTCCTTGTTGATTTTCTAAGGCTGAGTCTAGCTGTGTCCACTGAAATCTAGATGTCTCTATTCCACTCTGCAAGCATTCCAGGCTTCTGACATTTTCCGTTTCTCCATTCTTCCAGTCTTAGGTTTGATTCAATGCAGACATTGAGGGAAATAACATTTTAAGTTGCACGGAAATCCATACACAATAGTGTGCCTGCAACTCATACTTTCTGAAGGCCAATTCACCCAAAGCACATTCTGCAAACCATTTCTCCACTATAATGCTTTATTAAACTCTATTTTCACTAATGGGACCATTTCATGAGCACTTCTTCCTAACTTATCACACTGTTTAGCTGGAAAACTCAAGCTTCAAAGGTCAGAGAAGTGCAAAATCTCAGATGAGTTTTGGTTCACGTATTGATTGGGAAATGCAAAGTTAGGTTAGATTGAATTAAAATGGACCAGATGATTTTCTTCCCCAGTCATATCATAGCTCGGGGGGCGGGATTCTTTTATCATACACTTACCCACTTGCTTCCCTATTGATCAGGGCTGCCTCAGATGAGCACCAACCTGTGCAGACCAAGAGTCAAGATCCCATGACCATCTATTTCTCAAGTGGGACCACAGGATACCCCAAAATGGTGGAACACTCCTGCAGCAGTTTGGGCATTGGACTTATAGCTTCTGCGAGGTATCCCTCTGCTTCTAAATCTTCAGGGACTGCAAGTCTAACTCCTACAACAGCTGCTATTTTGTAAAAGGTCTTTTTCAAACAAAAGGTCTTTGTCAAACAAAAGGTCTTTGTCAAACAAAAGGTCTTGGTCATGTCATCATTTGGCCTTCAAGCAGAAGTTGACTTGTGCTTTACACGTTCCTCAAGGCACATGTGTTTGCTTTCTTAACAGGTACTGGATGAAACTGACTCCCTCCGATACGATGTGGGGTCTGACTGATACGGGCTGGGTAAAATTCGCCTACAGCAGTCTTTTTAGCCCGTGGATGGTTGGTGCCACCATCTTCTCCCATGGCATGCTCCAGTTTAAGCCAACAGTTGTCCTAAATGTACGGAGTTGATTGCCTCCTTTGAAAGATGTAGGAAAACATGAAAGGCTTAGAGATGCGGAAGGATGCATGCCAAATGCCCCATACATGGTGGCTCCCGTGCCCTTGCATCCAAGACCCACGGAGTGTGTCCTACTGCTATTGCAGGAGTGCCCCCATTGGAGCACATACCTCTGTGTCCAGACGGCCGGTCATCACTTTTAGCAACCAAAGAAACCTCCCTATACCTTGCCAGACCACATGTCCATCTAGCCAACTATCATCTAGTCCAAGGAAGGCTACCATTTTTGGACCATGGGGGCATTTGACAACTTGAGAATAGCCTGGGCAGCCCCCACAAAATGGCCTCCATGAGAAGCTTGAGAAGTAACCTTCACGGAGGGTAAGAGAGGTGGTCTAGTCCAGTGGAAACGCGTAGCTTCAGGGGCAGTGGAGCTGGGTTCAGCCTGAGCTTCTAAGGAGCTGTCCATGGTGCTGAACCTTGGCCTCGCCATGCGCCCGGAACCATGGGCAGCTCTTCTAAAGTCCAGAGTGGGACCCAGAACGGATGCAGCACCCCACGGACAGCCACCAGCCACTGCTGGGCTACTTGTCTGATTAGCTGCAGCTTTGAGATTGCCTGGCAGAGATTCTACCCCTCATCAGCTACCTGACCCTTCCTTCAAGTGTTAGTTATTGTGCGTGTGTTTCCCCCCCTCCCAGTCTCTTGCCAAATATCCAGTGACAACCTTCTGTGGCACTCCAACAATCTTTCGCATGCTTCTGCAGCATGATGTGAGCAGGTAGGGATAAGTGTGTGTGTGTGTGTGTGTTTAGCAGTGGCCTTGTTTTGAAGTTTGGACTTCACTTGCTAACTGTGACAGGAGCAGTTCTTTAATTTTGCTTGCCTACTTGTTCAAATCCTGCATCTTCCCTCTCCATTTCATCCTCACAAGCACCCTGTAAGGTAGGTGAGGCTGAGAGGCTTTGACTGGCCCAGCGTCACCTGCTGAGCATCATGGGTAAGTGGGGTTTAGAAACCAGGTCTCCTGCACCCCAGTCCAACTCTTAGGGTATCTTTTTCCTCCTAAAAATCTTCCGCACTTCTGCAAATCTGGACTTCTCCTGAACAAATGGATGCTTCCTTCTTTTCCTGGATGGGCACATGGGATGAGAGTGACAAAGAGATCGGTGTGGATGTCGACCTTTGACAAAATCAGCCTTCCTCCCAAAGTTTGGGACTTCAGCTCCCATCAGCCCCAGCCATAATGGCCAATGGGCAGGAAGCCTGGGAAATCTCATCCGAAACATCTGGAGTGCACCAGGCCGGGGAAGACTGGCACTTGTGATTTTGGGAACAGATGAAATTGGAAAATGTATGCAAAACCAATTTTAGTTCAACCTGGTTTTGTAGTATGTACCCTGTGGAGGCCGTTGCCTCCTTTAGGAAATCTATTTTTTTTTTCATATACTTGTTCAGATACAATTTCAAGAGTCTGACGGCATGTCTGAGTGGTGGAGAGCCCATTAACCCTGAAGTTATAAGGCAGTGGAAAGCTCAGACAGGAGTGGACATCTATGAAGGCTACGGGCAGACAGAGACAGTAAGTTCGTGCCCAGTCGTGTACACACAGCCTCCGAGCACCAAACCCCCGGCGAAGTCATAAAAGAGCTTCTTTCTTTCGAAAGAACAGAAGTCTGCACTTCAGGCCCTCAAACTCCTATCTCGGGAGCTAATTTATGATGGAAAACCTAAACTGAAAGAATCTTGGCATTTGTTGGTTTGTTATTTTAACACAAATTTACTGAATCTTGCACTTGCAAACCAATCTGCAAACTCAGGTAACCTTAGAACTTTGCACTTCTCTGAATTGTGCAATGGAATTCTCCAGTTAAAAACCATGCACAAAAATGTTTATATTAGGGAAATCAACTCAGAAAACTATATATATTTGTGAAGAGATTGTTCAAAAACGCATTGCGTTAAGAAAGTGGTTTGCGAAACAAAATGTCTATTCAGCAAAATTATGCACAAAAGCTCTGCCAGGCATGTGATGGTTTTGTCTTTTTTTTTTCTCTTTCTTTTAATAGAAAGCCCAACTCCAAGTTCAAAGCTGGGCAAGTCAAGCAGGTTTCTTGCTTGGTGGGAAACAAAGTAGAGTTTAAAGAGGCAGCCTATATAGTAACAAAACTGGAGATAACATTCGATGCCCTATTGGATTAAAAAAGGGCAAATCCAAACCAAATTGTGTAGTTCTACCAAACCATCCCGTCAGCCCTTCCCTCCCCGGTAACTCCTAAATCCAACTTTTAATAACCTCCTGCCTGATTAGGAGATCTGGAAATCTAGAAAAGTTGCATATCTTGGGGTCCTTTGAGCTGACTTTCTCTTAAAGGATGGGAGGAAGTTAAGGGCAGGAACCCACGGCCTATAAAATTATTCTGAGCCCGTCTCCAAGATCCTAAGACTCTGGAGCTGGGACTTTGCAAAGACTGCAAAGAGCCCCCCTTGTAGCTGGTGTGCAAAGAACCACATGAGCTCCCTCCCCAAGGACCTCTGAGAGAAATGCTGAGGGGTGAGGCCGGAAGGAGGAGCGCTGGAGGCTTATGCCCATTCTTATCCACTCCCCAATTCCTTCCTTCCCCTTCCCCGACACTTAATCTAGATGCCCAGAAACACCCATTTACATAGCATGCAAGGTGTGGAGTCAACAGAGCCCGCCAACACCATGCCTTGCTCCCGACGCTGGAAGCCCATAGGCCTGAGTGCACCTGAGCTGAAGGACGTCCTGTTGCGGACACAGAGAAGCCGAAAACATGAATGCACGCTTTCTGTTTCTTTTTGCAGACCTTGGTGTGTTTCAGATCAAAAGAGATGAAGTTCAAGCCTGGGTATATAGGCAAGCCATGCCCTCCCTTTCAAATTCAGGTGCGTAGGTTTCTGCAGTGAGAAACCGTCCCTCACGAGTGCCCATATAGGGTGTCATGGCAATAATGCATATAAATTGCCACTGAGCGGGATTTAAAACCACCAGATCACACACTGTCAGGGGGAAGGTAGAGCTCTGCGAAAGAGACAGCAAGAAACGTTTGCATGACCTCTTCTGGTTTTCCTTCTTTCTAGATAATAGATGAAGATTGCAATCAACTCCCTCCTGGGAAAGAAGGAGACATTGCCATTAGAATCAAACCTAAAAGACCCTTGGGTCTCTTTTCTGGCTACGTGGTAAGAAGGGATCTTTTAAAGCTGCTGTGCAGAAATGGAGAGGCACTGACAAATTGCTCAAGGTGCCACTTCTCTTTTGGGTGTTTCATAAACCAATCCACACTGTATATTCTGTGCCTCATGGAGCTGGAAGATGCCTGCAAGGACATCTAGTCCACCCCTTTCTGGGGCAGGAAACCTGCTGCTACTGCAGGCATGGGCAACTTCCAGGACTGGAAGTTGAAATTCTTGAAATTATCTTGCACAGTGGCAGGAAGAGAAAAACACAACATTCTCTTCTTAAAATACTGAATGTTGGTGGCACGACGACACCTGTGTTTTGCCAGACGCTGGGGACTTTCCATGCCTGAAATTGATGGAACTGAATTTTGGGGGAATGCCCAGATATTTATTTCCACCTAATGCAAGTGCACGTGAGAATAAATGCACACTAGCATAGCTGTGCATTTATGCTCATGTGCAGTAGCACAAGTATGGATTCACAGAAATCCTTCCAAAAAGTTCGGAGGCAGTCTTGCAAGTCCAGGTGACTTTGAAAAAGTTGATCCACTGCAAAATCCACAGGTCATCTTCAAAGCAATCCAAAACGGTCGCAGATTTCTCCTATGTCCCCAGGCCAAATACCTTTTCTCATTGTTTGACTCCATTGGCTCAAATCCTACCCTCTTTAGCAGTGGAGAAGGCACCTGTTCCATCTCCATGGCAGATCTTCAGATCTGTGATGATAGCTATCCCAGTGGCTCTTCTCCAGACTCAACATCACCACCTCCTTCCATGTCTCCTCACTGAACTTGAGAAGATGTTCTCATGAGCGTCTTTGGACATCCTCTAGCCCCGTTTTCAGCTTGGTTGCCACCCTCTGGACACATACCAGTTTGCTGACATCCAGTCCTGGATGCACAGTTTAAGAAGGACATTATCTCCTGATGGTCCAGGCAGTTGAATGTGGTGGGTCATTTACATATGCAAAACACTGCCTGATGTTGCAGAAATCCACTAAAGAACTTGTATGTACAAATTTATGCAGAGGCATGTTGCTTCCCTGCTTTTAGGATGATCCTGAGAAAACAGCCTCGACAGAACGTGGGGACTTCTACATTACCGGGGACAGAGGGATCATGGATAAAGATGGATACATCCAGTTTGTCTCAAGAGCGGATGACATCATCCTGTCCGCTGGGTAGGCTCCCACTCCCCAAAACTCCACGCTCGTGGAATAAAATCATCATCGGCTTTAGCAGCCCCCAGATTGCTCAGATTTTGGCCATGAGCCCAAGCCACTGAATGGAAAACATAGGAGCCGGGATGCAAAGATCAGGCCAGCCTTCAGGTTTCTTATCCTCACCAGATTTCTTTCCCATGCTTGACCCTGGCCAGGAAGTGAGTAAAGCTGAGAGCAAATTTGCAAATCCTCAGGAGCACTAGCTGCATTTTTGCGCAATGTACGCAATGCTCGCAAAGCTGCCAGTCATGTATGCAGATTCTACTTGCACAGCAGGCAGCAGGTACAGAGACCACCTCTGCGCGTCTCACTGGGACTTGCCTCTCGCCAGATGCCTGCACGAAAGCAGGGTGCAAAGCAGGCTGAGGGTAGAGAGAAAGCAGGCCAGTGGACCCCCGCCCCCACACATCACCACACAAGACCATTCCATCCACGTCCTAGAACAAGAAAGTAGAACGTAGACTCAAGCTGGTAGCATTCAATTCTAGCCATGCGCCTGGATCCAGCAATTTCTTAAGAGTGAGATGCCTCCATGGAGTGCAGAGTTCAACAACCGGCATGGAGTGGAGATGCAAGACACTCTCACTGTTCACTGCAGTGACATAAACATCCAGAATCCGTGTTGACGTAGGCATCCGAATTTCATGAGTCCGTTGAAGTATACACCCAAATTCTCTGTCCATTGATCGGCACACCAAGTCCTGGTTTACACTGAAAGCTTGCCGAGATCAACCCAGTATTGTTAGCCTGCTCAGCAACTGGTCTCCTGGGCCTCTGGCAGAGATCACTCAGGTCCTGCCACTTGTTCCTTGAAGCTGCTGGGGACTGAAGCTGGGCTTTCTGTTTACATTGTATGCGCCGTACCACTGAGCTGCGGCCCCTCCACATTAGGTATCGCATCGGTCCGTATGAAGTAGAGCACGCCTTGTCGGGGCACCCAGCTGTCGCAGAATCGGCCGTGGTCAGCAGCCCAGACCCCGTCAGAGGAGAGGTGAGCGCACTGGCAGTATCTGCAATGCTAGAGTCACTCACACTGAAAATGCATAGAACAGACGTTGCGTTCGAGAGTTCAATCCCCTGCTGTTTCTTCAGATGGTCACCCATCCAGCTGCAGGCCTGCCCCTTTCCAGCTTAGCAAAGGGGAGTTGACATGTGAGCTTGATGTAAAGCTATGCAGGAGGGAAGGATTTGTGTCTTCTCAAGATATAAATATGGACATCAGGGATCAACTGAATGTGATCCTCCAATGCAGCAAGTTGGTCTATACTTGCTGTGGTTCAGCACCAGACCCCAGAGCCAGTTTTCTTCCTTCTGTGAAATAATTGGTTTGAGGAGCACCACCTTTGCTCTTTTCATAATGCGATGTACACCAGCCTGTGGGTTCCTTGTGGACGAAGGGTGGTTTATAATCTTTTAAAGAATAAATTGATCAATTCTACCAGTGACCAATGTAACAGAAATATCAGAATCTGGAAGTAAAAGGTTTCAGCTTCCATCTTCTTCCAGTGCTCTGTGATAGGAATCACAAAAGACTGAACACTGAAACAGTTGCTTTAGGACACTATCTGTGTCTTCCTAGTCATGGTATAACCATGAACTTCTAGTGGTCCACCGCATCCTTCCAGGATCCAGAGGAAAAGTATCTGAAGAACTGATTGTTGCTCTCGAGATCATCTCTAGCTCTACCAGATCATGCTGTGCTCCTTGCAGGGTCATGGCTTGGAGCCCCTTCTCTGCATGCAGGTAGTCCCAGGTAGTGCCAGGTGTCATCCTTGGCATCTCCATGTGAGATGCCTGAAAATCGGAACCATTCTATCCCAGCCCCATGGACATACTGTACGAAACAGAACAAGAGATCGGTTTAATCGCCTATGCTCCGTACAGCTCCAATTTGGTAGAATTCCCATCCAAATGGGACGGGATGCAGGCACTAACGAGGCGAGCCTGTGGTCCCTAGACAGCATCCAAAGAGCTGGATTCTTCCCTTTCCCAGCTCCAGAGTCAGACATGGGTTCCAAAGCCAGAGCTGGGAATTTGCGCTCAGATCCTGCTCTCCTTCTTTTAGCAGCTGCATCTTCTCCAAGGTGATAAGTGTGACCATGGAGAAGTGGGAAAGGGGTTGAGCAGCCAGTGAGGAGAAGAGGCGATTGGGGCCACCAAGAAATGATGTGTCCCATCAGCCCTGGCGCCTCCTTGCTTCTCCTTCCCAAGCACCACAACCAGAGGTCAGCCGTCGACGGACGTGCATGGTGGGAGAAACAAGGAGCCAAAGACGTTCCCTCAACTCCATAACTGGATCTCCAAAATCCTCAGCAGTTCTCAGGCATATCCTTTGGACTGTGCCTGAAAAAATCTATCACTTATGTCCCCCTCTGATTGTGTTGCAGGTTGTGAAAGCTTTCATCATCCTGTCTCCTGCCTACCAGTCCCATGACAAAGAGCAATTAACCCTTGAGCTGCAGAAGTATGTCAAGGAAGTGACTGCCCCGTACAAGTACCCCAGAAAGGTGACTACGACATCCGAATGTCCGAGCAGAACTGACTCTCGCAACAGACAACCTTAAGTGGCTGGCTAGGATATCGTGTCGTTCGGAGGGTTTGCCTCCTTGGGGTGTGGATTTTTTGTGCAACTGGAACAGTGAAGAGGCAAAAGGGCAGAATCCTGTGGTATAAAAACCTGAGCAGGGCAGGCAACAAGCAAGGGCTGTGGGAGGGGTGATTTGAGGGAGAACTGAAAGACTTCCAGATCTGATTGCAGGATGCCACCTCCTCTGGGTGCCAGCTCCTAATGCCTTAGAGCAGTGGTCCTCAGCCTGTGGTAGTCAGCGTCTGGGGCGTGGGCGGCTGGGCATCAGGTTGGGGCACCAGGACCCAGACAACCAGTACAATATACAGGCCCATTCCAAATCGCAGTCAGGCAGTCCAGAGATCAAAGCGGGTAACAGAAGTGCAAGGCTGGCCAATCCAAATAGAGCAGAGCAGTCAATGGCAGTCAGGAGTCAACAGCCAGAGAGACAAGCCGAGGAGAAGCAGATACCTGGGCCTGGAGCAGAAGCTGAAGCAGGTGAAGCTGGGCATGGTCCAGAAGCAGAGGCAGGAGCAAGGTGTTGGGCAGAGTTTCCAGAAACAGGTTCCAGAAGGCACAGGGAGCTCCAAAGCATCAAGAGCCCTTGTTGCCGAGGCAGCATGTGAAGGGAAGAGCCGGTTCTTATATAGCTCTTCCCTCAGGGCTCCCCAGTGATGCTCGTAGCATCCCAGGCGGCTGCAATGGACTGTGGGCCCGGTCCTGCAACCACCAGGGCTGCTATGCTGGTCCCTGGCTAGAAGAGGATGCCCTGGTGCTGCCTCAGAACCTCACAGTGGTCCGTGAACCCCTAGGGAGCCACAATGTTGTCACAGGGGGTCTGCCAAGGCTTGAAGAAATGTTATGGGTTTTTGCAGTTAAATCTGTATGAGTGAATGAGTGAACGAATGAAAGCAAGAGCTATTTCATCAAATTTTAATGTAAAAATTGGCATCGTATCGAAATTAGCATTTCCCCCCCAAATTGAATGAGAATGGAGGGGGAAATGGAGAAGATACTTTCAGCTTAGCAGTTGTTTGAAGTGACACCAATGGATCGCAATGGGAATTCAGGGTCAAGACGTAGGTGTTCCAGAGACCTGGATATTTGTAGATCAGGGAGCAGTTCCATTACTAATTTTTGGTTAGACTTCAAGATACTCTAAGAAAGCTTTGCAGGACAAAAGTTCTTGGGTGCTGAGGAAGAAGAGGAGATGCTTCACTGTAGAAATGTTGAACTTCTTTCAGCCCGAGGGCTGAATTCACATGACAGTGCTGGATGGGGAAACCACTGGCAAAAGGGGCAGAGTCAGAGACAAAAGAAACGGGGTCCAAAATTCCCCCCAAATCAGTTTGTTTTAGCTCCAAGCTCTCACTGCCAGTCATTAAGCATTAGAAGAGGAATGTTCACCTTTTAGAATGGGAAAGACTGCAGAAAACAAAAACCATGAATTCCAGGCTTGCAGTGAGCAGGAAACCAACAAGTAGCCACCCGTCTCCCAAATGTCCCTTATCCTTCATGAAATACCATATTCTCTCTCAGTGAATGAATGCAATTTCCAATCAAAGCTGATGTACTCAGCCGCTTTTTCCTTCTTCTCCTTTCCAATTAGATAGAGTTTGTTCAAAATCTGCCCAAGACAATTTCCGGGAAAGTCCAAAGGAAGGTGCTGAGAAAGAAAGAGTGGGAGAAGGTCTAACGATGCCCTGGAGCTCATCAGAAGCGGACTATCACTCGGCATAATGATCCCATTGATGAGAATGAACTATTGCTCTGTGTGCTTATCGGATTTCATGGTTCCTCCAAGTTTCATTGCCCTGTTGTGGCTACCAAGCATTAACTCATTTGATTGTCACAGATCAAGCCTGAAAGAATAGCTCACAGCCTCACATCAACATATATGCTAAAGATTCTGTCAGATCTCCAAGCACTGTTCCTTGTTCAGCCGAAATACCACACACACGGGAAACACCAGCAGGCTTAGGGGAATGCTAAAATTTGCAGATGTACCAAAAAAAGGAAGAATTCGGGGGGGGGGGGACCTGTAAGACAAGGGTGTAAAAATTATTTCAGCCCAAGCCCCAAATTCAGTTTCAGAAAGGTTCTTGCAAGGGGCTGGATTCCCGTTGGGGCAAAAATGAAAAAGCCAAAGGGGCATGCAGCTAGTTATTACAACATTCCAGAATGTGGTAACCTTAAAGCTCTCACTTTCTGCAACTAAGCTAGGAGAGAGAGATTTCACCCTCTGAGATAGGGATAAGCATGCCAATACCAGGAAAGCATCACATGATCAGTGGTTGGGGGAAAGGGGTGGGATCCAGGGAAGGGGTGGGGCCACTGGGACCCCTGCTAGGCTAGGCTAGGCTTGGCCTGCCAGGCTGAGGTTTGACACCCCTGCCCTAAGGTGAGGGGGCCTCCCAAAGGCAGCCTAATGAGAACTAATCCTAGGCAGCAGACACAAGATGCATACCAGGAGTGGGTGGAAATGGCCGAGCTGTGGCTGTTGGAGCCTTCCTAGTCCCTCGAGAAAGAACCTGGATCAGAGAATCCAAACAACTCCATCGATCCAACTCCAACTCTGTGGCACTGATGCCATCCTTGCGTCCCCTTTGGCCTCCTAACCCCAAGCTTGGTTTGGGAAACAAGGAGCTCAGGCAGACATGTTGTTCTGTTCAGATGGTTTCTCCAAAGGTTGTTTTGGAGGAAGATCAGAGGTGCCCTCTTCCAGTCCCCCAACCTACAGATGCTCAAATGCAGCCCAAAGCACGTAAGAAACCCTACATCTTAAAGCCCTGATCTATTTCTGCTCCAAGAACCAGGATCAAAATACTTGGCCCACGAGGTACAAATGATGTAATTCAGTACAGGGGGGATGTTATGATTTTGACTGCATTAAATGGTCTGATTTGGGGCTGACCAAAGCAAGGCGATCAAGTGGAATATTGAGATACAGGAAGGCAACCTTTACCAAACACTACCAGTTTCAGCCAGGTACATTAGAGTAGATTCAATGGCTGCCATTGGAGGGGCTAGAAAGGAGGGGGTCAGTCTGACTGGACAGTTCTAATAAAGGTATCACCTAACCGGACTTTGAGATTCCTCCTTTGGATCAGCATGGCTTAATCTGTTTCATAACAAAGACTTTGTATATGTACTGGCATTGCCTTTGCCACTATGCTAACATAGGCCTGCGAGATGCACTCCTTCAGCCCCATCAGGAGCCGTTCACCCTACTCCATTCCCTCAACAGGGGGCGCTGCCATGTAACTTTGTCCCTTGGAATACCATCCTGCGGCTGTAGACTAAGACAGTTTGCCACCTTGTGGCCGACATCAGAACTGCAGGCGTTTAACACACTGAGACATTCAAATTAATTCCAATGAGGTGGTGCATATTAAAAAAGCCCCAGTCACTCAGAGGAGTGCACTACTGCAATCCCTTTAGTATGCATGCCAAGTTTCGGGGGTTACGGTTACACAATCCTAGAGACACACAGAGAGACATCCTCTTTTATGCATAGAAATAACAGATTGTCCCTTCCTGCCCAGAAAGGCTTTCCCAGCCACACCCTGCAAAGAAGCACACCTCACAGGAAGCCTGCTCCAAGCCTGCAGGGGCAGGTGGAGGTACACAGAAACAGGCTGCAATCCTATGTACCTGTTGAATTCAGCCTATTGCCTTTCAGCCAAGGTACTGATGGAGGGATTAAGCAACAAGAAAACAGCAGTTCCCAGAAGAAACACTGCCAGTTGCCGCCCCGCAGGTGGATCTGGCCAGCCCAACACACTGGTGCTTTAGAAGGACTTCTACCATGGCTAAGCATTTAATTACCACTGGCCAAGGCACAGGATCCGTGCCCTTACCCTGTTCCTGTTCAACTCTCCTTCACGAGAAAGAGCACAGCAGCTGTGTGGGACAGAGAGATCCGCCCCATTCATGGCCTTTCCATCACACTCTCTGTATGACATGGAGAAGACATAAGTCTTGCTGTGGGAACAGCAGCGTGCCTTCACTGTCACGGAGTTCCCAGGAGGCCACCTGCCTTAGTGACACGCGGAAGGTACATTTTCCTGCTGACGCCACCTTAGTGACACCAGTAATAGCAATATCAGGGGTTCCTCAAGACATATGGTCACTCTAGGTGAGTGACAAGATGCGGCACCCTCCCTGTTCAACACACAGCTATGGTTGTTCCGATCTGTATTTCAGCCCTGTGCTTTGGTTTCAGCTCATTTCTCAGTAGGCTCTTGCAACTGAAGCAGCCATTCTCAACTTGGGGTCCCCATCCCAGCATCCCCGAGCGTGTTGGCTGGGGTGGATGGCAGCTGAAGTGCAAAACACTCTGGCAAGAGTGAAAAAAATCCTTTGAGAGCCTGCCGGGGGTGTACAGTCAAAATAACATTTATAGTTTATTTGGACATACAGGAATTACATGCATCTACAGTGCGGACTCAGAAATGAGCAAAAGGTTCGGCTGGATCACCTCCAAGCTCTCTTCCCACTCTGTACTTCCAGCCAAAAAGGTCCGTTAGTTTTGGAGACCAGCATGGAAGGTAAACACATAATGGCACTTACTGTTTACGGATCTTCCAAGACAGGACCAACACAGTGCTGCCACTCCATCCTTGAGGCAGCCACTTTGCCTAAAGACAGAGCAGGGCCTGTCACCCTTATTCACCAAGGCCCCTGCGTTTGCTGTTTTCCAGATAATCAGTGCAAACAGCAGTATTTTGCCTTGAGGAGAAAGGAGACGCTGCCATTAGAATCCAGCCAAGTGGCCATTTCCTTCCTTCCCTATGTGGTAAGCAATCCAACAAGGGCAGCAATCTCTCTGCCCTTTCTGCATCCAAAATCTAAAAGCCACACCGCTTCGTCTTTCGCTGTGTTGCCAGCGATGTCTATGCAAGACCAGTTCCCTGAATTTCCGTACATCAAATGAAAGCGGGGACTTCTTTGGTCTGCTGGATGCTTGTTCTCTGAGTGTCAATAGGCTGGTGCTAATTTTTACCTCTCAATTTTTACCTCTTTACCTCTCTAAAACAGGAGTGTTAATTAGTGACTTTTGAGCAAGATTTTATCCAGCTCCACTGGACAGTTTCACCCTGAGAGGCTGCAGTCCCTGTTCTGCATTTATTCACATGCAGACTGATGTATCCTGCAATCAGAAGCTCCTGAAGGAAGTAATTGACTGCATCAAGCTGCCAGTTGGAGTCTGCCTTTGCCTTTTAGAGACCAGCATTTGCGTAACATACAAGAAAGCTTCCAAGCTTGGTATCTGCTTGTGCCCGTCCTCATTTGCTTGCAATGCTGCCTTCTGGTTGATCACTGATGCCCCCTTCCAAATTCTCAACTCTACCTGCGTGCAGAGAAACCGGCGGGACAATTTCCCCCAAATTCTCCGATGGGAAGAGAAATTCTCCACATCCCCCATGGGTGGAGCTTGCCACTGGCAGGGGGTAAAGCACAGGGGGGTTTTGGTGCTGCCCCCGCAAGTGGCAACAGCTGCGGTTATGCTGCCCCAATTTTCTGTATCCCCTACAATGCCCCATATTTAGTGCTGCTCCGGGCCTTCACAGGGCGGGAGAGAGAAAAGCCAGTCCCCATTAAAAAAGAAAAAATGAAGATAATTTGGAGAAAATTCCTCAGAATGACATTTTTATTTCTTGCAGGTTGGGGTAAGAAAATAAAAATCTCACTGCCTTTCTGAGAAAAATGTTTTTTTGTAATTTGTTTTGAATGTCCTTTGGTCCTTTGGTTCCCCCCTGAAGAAGCATTCTTCTGGAAACGCTCCGCCATAGAAGAAATCCCCACAGGGTGTCTTCCTCTGGGCTTTAGCCAACAAGTGGAAAGCCAAACGATCAGACAAGGTAAAAAAGGGCCGGCGCACACACCCCTCAGCTGCTGCTGCGTCAGAAAAGCATGTACAAGGAGCCCCAACACAGTCCTTAAGAATGCCTCTGAAATTCTCCTCCTCTGAATTTCTTTTCAAAAACATTTTTCCTACCCAACGGAGTAAGACTGCTTGGAAAAACCGCGGGAGACATTCCCAGCACAGTGCTAGCCACACACCCTTTTTGCAAGAGGCCCCACAGGGCTGGTGCTGGCTTCTGCCCCCAAGACCCAGACCTGCAGGTGGACAGGAGACCTTCCACAGATGTGAACCACACTGCATGTAGGTATGTCCCAAGCCTGCTGCCTGGCCCCCGCCCCTTCTTGCCCCCCTTCAGAAAAGGGGTTTGCTCCCCCACTGTGGCACCCTCTAGGTGTGTTGGATTGCAAGTCCCAGAAGCCCCCAGTCAGCTCACTGGAAGCTGCTTTTATGGAGCCCATCAAGCCGAGTTTGGTCAACACTGACTGGCAGCCGCTCTCCAGGGTTACAGGTGGGAGTTTTTCCTGCCAAGGACTGAAACAGGAACTTCTTGTATGCAAAGCACAGGTCCTGCCACCAAGCCACGGCCCTCTCTGGCTACTCCTTGGAGCAAATTCACCTTATCTTTCCTTGCAGCAGCAGCAGGTGGGAACTTCCAGCTCGGTGATGAGCAAGAATTCCCCACCTTCATACTGCTTGCTGGTACAAGGATGCCAGAAGAACTTGGGTTTAGCAGAAACTCCAACCAGTGTGAACCAGAATAGCACTGCATCAGCAGCCCGAGCTTGCCAAAGCTACACTAACCTGGAAGTTGCAGAACAGAGTTCATGGGACGTTGTGGGTTGCCTGCGAACCATTTCCCAAAGGATGCTTTCTCATCTCTGCAACATGTTTCAGGAAAACTGGGAACCTGTCTGGAAAACTGTCGTCTGAATACACTGCACACTCTATGGTAGGAAAAGACAACCTGAGCTGCCCTGCGAAATTAAGAGAAATAGACATAGCAATTTCTTCCTGTCTCCACTTACTGGGCAGGTTGTTACTTGGCTTGCTGTTAGATCTATACTGACACAATGGGCATGTTCTCAAGAGGGCTTTTAATAGAAAACTTGTATGCAAATTTTAAATAAAAAATTTGTTAATAAAAAGACCCTCTCTCTCTCACACACACACACACCTGCACGCACGCACTTGAAATCACTCATAGTCCAGATGCTAGTTTTGAGTCTACTTAGAATTTGCAATAGTTTAGAAACTGGAAGCCCTGCCAACAGAAAGAGGGCCACAACTGACGAAAGGCCGGCATCAGCTTATCGGCTTGTGGGTGGAAGCCTTGGCTGTCCAAAACTACACGCCATCTCATGTCAAGGAGAGGCGAGACAAACACCCACCAAGTGGGGCAACCGCAAAGGGCGAACACACATCCATCATCTGGCTGCCAACAACCACGCAACAGGTGCCGACAGGTGCCTGGATTTCAACAGTACCTCCAACAGCATTATGACTAAGGCACACCCAGAAGCTGTGACTAAGCCTCACTGAAATCAAAGGTGCTCGCATCTTCGACTGCACATTTCGGGCGCCGTGCTCTCGGCAGAGCTTAACCGTGACCAGTTTTTGGAGCGCTGCAGCAAGACGGCTCGGACGGCACGGCCAAGCCAGGGCTTCGTGGTTGGAGTCTGCCCTTGGGCTCATGCAGCCCCCGCTGCTCTGATGCACCCCCACTTGCTCCCCGAAACTGGAGAGAAATGGAGCCAATTCAGAACAAGGAGGGAACACCAGAGCCCAAAGCCTGGCCCTAACAGCCAACCCGCACTTGGGGCGAGATCCCTAAACCATGCCATAAAGTTTAAAAAGACAATTAAAAACAACAACAACCGAGCACACTGAACCACTGGTGTAACATTCAGTCGTCCTCGACATTCTTTCCCCAGCAATTTCATTAAAGGCCCTAGTCCCTGTGATTGTTGCTAGCCTCTGCCTCATTCTTCTCTTCACACTCGTTCTGGCTTTCCACCTTCTCTGCAGCTGGTTTGGCTTCCACCTCTGTCTTTTCTTCGCACTGGTTTGGGCTTTCCACCCTCTCCACAGTGGGCTGAGGCTCTTCCAAGCCTCCCGCAGGGGCTGTGCTCAGAGCACCCGGCGGCCCCTCCGCTTTGCCACCCTTCACCACCTCCTGGAGGTTGTACTTCCTGAACAGAATGTAGTCCTTCACCACACTCAGGCAGCAGATGCTTTTGATGATCTCCACCACAATGGTGAACTCGGGATTACTCAGGTCGACTTTGTTCTCGGGGTTGAGTTGGCCCACCACTCCTACAAGGGAAGGAAAGAGAGGGAGCGGGGAAGGAAAGCCACGCTGGTGAGCCGCGAGCGATCAAGGAGATCTCCGAGGCTAAGCAAGGCAAGCTGCAAACAAGCCACTTCCTGCTTTAAATGTCCCCCCCAGTCAGGGGCACAACAAGAGCATTAGGAAGCCAACAAGGAGTTTGGAAGCTTCCAGCCAACCATGCAAAGATTCAACGGTGGCTCTTAATTTGCCTTGCCGCCCCCTCCGAACCCCCCCATTAGTTATAAAGCATTTACCTGCCAGCTCATTGATGACTTTGACCCTGCTCAGGTGGCTGTTATTGCGAGCCTTGTAAACAATCTGAAAAGTGCCCTTCTGGGGACTTTTAAACCAAGGCTCCAGGAAGGTCTCCGAATAGCGTTTCATGTCCTCCACGAAGGCTTTGCAGGTGCCAGAAACAGGCAGCATGCGCAGGATGACCCTGGTCTTCTTCTTCTTGGTGGTATGCATGTCCTTCAGGATGTGATGCACCAGCTTCTCGGGTTCTGCAAGAATTAAGCAGCAAGAGAGCTGCTTGCATTCATATAGCTGGGAAAAATCGCGTTTCTGAAGGGCAACGTGAAGCTTTAGGCATAAAACAAGTCTTGCTTGCATGTTTCAAAGGACAATGCTCTACAGAAGAGGTAAAGAGCCTGTCATTAACCCAGAGGGAGAAAAAGTCAATTGGGGTAGTTTCACAGCAGATTTTCTGCTGATGCATTTGAACCTTTATTTCATCGTCAGTCTTAACATCACTAGCAATATGCTCCACAAAAACACTCTTTCGTATCCCTTGTTGTCTTCTTGTATTTCTTTTCGGCAAGTGTTTTTGTTCTCATCCAGGCAAAACTCCTATTATTTGAATGAATACTCTTCTCTTCTAATACTTTCCTTGATACTGCCTCTCAATCATGTTCGTTTGTTTGTTTATATTGTGATTTATATCCTGCCTTTTTCCTACAAAGGGCTTAAGGCAACTTACATCATCTCTCCTCCTCCATCTTATCCCCACAACAACCCTGTGAGGTAGGTTGAGCTGAGAGACTGTGACTGGCTCAAAGTCACCCAGTTGGCTCCATGGCTGAGCGGGGACTCGAACCCAGATCGCCTGAGTCCCAGTCCCGTGCTCTGAACCACCACACTACGCCGGCTCTGTTGGAGACACTTTTCTTGGCCTGCAGTTTGCATGCAAGCTCTGCTTCTACCAGGATTTTTGAGTAATTCCCAAACATTCTGGAATGATACCAACCTCCTGACTTTCCTTTCAGTCTCCTTTTTAACAGAGATTCAGACTAGAGACAATTCTTTTCTGAAAGTTATAGTGGACTATATTAGATTTCCTTGGCAATTTTCCACTTACATTTACTGAGGTTAAAGTTTCCACTCTGTTCAACAACACTCACATCTCACATTAGGTTCTTGGATAAAGTCCATGGTTACTTCCCCAGTGGATGGTTTTATCATTCATCATCCCAGGGCAAAATGGTTTAGGAGCAGGGTGGGCAAACCTCCAACTTTTAATTAACACATTTTCTTGACAGCAGCTGCAACTGTTGTGAAATAGGCTTCTGCTGGTACCTTCAAAAGAGCTGTTCAAGAACTGTTCAGTACGCTAGCACTCCGCTCTCACCCTTGTCTTGAACCCAATCTTTTATGCAGCTTGCTTGCATTCTGCCACACCTTCCACAGAAGCTATTTTGGGGTAGTTTGCAGGACAATGACTTGAACTGCCAAATGCACCCTCGCCCCCAAAAAGGTTGCCACCCCTGGTTAAGAGTCTCAGGACAGGCTTTAAGCATTCTAGAAAAAGGGGTGAACTTGATGGACAGACCCGATTTTCCCCAAATGTTCATTAGAGGCATTGTGCAGCTTACATGTGCCAACGATAATAAAGTGCACAAAGAGAAGCTCAGGGTAAAAGGCTTAGCAACAGGTTTACTTGGAAGTAGCAAGGCCTGCTCCCAGGTAAGTGTGCAGAGGACTACAGCCTCAACTCATAATTGGGATTGGATTCTTAGAAATAAAGAGTCTCTTCTGGCCCAAGTACCAAGTGGGTTGGTGCCAGTTTCTTTAAACAGAAAATATTTCTCAAAAGCACAGAATTATGTCCTCATTTTCTCGGAATACAGAGACATTTTGTAAAATCTAGAGTGCCTGAACCATGTTGCTAGGGTAGTTGAATTATTTTTATTTTTTACAGTTCTGAGGGGGAAAAATATCAAAAAATTGTCTTGTTATCTGCCAGCCTTCTCCCATCCTGATGCCTTTTAGTGCGTAGGATAACATATCCCCTCATAATCCAAAACACCCGTGAAGAGAGTGCGGATTGCCTACAGTGACGAGGTGCGGAATGAGCTCCTAGGGGATGATGGGAATTCCTCAGAGATCCAGAGGGCACATCTGCTCGATAACACAGAGAGGCTGGAAAGGTCATCTTGGAGACTAGAGGCTGGATACCAATTAGCAGTGGAAACTGAAAAAGGTCACGGATTAACATGATCTGTTTAGACAGTTACATGGCCCAGGCAGAGCATGACAGAGTGGCCCAAGATGAAGCAATGAATTCATGGCTCACAAATTCGCGCTGCTGGCTGAGGGATGGTGGAAGTTTTAGGCTTTTTCTTCTGTCTAAACACACACCAGATTATGCCTTTAGAGACTTGTGACCATTAAGCTGCCAGGTTCCATCCAGACACACGTACCTACACCCAGCGTCCTAATGAAAACCACATTGTTGGCACCACTCTCCACAGACTGGAAGCGCCGCAGCTTCTGCTCAGACGAAGTGCGAATCTGATCCACCTCCTTTTTCAAAGAAGCTTCAGCATCATCATCTTCCTCCACTTCCTTGTCCTCTTCTTCATTTCCTGATAGCCTGTCCTCATCTTGATCTGCAAACTTCATATGCACAAGCATTCACACAGCATTTAAAAAAATACAATCACCTAAAGCATTTATGCCCCACCCTTCAGCAAAGTAAGTTCCTAGAGTGGCTTTCATCGAAATCAGTAAGAAACAAGCATGGCTCCTAGCTGCAGCTTTAGAATGAAAAAAGGATGACAGAAGAGAAAAAGGGATGGGGAAGGAAGAGGGGGAAAGCAAACTCAGGCCCCCGTTCTTACAGTTAAGTAAGAGTTCCTTTTAACATCCAGCTGGAACGGAAACAGTTTGGGGAGAAGAAGAGCCTGATAGGACAGGTGCTTCTGAACTGACAGAATGGCCCTACTTCCCACCTTTTCCTATGTTGCAGCCTGATCAAGGAAGAAAGCCCTTTTATAGCAGAAGCAAGTTTCAGTTTTACTAAAACTTTTACATTTACTAAAAGCCATTAAACTCAGAAGCAATGTAGCACTGATAAGGGAACTGTTCTAAGATCCCATGGTTTCCAGGCCACAAATAGAATAAATTTCTCCCCTGAGATGGGAGAAACGAGGGTTCGGGAGACCCAAGTTCTAGTCTCCACTCCAGTTATGAAGCTAGTGAGTAATTCCGGGCCAGTCTCCGCCTCACCTACTTCACGGGGTGGTTCTGAGGACAAAACGGAGAGGCGAAGCCTGGAAGCCGCTTTGGAAGGCGGGATATAGATGCGACAGACAAGGCATTAACACACGAGCCCGGCAGATCCCTTTCCCACGCCACGCGCTGCCTCGTCGCCCACGTGGCGACCCGCTTACCTGCTCGGGCCCGTAGAGCTGCTCGCCATACTCGCCCAGCAGGCTGTAGGCTTCGGCCACGCACTTGCGTTCGTTCATGTTGCAGGTGATGAGGATGCCGCACATGCCCGGCTCCAGCTGCCGCGGGCCCCCCGGCCGGGCCCGCTTGGCCGGCTGCATGTACTGCGCTTTCGGCCGCCGCTTGCGAGAAGCGTCGGCGGCGACCGGCGCCTCGGCGGCTGCCATTGGGAGGGCGACCGGGCTGGCGGGCGAGAGCGACCGGCCCAAGCGCACAAGAGCCCCCCAGCCAAGCTTAGCGAAGGCGTGGGTGACAGCGGGCTTTTCGGCGTCGCCTCTTGATGGCGTCATCCGAGCCCGCCGAGGGGACGCACACCCTAGAGATAGGCAGAATCCTGAAATGAAAGAGGTGCTAAGCTACAATCTCTTCGTCTCTTTTTCTCTCATACACAAAGACTACTATATCAACTGGCGGGGAGGAAATTGAGTTCCATGCAAAATGTACGAATAAAATGAGGGAACTACAGAGAGATGCCAAACAAATAGACCCGCACCAGCCTGCTTTCACTGCGAAGGCTTTCAATTTGGTGGTGGTGTCATTGTTAACCAGAGCGGACGAAAGATGCGGCTGAGCCGGCGCACTACCATAGAGAGGGCTGTGCCTTTTTTTTTTTTTTAACGATGGAAATGTTGAGGATAGAGCGACGCCATCCTCTGGCCGAGGCGGGGCCGCCTCCGTTTTGCTGGCCTATAGAGATGCCAAGGGATAGAACGGCGCTAAGCTGCTACCATAGACTTACACAAATATATATTATTGTAGACACGCAACAGTTTGTTGTATCTTCGAACCGTTCAGACCTGGTTCTATGGCAACAAGCAGGTCCGTCCAACAAAATATGCAAACAGACGACATAGCGTGAGAGTAAACCGAGATAAAGGCACAATACATTTTCAAACGGGGAAACAAAGCTGACTGCAGCTGCTGGGAGTAGTAAGAATATTTTATTTGTGGAATGGCACCAAGGATTGCCTCCTAAAACACCCAGGGAATAAAACCAAAACGCGAAGGACATTACATTAGGAGGCTTCAGGTGTTGAGGGCCGGTGTCAGGGACTCCCAGAAGAGCAGTTGTGTGAATGCATGCTCAGATACCCAGGGAGACACCTTCACCTCGAGCCTCAGCGGTTTTACTGAGAGAACAACCCAGTTAAACTTCCCTGCACAGTACAAACCTACAACAGCGCTGCCAGGTAGAGGTATGTCAACCAACTACAAGTTTCTAGAACATATACAGTGTTTTATACAGAGTCACGTACACAAGAGCAGGGTTGATGTTGACCAAATAATGGGTACATCACGTATTCATAGTCAAAAGATGTGAGAAAACTGCAGAGGGGACGTAGCACAATAGCACAGTAAATATCAATCATTACAAGGATGTTGGCATGAATGTCAGAAAGGCACATGAATCTTTACTGGTCTTGGGTGGGAGTGTGAACAGGTAGGCAACTCTGATTACAACGAGACAAGAATAACTGGTTGGAGCAGCTTTGATGCTGCTAACAGAAGAATGGCCATAAGTAACTTCCCTTACTTAGCTGCATCCCACAGAGGATTAACTTTTGCAACTAAATGTAGCCGCAGAGAATCTCAGAGAATCAGGGACAGATAATAAAGCTTCAAAGAAAAAAATGCCTGGCTTGAAATTCTGGTTCTTTCTGAGCAAGAGGAGCAGGGACACTGCAGGTTTCATTTTATATCACAAGCAAGCAACCATTCTCGATAAAGATTTTTTTGGATTTCCCCAGCATAAGCAAAGCTGGGCACTTGCCATGGGCCCACACCCTTGCAAGGACCCACCGAAAAGAGCCTTCTGAATTTATTTTTTTCCCCACAACCACCAGCTTGCCTCACCTGCCCCTCACTGTGGCTAGCCGTTGTGCCAACACCTGCTTACTCACTGACTTTCTGAACATCAAAAGAACAAGGTAAAAATATGGGCCAGATCTCTTATTTATTCATTCATTCATTCATTCAGTTTATATGCCACCCCACTAGCCATAGGCTCTCCGGGCGGCTTACATCATGTTGCATCATCTTGTGCTGCTGGTGGCCATTTTTCATTACTGCATCCATTTTAATCCTATGAATCTGAATGTAAGCTGCCTTTGCCTACAGCCAACAGCTATTTCAATCTGTACCCACACAAACACACAGCATGAGAAAGAGGTTGTGGATGAAGAGCAGTGGCTGGCAATGGTGAGGAAAAGGCAGAGCCACTGAGAGAGCACCCACTGAGGGTGTCCTGCCCAAAGGCCCCCAGAAAACTGGAGACAGCACCAAGAGAATTGCTAGATTCATGGACAAGAACACAATGCTAAATCTCATATGTCCTGAGCAAAAGCAGATAGGGAGGAGAGGAAGCAGTGCAGAAACCAGAGAGAGACCATCCACCTCTGGTCACCTCTGACTTCAGCCCCACCAACTGCTGGCATGTGAGCCCTGACAGATGCCCCCAAGACCATGTTGCACACTGTTATCAATCCCCCCGTAAAAGACCATTCAGAATAATCTTATAATACATGCACAACAAGTAGGACCTCACTTGCAAAATAATTCCTGCAGTTTGGAGTGCTCCTGTTTAGGGTCCTAGTGAGTCATGTCCTTCTCCAGGATAATCCCTTCTGTTCCAAACAGTTCCCCCCACCCGTTTTCCACCCTTCCTCTGCCCAAATAGTCAGTCAACATGCTATGGCCGCTGAGCATCTGCTTAAGATACATTACGGTTCATGTGAGCCTTCCTTGTCCTCTCTTTCCTTCACAGACAATACCCACCAGGAGAGTTCAGAGCCAGTGCCAAGGGCAGGCATAGCTGGAACACCAACAACTTCAACGTTACCGTGTATGTCTGCCATGGACCCACACCACTGCAGAGGGGCCCTGAAAAAAAAATTGTTCTCCTCTTCTCTATTGCAACTTGCACGCTTCAGCTGCCCCTCCCTCTGGCCAGCACTGGTACTGAGCAGTACCTGGTGGTCCCCACTTCCTCAATGACTCCCTGACCTTAAGAAAACAGCTGGTGAAAATATGGGCCTGACCTGTTATTTTTGTGGTTGTGGGTTTTAGGAACATTGGCTGTTCCGTTTCTGTACCAGTTTTAATCCTATGAATCTGATGGCAAGTTGCCTGGATTCGAAGTCACCTTTGGCCTGAACGGCAGCCGACATCTGTTTCAAAATTTTACAAAGATAACAATGAAGAAGAGGTTGGTGATCAGGATCAGCTGCTAACAACAGTAAGGAAATGGTGCTGCCACCGAGAGAGCACGCTCACTGAAAGTCCCTCAGAAAGCTGAGGATGGCACTAAGAGAATTGCTAAATCCACACTAAATCTTGTATGTCCCAAACAGAAGCTCATGTGGGTGTGACTTGGCTTAATTTTTGTGTCTTTATCACTGGGCAGCTTGCATCCTCCTGGAACAGTTGGAGGGGGATTCTGGACAAGGGTACTTTCTCCGTTTGGGTTCCCCCGAAGATCTCCAGAGTTTCAAGCCTGGCAACTATACAAGTAAGTCTTTCTTTTTCGTGTCTATCATTATTTATCCTTTTAATGTTGTGAGATTTCCTGCTATGTGCCCCCCCCCCACCACCACCACCACCAAAGAAGGGGTGAGAACACAGTATGTTTTCGAATACATCAGAAAGACGTCCTAAACAATCCAGCATAAATAACTCAGCAGATAAAAACGAAGCAGATGGAATCAACACCAACCATAACTCCCCCTTCTTTGTATTTTGTACCTCATGCTTCCTTAGAGCGTCAGACAATATTCTGTCCCCACATTTTAGCCTTACAAAAACCCTGCGAGGGAGCTTAGACCAACGGTGACTAACTGAACCTCATGGCTGAGTGGAGATCTGCACCTCAAGTCCTATCCTGGGCTTCTAGCCACCACACCATAGCACTTTTTAAAAATGCAGGCATGGTGTACAGAATAAACATTCCCACATTGTCTGCTGTTGTGTTCTTAAAGCAGGGACTACACACTCTGCTTCCAGAGCTGCAAATGTAACTCTTGCCTTTCTTGTTTTGCCACAGAGAAAAGAGCAATTATCTATCTTATTTAAAAGATTACAGTCAGTTTCACTAGAAATTATCAACATGTGGCAATATGCTGAGATTATCCATGTTTGCCCAACTTTGTTATTTTTGGTTGATCACAAACAAAAACCAGAAGCAGACATACGTGGTAACGTTGAAGTTGTTGGTGATCAGATGTTTGGATCTTACTTTCTGTGTAAGATGTCTTGATCTCTTCATCTTTTCTGCTCATGACTGGGACCTGATAAGAGAATCACCGCCCCCAGCCCGGAACAATTTGCTTTAAACTGCAAGTGGAAATAAAGCATGTACAATTAGAAAGTAAATACTCCTAAAGGTTTACAGCAAGGAGATATAGGTCACCCATTTCTTACTCAGGGCATTTTCCCCTCAGGATAAGCCCTGGTGAAAGCTGGAGTGAGTTGCATCTCAGCCCAGGGATTACTCTCTTTGAAAAGGGCCCTGTTTTCAGATATGGTAACAGGGAAATCATTACCTCGTTAAACGCAACTTTTTGCTAGACAGACATGCCAAGGGATGTTTGGATCTGCAAAAGTTGCCCCTTGGAATGGCAGGCTGGCCCACCCAAGATCTAGGTCAGGTAACAGCTAAGCCTACCTGCGGATCTTCTACAGAAAGCATTCTGGCTCCCTGCTTGACATGACATGGCAGAGCAAGGCATGCGGGCAGGGATGCAGTCACACACGCACTGTCCCGATTTTCTTAAAATGTTTACCGAACTAGCTGCTGCAGCTGATTAGCACACTGCAAATGCTCTGCCAAACACTCCGTTCCACGCACAACATCTGTTGCACTTGACCCGGCTTGCACTGGCTGTTATTTGGTCTTGTACGTAACATCAAGGCAACAGTCAAGAGAACTTTGACTGGGTCGTTTGTAAAGGACTGCTCACAGGCCCCTCACTACGATTTTCATTCCCCGAAACCCCTCCCATTGGTTGCAGAGGTACAGACGGGAAAGCAAAGTTGGGCCTTTGGGATTCAACCGAATAGGACTGGCGGCAGTCCATGTTGTGTAACAGCTGTGCACAGAGAGAGCTGCAGCCAGTGCCAGAACCGATTTCCAGCCTTGCAAAACCCCGGTTGTGTTTGACTACGAGTGCCTCCGGTTTGCCTGTTACAAAATTAGGGCTGAAATTTGATTGAGGCAGGGGGAGGGAAAGCCAGCTGAGGGATCACAGCTGCCATCATCCTTGAACACTGGCCACGCTGGCTGGGGTTGATGGGAAGTGAAGTCCAACAACAAATGAAAGGCTACTGCTCCACAACCAGCTGTCATCCAAGGGCTGGGGCAATCTAGTACATGTTTCTGTGGAAGTAATTCCCACTGTGTTTAACGGGGCTTGTTCTCCTCTACGCATGCACAGGATTGTGGCCTGAAGTTCTTGTTCTGCATTTGTCACACGGATTGAAAAGAGGAATGTGGAAATACTCCGTACTAATCCTACGAATGCCTCCCTTGTGCATTTCAGGTGAACGGTTCATCAGAACGGACTGAATATAAGACATTGCCGCTATGGCTTGTACCATTTTGAGACTGTTATGGAAGGCTCCAACCTTTGGCATCCCGAGGACTCTCAGCTTAGCTTGTACCAGATGCTTCTGCAAACATCAGCCAACAGTCACCGCTCAGAATTTTTCAGATTACGAATCCATACAGGAACAGTACAAGCCTGAAGTGCCGGAGTACTTCAACTTTGCAAAAGATGTGGTGGATGTGTGGGCCGAGGAGGAAAAGGTGTATTTTCCCATCACTTTTTCACGTTTGCATTCAGGTTTTCCAAACCCGCACAGTCCCTGGGCACGTGCAGGGCCAGTGTTCCAAATCCCATCTTGTGTGTTCAGAGCGTACTCAGTTCCCTGAGTGCAGATCCTCATGTGGCCAAAATGGAATCATTTGGGCACAAGACAAGAGGGATCAGTAGGTTTGGGGAAACATGGAGGTCTGCAGAAATTTTTAAAAATAGTGGGAAGACAGCTTACAGTGGAGGGAAAGCCTAAGACCACTGTGGCCTGAACAGGTTTGGTGTGCACACGGTACTGACTGGGGTGGCAGGGAATGAAAATCCAGAAAACTAAGCCGGGTGGAGGCAGAGCGGAATGGTGTCTCCTGGGAGAGGGGATGGCTAGCTGGAACCCTTCACGAGAGTGCGCCGTGCTTTGCCGCAAGTCCCACTTGTAATCTGTGACGGCTGATGTATGACGCTGCCGATAACACAAGGTAGGAAATGTTAAATTAACAATTCCAGGCATGTTAGACTAGACCACAACAAGGAGCTTACGTACTCCAGCGCTGTAGCAGATGGTGGATAATCTGCCTCTATGCAGTTGCATGAGTAAGGCTCCGAATTCCACAGTTCTGTTCCTGTATAACACACGGGTATGCCTATTATTTAATTAAAATAAGCATTGTTAAGGGAGCATTTCAGCCAAAGCTTACAAAGAAATTGGAATGGAAAAGTTGAAAGATATTTAAGTCAAGGAATAATAAAAAATCAGAAAAACGCACTATTAAAACAGCACTGGCAGCAAAGGCAAAAAGAAAAAATTACTTTATGTCCAGGGAGAGTAGAAATGTTATCACTTGGCAACACAAAAAAACCCGAGTTGGTACTGAGTATTTTGAGAGAGCACAGCATGTAATCATCCACTGTCACTCTGAATGCCATTTATCCTGCTTTGTCTCCTGAAGCAAGGTTAGTTATCAGAGCCCTAATCCAGCAGCTCCCAAAGTCTGTGCTAGCAGCCTTCCTGGCTCACCTGGGCTCTCTCCCTCTGGCTCCATGTCCAGGTCACTGCAGGTAGTCTGGCTTTTGGTAAGAGAGCAACCCCATCCATTGAGATGGACCTACACCAAACTCTAGTGGCTGCATCTTCAACATCACCATGAGAGTCTTTAACTCAGCTGACTCTGTTGCTCCTTCAGGAAGGAAGGCGATCTTCCCACCCAGCTCTGTGGTGGGTCAGTGACCAAGGGGACCAAGTGAAGTGGAGCTTTGAGGAGCTGGCTCTGGAATCCCGGAAAGCTGCCAGAGTGCTTTCTGATCAGTGTGGCCTACAGAAAGGAGACCGAGTGATCGTGATCTTGTCACGAGTACCGGAATGGTGGCTCATGAATCTGGCATGCATCCGAACAGGTGAGTGGGAATGTTCACTTTTTCACTCAAATGTTGATGGGACATAAAGGTTTCTGGATCCCTCTGAATATGAGATCAGGATCCATCCCTTGTTTGTTACCCTATTATGTTTTTATTGCTTTTAAGACCACATTGTTGCTTATGCCTATTATTGTATTAAACTCTGGGCAGGCTGCTGACCTGAATGGTGGCCAAGAAATATTTTAAACAACTGCTCTTTCCCATTTCCCAGCATTGCGGCTGATAAACACATGCACAATCGGCCCCTCTTTTTGTAGCGAATCCTTAGAGTCAGGCTGGGCAATGTGTGACTCTCCAGATGTTTCAGCCTTCAGCTCCCATCATCAGTCATAATTAACTCTGCTGTCTAGGGCTGATAGCAGTGCTAGGCCAAACCTTCAGGAAGGCCACAAGCTGTCCAGCCCTGTCTTTCAAGCCAAGATCAACCCGTTTCTAGACTGTATTTTTCTGCAGCCACGGTTGGAGAAAAGAATGTATTTACTGCTAGTGGAGTTCAACATTCCTGTGCCCAGAGATTTCAGCAATACCTGTACCCACCCACCCCGAATGCAGCAGCCCTGCAAACCTACATGCAGGGCTTTTGCAGCTTGAACAAGAAACGGGGAATTCTGATGGCACTACCAAAACAGGTACTTGCCTCTGCTTCTGCTCTCACAAGGCGCTGCTGGCTGGAGAATGCTGGGAGTTGTATAATTTTTTCTTAAACATACATAGGATTGTGTGTTTCTCTGCCTAACACGTTTTAGCCTGTTGTTCCTCCAGCAGAGAGACCATGCAAGGCCCCCTTCTATCCCTCAGCCTAGCAAGGACTCTGTGAAGTCTGCTGGACTGTGAGAGAATGTGCCCAAGATCTCGGCACAGGTCTGAGGGGAGGACTAGGGATTTGAACCCACCTGCCCCCAGCAGCCAAAGCTGCTGGTGCTCTCATAGTCCGAGAACTCTGCAGCAGAATAGAGTGTGTGACATGGAGAACTGTGTGGTGCAGTGGTTAGAGTACTGGACTGGGACTCAGGAGGCCCAGGCTGTAGTCCGCACTTGGCCATGACGCTCTGGGTCAGACACCGCCTCTCACTAACCTACCTCACAAGGTCGTTGTTATAAAAGGGAGGACCACCATGTATGTGGCCTTAGACCCCCTGGAGGAAAAACGGCAGGGCAGACATGTAATGATACCTCAGTCATCATTAATCTTCTCAATTTGATCCCTCCATTAGGAACGGTTCTCATTCCTGGGACAATACAGCTGACGGCAAAAGACATTCTCCACCGGCTGCAGACCTCGCGCGCCAGATGCATCGTGACAGAAGAGGTGCTGGCCCCAGCCGTAGATGCAGTGGCCTCCAAATGCCCTTCTCTGGAAAGCAAACTCATTGTGTCCAGGAAGCCCAGGGGAGGCTGGCTATACTTCAACGACCTGTTGAAGTAGGTATCCAGACCGGCCTCTTCAATCGTGAGGGCGTTTACTTCTGAAAGCTGGTGCTAGAGGAGAGACTGAGCGCTTTCGATGGTGGCAGTGAGGGACCTCAGGGCTGGGCGTGCATCACAAGCGCTCCGGGGCCCCACAGAGAGTCATGTTTCCCCCATCCACCCATCATTCACTGGCTGCCCTGCTTCTGTACAGGGTCCCCACTCAGAAGCCTGAAACGCCGACGCGGGGCCGGCACTGACATCAGGCAAGGTGCAGCCGGCAGCTCGGGTGGCACACGGTGGGAGATGGCAGCAAGGGGTGTGGGAAGGACGAGCTGTGTGTGTGTTGTGGCTGCCCGTTGTGCAGGAAGGTGCTAGCGGCCACCCTCAAAGAGAGATGCCCCAGCCGGCTTTCTGGTGTGGAATGGAAGGGGCACCATTAGGCAGCAAAATGCCTTGGGCCGACTCTGCGCCTGATGCTGAACGATTGGCAGCAAGTGCTTTGAGCTAAAACATACTGGGATGTTTTGCTCCATTCCCTTTGCTTTGGACCCACCAACATCACTGCAATGTGGCCCTCGGGCATTCTCCAAACGTGCATTCGGCCCCCGGGCTGCAAGTCGTCCGCCACCCTTGTTCTACTGGGACAGCGGAGCCTGACAAAGGCAGCCCAGCGAGCACGATGCTGGGCCTGCAGCCAGAACATTTTGATGGCATCAGGAATTTTTTTTCGGTTTAGTCGCCAAGTTGTGTCCGACCCTTCACGGGAATAAGGGACACCAGATACTTGCAGGTGTCAGATGTGAACTGGGCGAGCTGAGAAATAAAGAGCAACAAATCAGATATTCCTAACTGGCCTACTGGCATGTTTCATGCCAATTAAAGCTTTTAAAGGAACTGCAATTGCTGAGCGGTCACCAGGGTACTGCAGGTCAGTGCTGTATTGCAATGTATTACAATTAGGCAGTGACCATGGAGTGGGATACAACACCCAGTCAAAGGGCTGTAGGGGAACATTTGGGAAGGAATGCCTTGAACAGGTGATCGTGTGTGAAAACTAGAGGCTTCTGAGCCTAGATGAGGAAGGCATCTTTCTCAGATAGCACGATCGCACCTGTCTCCACCTCTCGTGGTACCAAATGCTATAGTTAACTATCTGCTGCCTGAAGATCACTTCCTTTTGTCTGTCCTGACTCTCTTACCATTCGGCTTCTTTGGAAGACCCGATACCAGTATTATGAGAAAGATATAGGCAGAATTCAGAAGAGCACAGGGCTGAGCAGACCAGATAAAATAAAGGCATGGCATGAAAAAAAAAAAATCCATTCTCGCTCCCTGCAGTTCCCTGGGGGCGATCGCGTTGGCAAGGGTCAGTGTGTGAAGACTGCAGCTGCCTTGATCATGTGGTTTTCTATTCTGCTGCTTACAGGCTTGCACCCGACGAGCACAGCTGCGTGGCCACAAAGAGTCTTGACCCAATGGCCATCTATTTCACCAGTGGCACAACGGGTGCTCCTAAAATGACTGAACACTCTCATGCTAGCCACGGAATTGGGCTCACAGTAAATGGAAGGTACGGGGAGGTTGGTTGAATTCTTCTTTTTCCAGGTCTCTCCATCTGATCTATTAAGGGGTTGAAGAAGAACACTGAAACCTGCAGACTTCCAATAACATCCTAAACCAATAATGAGAGGTTCAGTAGAACTTTACTGGTGGTGTGATCCTTTGCATCTGGACAGCCTGTTCCAGTTGGATAGTTCAAATGCGAATCTCCAGGGTCACAAAGTACCACAGTTAATCATTCTTTGGGGTTTGGAACCTTATGAATTGCACCATATAGCAGCGATTTCCGTTGTCCAAGTACGCACATTCTTCCTCTCACTTAGGTACTGGCTCGATTTGAGTCCCTCGGACACTATTTGGAATACTTCAGACACAGGCTGGGGGAAATCCGCATGGAGCAGTGTCTTTGCACCATGGATCCAGGGTGCGTGTGTGTTTGCACATGGCATGCCACGTTTTGAGCCAGAGCTTGTCCTTGAAGTAAGTGACAGACATACTAACATTGACCTAAGATCAGGACTTTCTTTTAGCAGCAGAAATTAAAGACCAATTTGCACAACCAAATCGGAACATTGAGGCGGTTGGCTGAGTGGATACGCATAATCTGGTTCATGAAAAGGCTCCGAAAAGGCCAGCACAGCTATTGGAGAAAGCCAAAGTCTCAATAGGAGTGTTCAAGTCCCAGTAGGGTCGTTAGTCTTCAAGTTGACACCGGATTCTGTAGCATTTACTGCACCAAATTGTCACAGAGGGTGGGCCTGAACTGCACCATTTTAAAAGGGTTGCTTGGGCCGTACCACTTCAAACTGCAGACTAAGAATATAACCAAAGTCATGCTGGATCATGCCAAGATTCCATCCAGTCCAGCACTCCATCCACATGGGGGCAAACCAGCTGCCCCCCGTCCTGTCTCAAGCAGGACGTGCGTAAGAATTTCCTCTGCCCAAGCTCCCCAGCACCTCGTGTCGGCAGGGCGTACCAGCCCTGGGAACAGAGGTAAGGCAGCACATAGACAGCAAGGCCTGTGGCTATCGACTGCCTTCTCCTGCATGAATTTGCCCAAGCTTGACGCAGTTTGGCAGTTATTCCAATAGCTTTTGGTCTTTTCTTATCTCGTGTAAGTGGCTCAGAATGGATGTAGTAGTAGTAGTTACTATTTTACATAAACTTCAGTATTTCACTGTTTTGCTATAGTTTTAAAGTGTTAAATTGCCAATCTATTTTCAAGAGAATAATGAACAACATTTGAAATGTAAAAAAACATTCTGGATATTTTATCAAAATTGTATCATAAAACAGTTCAAGAATAACTTAAACTTATGCAATGCCTTTCCCCTTTTTGCTGCTTACTGAATGATCTGTCTGAAAAAAAGAGATTTGGTTCTGTCTATAGCATGAAAAAATTCATCTGTAAGTCCTCTGTCTTTCATAATCATCTAGGTTTTGTCCAAGTTTCCTATAACAACATTTTGTTCTCCTCCAACTGCATATCGGATGCTAGTACATCAGAATTTAACCAGGTGAGAGAACTACTTACTACTTGCTATATTAAACGGCATTAAAATTGCATTGCTCCCACTGAAGGGGGCCATCTAAAGTTAGGTTTTACACCAGCTTGGGAACAAGCTGCAGCCACGCTCACCACCTCATATCCTCTCCTCATCCTCACACGCTGTCCCTCCCCTCTCTTCCTGCAAGCACAAATGGAAGTCTCTTCCGCTGTGGAACAAGCTGACATTCTCTGTTGTGTCTAAACTAGACCAGCTTCTAAAGTTAGCAAATGAGGAGCACACTATGGCCTCAGAATTTGGTTGACCAACTTTGGTTAGATACCCTTCCTGAGTTGGGATATACCCTGTGGAAGCTCATGGTGCCAATGTCAGTGGGACAGTGCATCCTCTCCAGGTTGCAGGGTGGACTTGTAAGGAGCTGCCCATGCTGCTGAACCTACGGTGGCCTCCAGTTCAGCACCACAGGTCTCTCCTTTATAGTTCATCACACCAGACATAATGCAGAACTGTGGTTTGTTTCAAATGGAAACTTTCCCTCCCTCCTCTGCAGCTAGCCTTGCTCTTTCCCTCCCACTCACCCTCTGCCATGTCTCCACTCCCACACTCCGGTTTCACTATTTCTCTCCCCACCACTATGTGGTGGCACCCACAGCAGGGCCTTCACGGGGGCCGTGCTGTGGTGATGCTCGTTGCAGCTTCTCAAATTCCCACCCATGCTCAACTGCCCATAGGTTGGTCTTAAATTCCGTTTCTAAGCCATGGTTTGATGATTAGGTCAAGGTGCAGCCACATCCTTGCCCCCATCTTCTTTTCCACAGCTTCAGAGGTTCCCCTCCTTTCTTCACAGCCACAATGGAGAAGGAAAGGAGAGTGCGTGAGTCAGAGAAGGCTGGGAAAGACTACATCTGAGAACACCAGGGATGCTCCCATAGAGGTTCCTAGCACTGATGAGCAGGAGGCATTGGGTGCTATTCCACACTTTTCTGATTAACCAATTTTCTACAGTAAAAGATGGAATTTGGTGGGTAGACCCCTGGCAAATCTGGCAAATGAGGCAGAATGATGGTTGCACCAAGGCCCCATTTGAAAGAATCCCAAATTACATGTTGATGTTCCATCCAAATCCAGCCAACATATCTGTTTTAAGCGGCTTTCCGGTCTAGGTAGAGAGTGTGCAGTCCTCCCTATGTTTCTGGATTTCAGCTTCCATTGTGCCATGCTGTGAGGGGCCAATGAGAGCTGGAGTCCCCTGGACCGGAACATCTGGAAGGTCCCCTGACATCAACAATGCTGCTGCCCTAAACAGGAAACCTTTTATATCCTTTCCTGGTCCTACAAAGCCAGTGGTCAGCCTAGACAGGTGAGGCACTCCAAAAGAAAAGAACCTTAAAAGAAAAGCTTGGAAAGTGCTCTAAAAGTAACACGGAGATGTGTGTTTCATTTCAAGCCCCAGTAATAGTGAAAAGGAGTTATACCGATACATTTCAGGGCTACTTGCCTGCCTGCCCTTGACTCAGTGAGTTAAACCACATCAGAGGTCTTTCTCTTTGCTTTCCAAAGTCATACATGCCAAAAAACAGAATGCCACTTTTCAGTGTGATTGTTAATTGCTTAAAAATTATACAGACCCATCTCCCTCCTCTCCCATTTATCCACAGTCACAAATTCCACAGCCTGAAGCACTGTGTGAGTGCAGGAGAACCCATGAACCCCGAAGTGATGGAAAAATGGGAAGCACACACTGAGCTGGCTATCCATGAAGGCTATGGGCAGACAGAAACGGTAAAGCTGAATGATGAGACGTTCACCAAGCGGTGACTGATTTTCATATTTACTTGCCAAGAAAAAAGGCAACTCAAGGGAGCATCCAGTTAATGACAGAAAACATGAAGCCTCTAGCACTGATATGTTTATTAGAGCTGCAACATTGAACCAATCCATCTGTTAGATTAAACTGTCCTTCATCTTATCAATGTGTAACTCGGTTTGTGCAAGGTTTTGATAAGTTACTCACCTTTGCCTCGCTCACCGACAGCAGGACAAGTTCCCCTTCACCCCTACCCCAAAATAATCTTTCAAGTCTTTTCAGCCACGCTTTACAACTTTTTCCCCTCCCGCTTGAAATAGGTGCTGGTTTGTGGAACTTTCAAGGGGATGAAAATTAAGCCAGGCTCAATGGGGAAACCTTCTCCAGCCTATGACGTTCAGGTACTGTATGGCGCGTCGGCACCAAGTCACACTTTCCTTGGGAAATCTTACACGTGGACGAAGCCGCCTCATGCGGACACAGGTCTTCTACTGCACTGTTACCTGCTGACTGGCTGCAGCCCTACAGTTCCTCTCTGTGCGTTTCTCCCAGCCTTGCCTGGAGATTATAGTAACATAAGTTAGGGCCTTCTGCATGCAAGGCATGTGCTTGGCCACTTAGACGCCACTCCCTAAGATTCCCCCCGCCAACTGGGCCCAGCCCTACCCTTAAAACAGCATGAGGCAGCCCTTTCAGGCACCGGAAGTTGAGACATGGTATGCGTAGGCTGGCGTGTGCCACATGATCTGCTCTATGCCCCTAAAACTCACCTAAGCCCAGCAGAGGGCCCTGTCCTCTCACCACTTGTCAAGAAACCACTTCCCATTCTGTGGGTGTGCACTCAACTACACGAGGCATGTCTAGCTCCGAGGTCAGAACAGTACTCAGTTAACTGGGCTGAAACATTTCAGCTGCAGCCGTGGTCCAGCTAGCCTGCGACTGGCCAACGAAGGTCTCCTTGGAGAGGCCAGGGGTTTGAGCATAAAAAAGGTAGTCTTCATCTTGTGAACTGCCTTTGGCTGGTGGCTTTTGAGGATCACCTTTAGGGCCCTCTGTTCTACACAGACCTGTGCTTAAACATGTAGAGACATATATAGGCAATGTCCGTTATTCTTTGCCCCAAGTCTGCCCAAAACACAGTTTCGAAGTGTTACTCTGGTTCTTCTGTGCCTTCCTGTTCTCTTGTGCCCTAACCCTGTGTAAATAAACATAACACCTACCTTGGGAGTTCCAAGCAAGCCTGGGTACTAAATATGCATGGGTGTTGTCTTTGTTAAAAGCTTCAGGTCAAGGATTTGAACTTGGCTTAGACCCTTATTGCTTATGCCTAGAGGTGTTCTGTGAGCTCTTAGAATCCACTAGATTGGGTTGAGATGGATACAAGGGGTGGTGCCTGCATAATCTCTGCCTGTACTGCAAGGAGGCAGGACCACACCTTCCTGCCTTCACACCAGCACTGAAATAAGATTCAGCTACCAGTCAGCCAAGCTTTGGAACACCGGGCAGTGACGGGGAGACATCATCTTCAGCCAGCAAAATGTTTGGGACCAGCCTTACTCCCGTACGAACTTGTAAGTTACAGTTTAAAAAAAATGAAATTCAATTTTGTCCTCTGCTTACTTTTAGATAATAGACGAAGATGGTAATATTTTGCCTCCTGGGAAAGAAGGGAACATTGCCATCCGAATAAAACCTACAAGACCATTTTGCCTTTTCACCCAATACACGGTAAACCTTCATAGAGGAATGCCAATTAGGTTGCAGAAACTAGAATACCAGAATTATGAGACTCCCTGTTGCTGCTCCAATGTCAGGTGAAAGTTTGAACAAGATTATGGGACAGTGCTTCTACCCCGTTTCCAATGCAGTATGTGAAAGGAGAACATGGAGACTGAGAACTACAAAGAATACCAATAACAGTTGTACCTTATGGCATACCTTCCCTAACACAGAGCCCTCTAGATGTTTGGGGATACACATTCCACATTCCTGCCTCTTGGCCATATTTTCTGCACCTTATAAGGGTTGTCCTCCAAAACAGTGGCAGGGCTGTGGGTTGGAGAATGTTAGAATGCCACAAGAACACGGCTGGGGCTCACTGGTTTTAAACCTGCCTCTTCCTTAGTGTTAAGAAACACAGGCATTCACAGGTAATGGCAATCCCAGGCTTGTCAACCAGTTCAGAAGACAAGCCCTCCTATAAACACGGTTAATAGCCTAAGCTTCCATGCTGGCAATAGAGAAGGGAAGGTTCCCCTTTCCACAGCTGGTGTGTAGACCTGCTGCTACACTGACAGCCTATTTTGGTGACTGGTTGTTTTTAAAACTATTCTTATCAGTCAGCTTCATTTCAGGGCTGGCTGTGGAGGAAGAAACTTCACAGGTAGCCCAGGAACCAGAAGCTGTTCCAAGGCCAGGCAGTGCTCTGTCCCTCCTTTGCTGGTACGTTCCCTCTGTACGTGGGGTCCATCCACTCAGCTTCCCTACAACACCCAGTCAACTTAAATACAAACATGGCATCTTTCCTCTGATAGCTAAATGGAAAACATTGAGCCTCCCTTGCATTTCAGAATTTAGTGGCCTTATACATGAATATGCTGTGTTGCATTTTCTTCTTAAGGGTGCGATCCTATGTGCGTTTAGAGTCCCACACATCGGAATGCAACCTAACTGAATTTTTGGGTAAGATACAGTAGGGAGACCATGTTTTAGATATTGAAAGCCAATGCTGTATTTATTTATAAATAAAAAGTAGTTTAATGTGCTTACCTATTCCTAATTCACTAGTACCACCAAATCAATGTATTTTATACATGTTCCTGCACACCAGAATGATCCGGAAAGAACCGCTGCAACCATTTGTGGGGACTTCTACATCACTGGTGACATAGGGATGAAAGATGAAGATGACTACTTCTGGTTCATAGGAAGAGCGGATGATGTCATCAATTCAGCTGGGTATCATAACATGCGCTGCCAGAACATCATTGCATTGATAAGCATTTGTCACAGGCAGAAGGAACAATCCTGTGGCCTCGAGGCATTATCCAGGGGACCATAGGATAGACTGGTATTATGATGGGACTCCAGAAGGGGAGGGAAGGAGGCTGAAGCACTATTGCTGGACAGAGGAAAATGACCTAGCAAGAATGTGGAGCAGGAAAAGGAGGATTGCCCTCACCTCTCTGCACTGAATTGCTCATCTTGATTGGACTGCACGCTAAATAGTAAAAGGGATAAATGCAGTATGTGTATTTATTCACATACTGTAATCTCCAAGTCACTAAACGAGGAGAGACTCGGGAAATTGTACAAAAGCAAAGGCAGCTGTGTTAGCTACAAGAAAAATTCTAATACACCTTTATTAGACCCACTCAGAGATTACAAAAACAAGTTGAGGAAGGTTGAATTGATGTAGCAGCCCAGATCCCTGCACTGTCACAGTAATAAATGATATGAAGGAGAGAGGGTTGCAAAAACTGAAACTGGGCTCTGCCCACTCAGGTCATGGCTGCCCTGGCCCTACCACCGCCAGACAGGAGAAGGTAACAGTTATCCATTTTTTAAAATATAATATCCAAGACTGAACTCAAATCTGTCTCCACCAGGGTGAACAAGACAGAAGAATGCAGGGAGGGATGTTAATTGAATGCATAAGTAGTGTTTATACTAGCATAGTTATACGGTAAACTGCTTTATAACAGATCTGTGGCTTGAACACAAGATATAAATACCTTATGGTGCAATTCTATGCATGTTTGGTTAGAAGAAAGTCCTATGGTTTCTAGCACAACCCAGTCAGCATGGGGGATACATGTCTGTCTAATTATGCACAAGATTGTGCCCATAATTCATTGATTGTGTCTCCTTGTTTCAAAGTTACCGCATTGGGCCCTTTGAAGTGGAAAGTGCCTTGATAGAACATCCAGCAGTTGTAGAATCAGCTGTTGTTAGCAGCCCAGATCCCACGCGAGGAGAGGTAGGAACTGAATCCTATTGTGGAACTGACTATCGTTAAAATGAGGGACTCCAGCCCAGGTTTTGGTGGGATGTTTCAAATGGATGCCAACCAGAATCTATCAAGAGAATGATCCTGTGGCCTCCAGGCAGAATCTGAAGATCCATAGGATATTTCAGATGCCCAGATCCAGCCCCCCACCCCACCCACTTCCCCCTTGCATAGAGCCACACAAGCTGCTCTCCAAGGTTGGGAAAAAGGGAATTTCAGTATGTGTAGAGGAGAGGTGACTAAAGAGGCCAGGATACAAATGAATGGCTCTCCTGTCTCCTTCCTTCCCAATTCCCTAATGCACTGTCGAGATGATCAAAAAAGACCTGGCAAGTGGAAAATGCAGGAAGGGAGGCCGGAGGGTGGTTTGCTTCTGCTGCTTTCTCTCATGCTGCACTGATCAGCATTAGCCTCTGAGCTTGAACATTTATGGGCACTGCTAATAGGACTGCATCCCAAGAGTGAGACAGACCATCTAGCTCAACAGTGTCTGCCAATGACTGGCAGCTGATCTCCAGAGGACCAGGCAAGGCTCTTTACCAGTCCTACTGGGAGACTGAACCTGCACACCTGTGTCCTGCCACTGAGCTATGGCCGGCTATTCTTTACCATCAGCAGCATATGATCCTTCTTAACCACAACTTCCCTTTGGCCTAAGCAAAGCCCTCCTCCTCTTGCACCAGCTTCATGAATTAACCACACATCTGTGTTTGTGTGTACACATGCGCATACAAATATGATCCAGTTATATTAGAATGTTTGTGAATTTTCCAGACTGCAGTACTAGCTCATTCAACATAGCAGAAGGATCGCAAGCAAGAAATCTGTGTCCCCGTCAGCATTCTCGTTTTCTGCAGCAGAGTAACAGTGGGAAGAAACCCCTCTGCTTATCATTCTGAAGCCTACAAGAAAGGCATGTTGCAGAACACAGTGCCCCATGCTGATCTCAGCTTTTTTACATTTGGATGGCCAAGCAGCAATCCCCAAGTTACTCAAGCTGGCACACTTAGGCTTAAACTGACTTAGTCCCTGGGCTGCATTTAAGCATGATAAAATGGCCCACAGTGCAAGCCAGTGGCCTGTGCACTCAAAGATTTAAGTGCAAGGCATGGTGACACTGTTGGATGAAATACCACAGAAGGGGAAGGAAGGAGGCTGAGGCACTGTTTGGAAATCAAACAGTCCATCCCAGTGAACCATCCACCCCAGCTTCCTCCACTCCCTGGCCGTTCCCTTTTCCTGCTGTCCAAGGCCAATTTGCTACTTCCGAGAGGTAGCTGGCACGATTCCTTTTCTAGGTTCATTCTGCATTTGCGCTCCAAGCTCAGAGACTGCATCTGGCGCTCCAAATAATCCTATAGTCTCCTAGACAATGTCAGGAGGCCATAGCGTTGCACCCTTAAGAGATTCGTAGTTTTCTCATCAGCATATCGAACACCTAGCTTCTCTCTTAGTTATTGTTGCACCACTGGAGTTCTCCTGATTTATAATCTGTCAAAAGAAGAATTTTGTGAGCCTCCATGATCTTTGTCATGTTATGTTTGAAGGTTGTGAAAGCCTTTGTGGTGTTGGCACCTGACTATGCTTCCCATGATCCAGAAGCACTGATTAAAGAGCTGCAGGACCATGTCAAAAAGGTCACTGCCCCGTACAAGTACCCTAGAAAGGTAAGTTGTGATCTGGTCATGGGCACTACTCTGAACTGGTTTCCTGCCTGTTCCCCAATCTTGTCCACGCCTTCAAAGGCATTTGTGGCCTTACCTCTGCTCTTATATCCTCCACACCCTTCCTGTAGCCTTTGCTCATCCAGCTCCCCTACCTTCAGCCATCCAAAGCTTTTCTGATCTCCAGAGACTCCCACCCTTTCTCCCTTGCTTCTCCCTCTCGCCTGGAACAATCTTCGTGCTGCTGCTGCTGCCCTCCTTCCTTCCCTTGCTCTCAAGATCCACCTTTTCAGCAAAGCCTTTGGAATAACCCTAATTCCCAGTGCTCAAACAGAAGCAGGCAACTTGGTGCCCTCCAGATGTTTTGGACTACACCTCCCATAATCCCTGACCATGGGTCATGCTGGCAGTCTGCCAGCCTAAGTTGAAGCAGATGTGCCTGAAATGACAGCATATTCTTCCTCATGCCTCCACTCCTCCCTCGCTTCTCTTGTCTTCCTTCTGGCTGCTTTTTCCTTGGGGTAGTGTTCTTCACAAAGCAATACGGCATCGGGTAACTTAGGGGTCACCTACCTTTGTGAATAGGTGGGAACATTTAGAATTGTCAGAGCGCCATGGGCGGGCACTTGCCCATTCATAAAATGGCTGCCATAGGCAATCACAGATGCTCATTTCCCAAAGGCAAACTGAAACAAAAGTAAATTCTCCCGCAGTCTTAAGTACAAGGCAGACACAGACTATGAATCCTAATCACAAAACTGCCCTTTTGAATCCAAATACAAATGATACTGGACTCAGTTTGCAAAATAAGCAAAAGAAAGATTTCCTTTCAGATCCCCGAAGTTAACACCACCAAGAACTTGTGGGGAATTGCAAGAGAAAGATAGACATGTATTCAACCATAATACCAGTATCTTTCTTCTATCCTGTCAAGGGGATAACTGAGGGACCAAATCTATTTGACACAACCTCTGTCAGCCCCCTAGTTAACTTTTCTTTAAAGAAAAAAAATAGACACAAGGCCAGACAACCTGATGGGCCAACAAGCACCATGCTGGAGACCCAGTATAAATGAGATGTATGCCAGTTACGTGTGCATCACCATAGTCCCCTGTAAAGCAGTCAAATACACGCCTGGAGAGCCTAAGAACCTGCAGAGAATATGCAGGGGTTCAAATGCTGCAAGGATGATCAAGCACCAAGAGCAAGGTGTGATGAAAAAGCTCAGAAAATACAACACATCTTGAAAACCTGTTCATTTGGGTTTGAGTGGCAACCAGAGCTCAATATAGATGCTACAGCAAATTGAAGATTAAAAATGCATTGGTGCACTGGGTGAACTGACACATCACAGCTTGCTATCTTCCAGATTGGGAAACCCTGGCCGTGCATAAGTTGATATCTGAGTGATTTATACTCCTTAGCTCCATTTCTGGAGCATTGAGTGGATGGAAAATAAAAGGAAACAATCTGAACACACGGTTTGCCTGTAGACTTGGAAGCAGGAACATGCCCTGTATTCTCAACGAGTGCAAGCTATGGTTTAGCCTGATGACTGAACTGTGTACAAGCTAGGAATGTCGCAATGAATACAGCAGATGAACAGCCCCGACCAGAAGCCTGCCACAAGTAAAAGACAGCTTCATGTGCTTTATTTTAACTTCTTTCCTCCCTGTATTACTCAATAGATCAGTGCTTTTGTTAGCTGTAATTTCTGTTCTTGTCCAACAGATGGAGTTTGTGCCACATCTGCCAAAGACAATCAGCGGGAAAATCAGAAGAAATGAATTACGCAAGAAGGAGTGGGGGAAAGCTTAGAATGATCTGTTTACTTCCAGAGTTCTTGTTCTAAAAAAGGAAGCCTTATATTGGTTCCTTCTGTTGCAATATTACTGTGATAAAGTACATATTTAAAAGTCCAACACTACAAAGCTCATAATCCAGTCTCTCAAAGGGGGCCTGAGGTGTACAAGCAGTGCAGGATCAGAGCTTTGGTAAGTATTGGTGGCTGAGCATCTCTCCCCACCAAAAAAACTTTATATGAGATCCTAAAGCATCTTGCCAGATTAAGCAAAGGAAAAGCATAGCTTGAATTCCAGATGTTGAGTTTCATACAGAAAAGAACATTGTGTACCCTGGAAAAGAAACCAAAATAGTTTTGCTTTCAGAGCCCAGAAGTTAACAGTGCAGTGAATCAGCAGGAAGCACAACAAGACCAAACTAGACATGTATTCAAGCACACAACCAGCACCATTTTTTTCTATCCTGGCAACACGATGTCTGAAGGACAAAATCTATTCAGCACAGATAACATTTCTACACTGGCCTTTTATTTGATGGTTCCCAGCATAGCAAAGGTTGCTCTTCCCGAGTCTGGCCCACTGAAGAGTTAGAATGACAATTTGCCACAGTATCATGCCCCCGCCGCCGCCCCCACTTCTCCCATGAAATAGATGAAATCATTTTAAGCACACACAATTGTGGTTTAAATGGTTTATGGATTATACTCCCCTGACTATCTCCCTGGATTAAAACAACATAATGCAAAAGGACCAAGAGGATTCTTTACAGATGTGTGTTCTTGTAGCCATTCCAGTATTTCAGGTAGTCAACTCAGGCCAAGCCCCATCGGACACCTGAGCCCAGATGCAGGATAGGAAACTGCCTGTCACAACAATGTGCATGCGAATGTGCACACACTGACGCAAGGGATCCAGCAGCAACCAAACGTACAAAGCATTACCACAAAAGCTTTTCCCAGCATTGAGCTGCACTGATGGATATTCAAGCCACAGAAAGGGGAGGGAAGGTTTTCCATCCAGCCAAGATGCAATATGTGTAGACACCATTTATATTAATGGGAAAGTGTACTACATGCTTAGAGCTTCTACTGAAAGCAATGGGACCTAACTGAGCAACCTTACTGGGGCAATCCTACACATTTTGACGTAAAAAACTTCTACAACAGGCAACCATAGGTCTGCTTCTCCAAGCATGAATAGGATTGCGCCTTAAGAAATTTAGTTTCTGAAACAAATCAACTGAGAGAAAGGAGAGGGGATGCAGGGCCATTGAACCAGCCTTGCTAAACAATGCTGTTTTCCCCACTCTTCTTTCCTCATTCCTTCGTGTGTAATGTCTTTTTAAAACTGTAACCCTGTAGGCAAAAACTTCTTCAGTTGAAAAGCTATAGAAGCTATTTGGTTTGAGAGCAATGCTCTCAAAAGTCAAATCATTAGGACAAAATAATGCAACTCACTAAATTTATGTGAGATTATAAAAGCAGCTAAAACCACAGGTCCCAGTTTCAAAGTTTTAATTAACAAGCATACACAACTGCCTTTGGGTTCTTACTCAGACAATGACTGCACTAGACTCACAGTATTTCAGAATTTGGGCGACTGTGTTCAAGATGTTGAGCCAATTCTTCTATGGATCCCTGGAAAAAGCCACTGCCTTCTGCAGCTGTGCACTCTGTTCCTTCTAAGTGGCTTAAGCCAAGCTTCTCTCATCTATTGCAGAACTTCCTATCTCCTTTCTTAACTAATGAAGATTGACAAGGTAGGGCTTCTCTTTCAATAGCTGACTGATGTGAATCCCTGACCTTTCCACAGCATACTTCAGCCTTGAGGGCTGCAGAGACTCATGCAGCTGAACAAATTGACAGAAACAGATCACCTCAACAATATAAAAGTGGTCAATTTTATTCAGCCACCCAAGCCCATTCTTTAAAAAAAAAGGAATTGTTTTTATTTCATTTACAAACAAACAAAAAATCAAAATTGTATTGATTGCTTTATTACACTGATTTACTGCATTTCAACCTAGCCCAATCACTATAACTATCCGGGTGATTCACAAAACCTTTTAAAAATGTTTCAAAAGTGGATGTATATTTGCAGTTATTTAGTAAATCGCAGCATAATCCAAAATCATAAAAAAGCTGAACCTTCTAAGGCTAGAATGTAGGGAAGGATAAAAGCACACACTTTCAAAAGATTAAACCAGCTGCACTTCTTCAGATTAGTTTCGACAACCTGATCACACTCCTTTTCAGCATCACTGATGTCTCCCCCGACCCCTGCAACTTTTCTTTCCCAATGGCTCCTCCATACAGTCCATCTATTTGCAGAAATGTGACACACTACACAAACAAAGCCAACAACATGTGAAGGTGTGAACTAGGTGTTTTTTGCAACTAGCAAGAAAGAGTTGTCACTTGTTAGGTTCGCATAGAGGGCCGGAGGCTCAAGCATTTCCTTTGAGAATTTCTTGATGAATTGCAGCTTGTTACAGGAGGGGGTAACCCTAGGGCATGTGAAGTTGGAGGAGGGAATTTCTCCTTTAGAAAAGTATCCTCCCATTTGAAATACCCACAGCCCTTTCTATTCCCTTCCTGTTTTCCAACTGGACAGCTATAGAATGCTTTGCCATGATTTGGACCTCCGTTTGAAACATTTAGCCTTCTCGCCCTTCGACCACATTTGCACAGAGGAGGAGTCACTCTCCTGTTTCCGGCAGGCCTTAAAGACTGGTTCACGTTGACCGAGGAGTTTAGGATGCCAGAAGGTATATTGTGCAAACATGATCCGAATAGCAGAGAATAGTTAGAGACACTTTTTTCTTCAAATACTGTAAAGGCGGGTTTTTTGGCTGGAGGAACAGATTTGGGACTAGAAGGCTTCCTCTTGGGCATTTCAGAAGAACATGTGGGATGATCTCTTTTTGATATGCCAGTGGAAGATGTATTTACCTGTGCAACAGGGAACTTAAACACAGAAGCGTTCGAACACTCATTTGCAGTTCTGTCTGTGCTATGATTGGGGATTTTGTAGTTAACGGCCTTGGAGAGTTCCACATCCAGAGTAGCTTCTGCCACATTTTTAGATCCTAAGGTCATTGCAGTCGAATTGATCATATCCATCTTCACTCCAGCTATTAATGAACTCCTATCATTTGGTTCAACTTTCAACTGCAAAGATGAACTTTGATCATCTTGCGATCCTTGTATTAATGCTGCATCTTCCCAGTCGGCCAACATCGCATAACAATCCGGAGTGGTACTTATGTCTATATCAGAATTATTGACAGAGGAAAGAGTAGTAGAGACCAAAACCAGCCCTGGATTCTGGTCCAAAGAATTTGAAATCAGGTGGCCATTATCTAGCTTATTATGGAGGCCAAAAGGATTACTGTAGGAGGACTGAAAATAGCCAAGAGGAGAATCGAGTTTCCCAGTGTGTGAGGTCAAGCAGCTTTGAATTCTTCTATATACATCAGTCTTTGGGTGGTTTCTTGATAAAATATGAGTCTTCCCATGTAAAGGTGCAACAGGAGTGAAGTCTTGCTGTTGATTTTCTTCATTATTTTTAATTTCTATGGCAACATCACCATTTCTGCTTTCATTCAAACATGCTGGTTTTGCACCATCCTCCCTTCCCAAAGGGCTGCCATCGGGAGGTTTCGTACTCAAAAGCCTGGCAACAGAATTCTTTGCAGGAGGCACCTAAAGATTCCATAAACAAATTAAGAGATTGTAGGAACTACAGGAACAGATGACCACAAATGAGACAAAAATCTGGCTCAGAATCCTTCAGGGCAACACTGAAGTTGAACGTTGGTTCAGCAAACTTTTACTTGTTCTCTGTACTTCAAGTCACATGTGCCAAGAAGAAAAACCACTGACCTTATCCAAAGATTTAGTGATTTTCATCACACACCCATCACGGATCATCCTCCAAGCAAGGCGAGCAGTATTTCGGGAATCGTCCAACCCTGCAGAAAATAAGAGATCACACTATTGTTAACATACTCATGTAAGTACAAAGGAAACAACAACAACAACAAAAACCCACCCCAGTTTGGTAGGCCGGTGAACACTGAATCGCTCAGGGTTAAACTGATTGGTGGGTCACAGACATTGCCAAAATGCTTGCTTATAGAGAGATGTTTTTATTTCTTTTACCATGTTAGCTGAAAGCAGTCATTTTGTTTCCTGAGCTATCCCATCCCCTGCTTCCCAATTGCATTTAGAATTTCAGGGTATGGCTTTACAGGAAAAGAATAAGATTATATTCCACTGAGTATGACTCATTTTATGTTGGCCTTGAAAAATACTGAAATGTTCCATTGTCTAGATACCTAAGCACTGGCTTCCAGGGTCTGGAACTCTGAAATGTTTTCAGAGCTCTTTTGCATACCTTCGTATAAGAAAGAATGGTGGGCTGGGGGGAAAGAATCATGCTCACCAGAATGCTCCCGTCCTGCAAATATGATCCCCACATCCTGCAAAGCACCATTTAATCCTTGCGGCTTCCGAGAATAAAAGAGCTGGGAGAAAACAAAGATAAGCAAGCATTGCATTAGTTGCTCTGTTCCGTTACGTTTGGATAGATGGGGTTCTTTGGAGCCAAAGCTTGGCATTTCATTCTTCATATGCCCTTCTCTCTCTAGCAGGACAACAAACAACTAGAGACTGAGCAATATTCCAAGTGCTTCAGCTACTACCCTAGACAGGGTAGCAAACAGAAGTATCAGTATATTAAATGGTATTCATTGTTTGCTTTGTACACTTGGCATAGGACACGTCATTGTCCCTGTGCCTCCCACAACCAACAGCGAGACCATCTATTACCAACTGTCCTGCAGGAAAGAACAAATGATCATGGTGTGGAGAAAGTGAAAAAAGACTTTATTCCCTTTCTCATATTACTAGACCCCGGGGTCATTCCATGGAGCAGACTGGTGGGTGATCCAGGACAAGTAAAAAGGAGAACTTCTTCACACTTGCAAACTATGGAATTCAGTTGTCTGGGAAATAGTGAGGGCCACCACTTTGGATGGATTTAAAAGGGGATTGGACAGATAGATCAATGGCTATCAGAGGCAGTGCACCCATGTACCCTAGTTGCTCGGGAGCTTGGGCCAGAGGAAGATGTCTACCGTGTGAACAAAATGATGGACTAAAAGGGCCACTGTTGCAAGCTTCTGTTCTCATGAAGCAGACAAGAATACCTTGGAGACTGGATTGCTGTCCTCCCAAACAGAGCCAGCTGCCACCAACTGCACTCTGGGAAACATCCCAGTGATTTCTTTCATTCTGATATGCACCCCAATTTTATTTGTGCTTTTCAATTTGTTAAGCCACTAGCCCTTAGTCAATTTTGTGAACTCCTCTGGAAGAATCTGTTTCCACAAAAGGCAGGATATAACTAATTATAAAAAGCAATCTTTTTAGTATATTTATTCCCCACCTTTCTTCCTCTTGCAAGGAACCCAAGACAGCTGACAAGGTACTCTTCCTCTCTATTTTATCTTCACAGCCCACTCTGTGAGGTACATTAGCTCAAGAGTATTTGACTGGCCCAAAGTCACCCAGTGAGATGCATTTGTTTATTTTTATTTATTAGATTCATATCCTGCCTCTTTTTTTTTTTTTTAAAGAATTCAGTGTGGGTCACATCATTTTCCTCTTACTGCTTTCAGTCTTATCCCCACAACAACAATTCTATGAGGTAGGATGGGTTGAGAGTCTGTGATTGGCCCAAAGTCACCTAGCTGGCTCCATGGCAGAGTGGGGACTAGAGCCCAGGTTGCCCGAGTCCCAGTCCTGCACTGCACCACTGTAGTTCTCAATTTTCCACTTAGCCTGACAGGTTTTGCCATTTGCTGCTACTGATCGCCCTCAAGCACCAGGAGCAGTTAGGCTCATCCCCCAACTAGCCAGGTCTCATTCTCTACCCTAATAAACCGAACCACCCTCTCCCTCCAGACTCCACCCCAATATGACCAGGTAATCCTCACAGAGTCTCTTGCCTCTCATTGTAACTATGATACCAGACTGGCTAACCATAAAGTAAGACCACCTGCAGATACAGGAAGGGCATGCAAACAATAATCCCTATATATAATCAACAAAGCAAAACACTAAAAGAACAGAAGAAAATGAAAAAGATAGCAAGAAGTCAGCAGATGGAAATATGACAGTATGGTAAGCAATGCAGAATTATAGTAAACCTTTCTTTCATAAATGTCACCTATCTAATTAAATCTATCTACTATTTAGAGATGCAGAGATGCTTCCAATTACCTCAATATTTTTGTACAACAACAAACAAATTAAGTTACTTGCAAAAGATGCCTTTTAAATATTCTTTGCTCAACAGTTCCAAGTGTACAAATGTTTCAGTTTGCTGGTGCTCTCACCTTGTAAGTTGCTCGGAGGTCAATCCAGGAGTTTAAAATATCTGGTTTTCTCAGCTGTTTTCTTTTACATTCATAGTGCAGACAAACCCCCAGGTCCCAGTCTGTACAATAGACAAACAACCAAAGCGTTCATCTAATTATCATAAAATGTTTTAATATCAATATTTGTACAGCTTTCTTTCCCATGTGAACACTTTACATTTTTGGGTATTGATTATCAGCCAGGTCAGAAGCATGAGAAATTAAGGGCACAATCCTGTGGCATTCCAACATTGTCTGGGAGGCACAGGATTGCTCAGAACTGCCCCAGCCCCTTGGAATGCGGAGCCCACGGCCCTGTCAGCCTCACAGCCAGTGTGGAAAGAACCGCACCGGCTGCATCTCTAAGATTGGAAATTGACCTTAAAGAGGGCTAAAGCAGCATTCTGGAGAGGGGAAGAGGCTGGAAGCAACAACTTATGACTAAGCCAAATGTCATCCCAGCAGCCTTCCCTCCTCCTCCAAAGTACTTCGTATCTAGAAGGTCAAAACCAACCATCAAAATGAAATACAAGTTGCACAGCACAGGGCAGCATATCCCTGTTGCTGCACCCCACACTTTGTTAGTTGCACACAAACCTCCACACTGGGAAGCTGGCCTGGTTCAAGGCTGGACAATACAGAAGTCCGCCCTTGTGAGCAGGTCTCGTGTGTGGTGCAGTTGTGGCTGGTTATGGTGCTGATTTCACAGCATGCGGTATAGCTGCATAAATCAAAACAGCATTCCACAGGCATACTCTAAGTAAGCAGGAATAATGTACACTCATATTTATGCTAATACAGCTGAGTTGTATGTTGTGATATGAAATCTGTGCATGACTAGCCTAGAGTTGGGATTCCCCAACCACACAGGAGAATTCCCCAGCCAGCAAATCGCTGCTTTCCTTGCCTGTTTTAAAGCAAGTCTTTACATGCCGTCTTAAAAATACTGCCACAAAAGGGCATGGCAAAACATGGTGAAACACCAGAGGCAAGGTCAAGGTCTGGGGTGAGGCTGCTGGCAGGATTTTCAATGGCAGGGGCATCACCATCTGCTTCTCCCCACATCTAATAGAGGCAATGAATTACCTGACCATGTAACAAAAGCACACAATTGTCCATCAGGAGCAGCAGAACTTGAATGACCTGAACTGAAAGTGATGTTCTTCTCCTTTTGTAGCTTTTGAATCCATTTAGAAAACTGCGATAGGCATATATGCAAAGGAACTCCCTCATCAACTTGACTCTAGATAGAAGAGAACAAGATAATTAACCAAATTGCTGGGAGGCTTCCAAGCCCTGATTTACACCCAGTCTTAACAAAATACACAGAGAAACATAAGTAATATAAACAATATCCATGCAACTTCAAACTCAAACTACTAGCTTAGTACCACAAACTGCTTGCAAAACAAAGAAAAGTTATACCTGTGTAATGCCAGTTAGTTCAGTGCAAAACTCGGAAAGAACTGGATGTTCCTGAGGCTGGATGTACATGTGAAATTCAGATTCAATCTCTCCATTTGAAGTGTTTAATAAAACAGCTGGAAATTCAACTACCAAAACAACCAAGAGTAGATATTCAGAAGCAGGCATCATTAGAGGGATGGACTAGAATTGTCAGACAGGAGCTCAAATTCACACTTAGCCTTGAAGTTTGCGCAGGGAACCAAGGCTCAACTTGGATGCCAGGAAGTAGTTCCTGACAGTTAGGACCCCGAGGGTATGGAATGGGCTTCCACGGGAGGTAGTTGAGGCCCCATCAGTGAGGGTGTTCAAGGATAGGCTGGACATGCACATGGTAAACATGTCATAAGTGGAGCTGACTAGAGCCAGGGGTCAGACTAGATGGCCTGGGAGGTCCCTTCTGATTCATTATGTTTCTATGCTTCTAAGTAACCTTGGGGAGTCACTCACTCTCACCATTACCTAATTCATAAGAGAGTGTGTAGCGGGGGAGGGGGTGGAAGGAATGAGACCTAAGCAAGCCATCCCAAGCTCCTCTGAGAAAGGGAGGAATGTAAAACAGCAGTCAGACAATGAAGCTGTTTAGACAACTTTCAGCTTGTCTGTCATTCATGCTCAGCTTGACTCACAAGGTTGTGCAAATCACCATTAGCTCATTTGAGAAATTGCACTCAGACCCTTAAATTTTAAGTATGTCAGCAACTTTTAAGCATGTCTGTGACCCACCAAACAGCTTAACCCTGAGCAATTCAGTGTTCACCAGTGTTAACAAGAAACTTCTCTGATATAACCTGAATAATATGACAGTACTTCATTTAAACTCAACAGGTTATAGAGAGACATCATCCACCCTTCAGGCGGGCCATTCCACCTGAGTCCCACAGGGTTCCATCTTATTCCCACTCCAGTTCAAAGCATATATTAAATCCTCCAGAGACGAATCACGAGCACACCAACAACTTCCTGCTTCATTTGTCTTCTCTATGTTCTTTCTTTGCTACTTACTGCAATCAAATAAGACTAGTGTACCCAGTTTTGGCAAGCAGGTGATACCCCATTCTCTCAAATGACTGGATTCAGATAACTTGATAACCCACAATCAAGGGTTGAGTATGGGTTACTGCTGAACAGTAGGTTGTTCTTGAATCATGGATAATCACGCTGTGATTTGTTAGCAATAAAGAGAACCCATGTTTTGCTGTTGGGTTATGAACTCTTCATGGTTAACAAACCAGTTTGTTATCAGAACTGAGTTCCAAAAACACAGTAAGCCATGTCTCAACAAATACCCACACTCATTGAGTAAAGGATTACCATGTTGTCTGAACTTAGCCAGTGTCAACAAAGCTATATCCATGCAGCTGCTGTACGTGGAATATGTCCCCCAACATTGTAGGGAGGCCACAGGTACTGCAGAGCATCATATGCACAGGAATCTCACAAATCTCCAGACCCAAGCTAGTGGCCTAGAGATTACGCTGAGTGATTGGACAAATCTAAGGGAATGACACTAGGCAGTGCGTGTGCCCCAACACATACCTGTTGCTAAGCATCAGCCTCCTCAGCTTCTCATATAAATTAAATATCAGTATATTAAAACTTTATGCATAGAATTTGGGGTAGGCAGATTGGGCTGGAGTAGGCTGCAAATTACAAGTATGAAAACATATTTAAACCACATGAGTCCTAACTCACTCCAAAGAAATTCCCAAAATAGCTAAATTTCCACTTACTGATTTCTTGACTGTAACCTTTTCTGTCTTTCCAACATGTGGACTCAAAGTCGATAACGATTAAGTAGTCAAACAACTGTCCTGCAATACCAAAGGGATTTTATGATATTATTATTTGCAACAGTAAAGTAGTAATATTTGGCTCGTGAAACAGACACCATACTCACGCAGTTTGGGTTTATCATGACTGTGGCCACTGGATGAGGTTTTGGAAATACTTCTAATAATGCCAAGTTTCCTATAAAAAGACATAAATCCACATAGAGCAATATTGGCCATGTTTGACATCACAAACCACCTTTCCCTGACCTGGTGCTTCCCAGCATCCTCCAGCCAGTTTGTCAAAGGGGTGCATGCAGTTGTCGCACAACACATCAAGAAAGCACCAGATGGAGGAAGACCGACACAAACTATTGTTTAGCATTACAAGAATTAGCTTCCAAACTACTCCTTGTAAGGAGATGGGGGAGAACACAGGATCACACAGTTGGAAGAGCCCTAGCAGGCCATTGAGTCCAACCGCCTGTTCAATGCCGGACTCAAGTCACCCATCCAGATTTCAACCTAGCCCAACCCTGCTTAATTGAAGCTTGTTCTTATCATGCCAGATTTCTGCACATTTTTTGCCATGTAACTGGGCTTGGGGATTATTAGATGACAAATAACAGTAAACTATGTTTCCCAGTATGGTGAAAGGACATCCACCCAGAAAAAAAACTTGATTGCCTTAACTGGAAGGTCAGGAAGCAAGTCAAATCAGAGGCAAATCTTCATGCCTTGCAGCCCCATAAAGGTTAAGACCACACCTGCATTTTCATAGGTATTCACAACATGGGCATACACATAAACATGAAGAGGACAAAAAGGCTAAACAGCAGGGTCAAATGTCCACAAAACACAAGTGGATCGATCAGGAACATTTCTATGCTAATCTCAAAATGTATTCAAGATGCATATGGGAACTATTCCCAACCACAAGTGGAGGTAGCAAAATCCTTCCTAGCTTTGCCATGCTCATCTAAAAATCCATAAAGAATCCAGAACAGCAGAGCAGCTGGAACAATTCATTTTGTCCTTCCCCACCTTTCCTCCCTGCCCTTTTTCTGCTTTTTTATTGTTTAATATGCATCCATTCCCAAACAGCAAAATAACTAAGACCAGGAGTCCAGGGCCCTGGCAGCCCAAACCCTGACTCCCAATGGCCTACAATTCCCAGCATTCCTCAGCCTGTCTGGCTATAATTTTTCCTATCTAATCATGAATAGGATTGTACCTAAAGCTACCTTGAGCATCGGGGGTTGGGGTTATATGCATCAGAGAAGTAAATTAAATCCAGGGTGGCCTAATGGCTAGAGTGAGACTGGGTGAATCCGAGTTCTACCCCCCTTCGGCCATGCCTAGCCCGTTGGGTGACTTTGGGCCGGTCACGGACTCTCAGCCTAGCCCACCTCACAAGACTGTGGCTGGGAGGATAACCTGGAAAGAAGAAAACCTTGCAAGCCGCTTTCATGAACTAGCAAGAACAAGAACGGGCATCACGGTTCCACAGAAGGCGCCGGGCCGCCTCCCCACAGAGTCTCCCCACTCCGCGCGCCCGCGGACACCCACGACTAATCCCCTTCGAAAAAAGGACGCGGCGCCTGCTCTGGGCCTTACCTGGCCAACCGCTTCGTCGCCATGGCTACAGCCCCCCCCCCCACAGGCCAAGAAGCATTGGCCCCGCCCCGCCCCGCCCCCCCTCGTTTGCTTCGAGTTTCCGGCGTGCGTTTCAAACAGCCCGCTGCGCCGTGGCCCCGCCCCCGGTCGACGACACCGGGGATCGGCTGCCAGGGCCTTGCCGCCTTCGCCGAGAGGGCGCTCGCCCGCGTCCATCCGCTCCGAGCAGAGCGGCACAGGCCGAAGGAGGCGATCGCCGAGCCACACTCCTCCTCGATGAGCGGCTTCCCCGGCACCCTCTACGGAAGCAGCGGGCGAGGAAGGTGAGGCAGGCGGCTGCTGGCAGTCCAGCCTCCGCGCCTGGCGTGGTTTTTCCGCATGCCTGGAGAAAGGGAGGAGAGGAAGGGCTAGGAGAGCTTTCCCCCAACCCGCACGGCGTGCACGAGCGACCCGCGTGGCCGCAGAGCTGCCCGCGGCTCTCGCATGGAAAGACGGACCCTCTTGAACTGCCCAGTTACATAGCCAGAATCACCCCACAGCCTCCCCGACGCTGATCGCATATGGCTTTCGGGGCCAATCCTATCCGTGCTTAGCCAAGGGAAAAAACCCTACAATCCCAGCATTCCGTAGAAGGCTGGCTGGGGGATTCTGGGAGTTGTACCTTTAAAAAAAGTCTGTCCCGGCAAGTTCAGGATTGTATCCTAAGGTTGTGCTGGAGGGATGCGCTAAGGGTGATTTAAATATATATATATATAGTGCATTAATTCTTTATTATATGATTTGTGTATTTGCATTTTTTAAAATAAAAGTTATTGAAAAGATTGTATCCTAAGTGTTTTCAAGAGCCAAAGCAGAGGCAAATAACAGAAACTACCCCAATTTGGGTAGTACACCAATAATTTCACCTGGATCCAGCTAAAAACTCTAAGCTCGCTCGCACTCTCTCTCTCACTGGGGGATGCTGGGAATTGTAGGACTTTTTTCTGTCTAAACGTGCCTGGGATTGCACCCTTGAGGTTAAAGTTTAGGCTGCAGCCCACCTGTATGCTATTTGTACCAGTCATTTCCCTTCATTGACAGGGCAGAATCTTAAGCAAGTAGGACTTTTCTCTTCCTAAACATTTCCCAGCATACGCTCCCTGAAGAGTTACAGGATTGCATCCGTATACAGGATGTCCCAAAAAAATTGACATCATTTCGAAGTCTAATAACATAGCCAAATCTTGCTCAAATGATCTCAAATTTTAACAAAATGTGTAAAAACTAACTAATGTTAGTTACACAGTGTTGCAGAAGACATGCTACAGTGTGTTTGGCAGGAGGTGGACTACCGACTTGACCCGTGTCCTGTCACAGGCAGTGCGCATATTGAAAATTTGTGAAGCTTTGTGAAATGGGTTTCAAAATTTACATCCCTTTGAATCTCTTGTTCGAATTTTGATAAATAAATCTTTTATTGTTCAACATGAAGCCTATTTAATTTTGTTCGCTTAGGACATGTAGTTACTCAGATAATCACATTTCAAATGATGTCAAATTTTTTGGGACACCCTGTATTATCATTGATGATGATAACAGTTTAGGCTTTACTCCACTTGAATGAGGGTCATTCAGCAATAACTTTTACACTTTTTTATTATTTTTCTGTTCATTACAAATTGTTTCTGACTTATGACAACCTAGTGAATGAATGCTCTCAAAAATGCCCTGCTCACCTTCTAATAAACATATTATTACTCCTTTTTAATTATTATATTTATATGCTGACTTTTTCCAGCAAAGAACCCAAGGGGGCTTACATGTTTAACTATTATTTTAATAGGTTAATTTAATATATTAATAATATTTTATGCTGCTGCCAACGGAACATGATTTTAAAGGAGTTATATTTATAAATTTTAATAGTTTATGTTTTATTCTTGGGTTTTATCTATTTTATTTAGTATTTATCAATTCTATTTTGCCTATTTTGGTTTTATCTAACTTCGTTAATCTATTCACAGATTTTATTATTCATCTTTATCGTGAATCTCATACTGTCCTTCTATTGTTCTATGTTGTTAAACATGTAAGCCTGTGGTTCATGGGACAGCATATAAATTGAATAAATAATAACCCTTCTCCTCCTCTCCATTTTATCCCCAGAACAACCCTGTGAGGAAGGTTATTACAAACTCATTTTCATCAAGAGTGGCCACCAATGCCCAGCAGAACAGAGAAAATACCTCCCCCAAATAAGGGAAAGACATTTGCATATGCTACTTTATATGTGCAGAGGCAAATGTAGACATAATTACTATCATTTAAATAGCAATATAGTATATTTGCCATGGAGGGGAAGTCTTTGACCAGATGGCCTATGCGCTTTGCTCCATATGCAGGGGCTCACATCCCTCAGATTTCTTTTTCTTTAAAGCATGCTTGAGCTGGGTAGCTCTTCTAACAGAGCGTAACTTCAAAAAGGCTGCCTTTGGAAAGTAGGACCTATGGGATGGCAAATAGAAGAGGGGCCTTTTCAGTGGCTGCCCCCCATTTTATTTATTTATTTATTAAAACATTTTTATGCCGCCCCATTCGCTGAAGCCTCGGGGCGGCTTACAACATTAAGTTAAAAAATAATTATAACATTAAATTAAAAATACAAACATCAGTTAAAATGCAAAAAATAACAGTATAAAATAAGTCGCCCTGGCCAGATAAAATCCAATAATATTAACAATTAAAATGCCGCTTAAATAAAAAGCTCTTCGCCTGGCGCCGAAAAACAGATAACGACGGCACCAGGCGGACCTCTCTGGGGAGCGCATTCCATAACTTAGATGCCACCGCATTTATGGAATGGCCTTCCAAAAGTAGCTCACCTGCTGCCATCTTTACAGTCCTTTCAGCGCCAGGCAAATCAGTCCTCTTCAGACATTTTAACAATTGATTTTATATTATGATGTTATTTATACTGCATTTAGTCTTTATGTATTTTAACTTACTGATATCTGACCCTTCAGCTGCATATGCTCTCTTATTGTATGTTATTTAATATGTTTTAAAATTTGGTATTATTTTATGTAAAATTGTTGTAATCTGCTTGGAGAGTCTTTAGACTAGTTATAGCGGAATATAAGTTGAAAAAATAAATAACAAATTAATACATAAATAAACCTTCATGTTTGTTATTTATTATTTATTCATATGTGTATCTACAGGCTGCTTATAACTGCCGAGGCCTTCCTAGACAGTTTACAATACATAAAATATATTAACAAATGTTAGCCAGTGTGGTGTGGTGGTTCAGAGCATGGGACTGGGACTCAGGCGATCTGGGCTCTAGTCCCCGCTCAGCCATGGAGCCAACTGGGTGACTTTGGGCCCGTCACAGACTCTCAGCCCAACCTACCTCACAGGGTTGTTGTGGGGATAAGTTGGAGGAGGAGAATGATGTAAGCTGCCTTGAGCCCTTTGTAGGAAAAAGGCAGGATATAAAACAATCAATCAATAAAATCTTACTCATATACTCTGTTCTGCTACCAAATAATGCTTCCACGTCCAATTACTGCACGATACCTGTAGCTTTGGAGAAGCATGGCAGCTCATTTGGTAAGAGAACAATTCAAAAGCTGTCAGGTTGACCTTTAAAAGCAAAGAGGGCATTTGCTTGTTCTTCTGAAGGTGCAGTGAAGAGGGGCAGAGAGTGCGAATCAGTGAGACTATGCATTGGTTGGAGCCCTGAACAGAAGCATGATCTAACACAACATTGTGTTGCAAGTCCCGCCTGCTTTCCTAATGGTTTGTTTGTTTTGACAGATAACATTCATCTTAGACAGTATTCACAAGGCAAATGGCGACAGAAACTCGAGCAATTAAAAATAAAAGGCCCCGTGAAGATAACAAAAAGGTTGAGGAGCCTCAGAAGATTAAAAAGAAAAGGAAAGTTGCTGAGAATGATGTTTGCCAACACCAGAAAAAAGCAAAAATATTGAGTAAAGTAAGTGTTTCTTTGCATATTATTGATGATGCTCTACTATTGGTTTTGGATTTCAGCTGTTGAGCCACATGGTCTCAAGGTCTTCAAAAGGGGATGTTACAAGAAATATGTTGACTGTGCACACCCTGTTTTTCCAAGTTTTGCACATAAAGAGCACACATGACCTTTTTAGTGACGGCACCATGGCTGTGGTGGCTCTTTGCACAGAAGCTTCCCTGGCACTTACTAGATAGACCTTTTGAGTTTAGAATGGACTAACTTTAACGTACAAGCCTATGCAGGTTTCGACTGAAAAAGGTCCTCCAGCTCCCAGCATTTCCCAGCTTGGCTAGGACTTGAGGACTTTGTTCTGTCTGAATAAGCACTGGACTGCACCCTTAGTAATTCTAAAGTGGGTTCGATTTGTGTGTGTTTAGAGCCAGTGCAGTGTAGTGGTCAGAACGTTGGATTGGGATTTGGCAGATCTGGGTTAAGTCCCCACTTGACCACGAAGCTCATTGGGTGACCTTGGGCCAATCACTGACTCTCAGCCTAACCTACCTCACAGGATTGTTGGCAGGATAAAATAGAAAAGAACATTATGTAGGCTATTTTGGGAATCCAGCCCAAAAAAGGAAGCATGTAAGTTTAAAAAATAGGGGAATTTGCTCCAGCCCCTTGATTTTTAGTTGCACTTTCTGGCCCTTTTTCTAGTTCTACAATATCCTTTTTGAAGTGTGGCAATTGAGCCTGTATTTATTGTTCCGTTTATCTGGTCCTCTTACCTGCATGCAGCATTGTTATCTGAATTCTGCAATTAGAAAATAGGCTTCTTGCCTTTACAGTATCAAAGGCAAGGCTGAAAGCACATTGTCAGTGAAAGTTTCAAAAGGTCAAAATGCAGTAGCTAGGAAAGTTAGAGGAGAGCTGGCGAGCTTTACCATCATTTCTGATCCTATACTGTGGTTTTTGCAGGGTCTAGCTTTGTTTCTTCGCAATTAGGATAGCTAATTCCAGACTGTTTTCCCCTGCAAACAAACTGTTCAACTGGAGGCATTTGGCATTTGCTATGTTTATGTAAATAACTCCAACTCATGTTAAGTTATGCATAACTAAACTAGCGGACGTCAGCTGTGTCTCTCTAGCTCCTGAAATATTTTTTTGCCGTGCCCTTTTGTAAGAAATAAGTTTTCCCCTTCTGGATTTCATTACTGTAATGGTGGCTCAGATCCTTAAATGTTCTGTGTGTTTGTGTAAACAATCCAGAGCCTGTTCTTTTCATTCCTCAGGAGAAGAAACCCCATTTATCCACTGCGGTCTTTGGGAAAGATTGTAAAATCAGTTATGACCAGCTGTACCAATTCCTCAAATATTCCACTCTAGGAAAACACCACTGTGCATCTCAGTCCAGGTACAGCCGCGCTCTGTGTTGTGCAAGGTACCCCTGGCTCTAGGTAGTACTCAGCTGTGTGATTCCACCACTGGAAATGGCCCCCTGCTAACAGAGACTGCACAGCAGTGGAGAATCTGACTGAAGCAACACTGGCACAAGCACAGTTACACAACTACTTGCACAAGCGATTGAGCAATGGGGAGAGCCAGAGACACTCCTCTGTTGTATCCTGCCTCGTGTGTTCAGCAGAAGTGAGCTTAGTCCAAGGCATTTGCGCAATACTGTTCTCCGGTTCTCGGATGAGCGGCAACCTTTGCAGGTTTTGCACAGGGGATCTCCCAAGCTTGATCCCAAACAGCTTTTGGGAGTTGCCTCTATTTCAAAAATGGATTGCCGTGTGGCAGGGCAACATGCTGTTTTAAGGAGTATGTGCATATAGTCAGGGCTGGGGGCTGGTGGAGACATAATAAAAGAGCACTCTTTGCACCCATTAGGCAAAAATCAGGAATAGCCCATGAGGTTCTGCAGTGTTTCTGGGCAGGCCTTCCCTCTCTAAAGCAGACGTCCTCCTCCCACCTTATCCACGGCTGGCGACAGGACGAAAATGCAGTGACCGAGTGCACATCTTGCCTATGGAAGGTCCAGCTTGTTGCTTGGCATTTCCACTTTTTAAAAAGGTTCGCGCTGCAGGTGAGAGGACAGTCTTCTGCCAGGGATCCTCCTGAACCTCTTGCAGGCCAAGGGCATCATTCTGTTTCGGAGAAGCTCTTGAGTGGTACTGTCAGTTGTGAGCAGGCGAAATCGAATAGGGCCAAACTGTCAGACCATTAACTAATCTCAGAAAAGGCATTTCAGCCTTTTGAAACTGGTAGACCTCCAAATGTTTGGCAGTTGAGAAAAGGAGGGGGGCACAGAGAATACTATGGCCATCAAGAAAGCCCAGAGGGCCAAACTAGGATCCCAGGCAGGCTGGATGGCCACATTTGGCCCATGGGCCTGTGCTTTTGCACCCGAGACCACGAAACCATGCTGGGCTCGAAGGGCAAATTGTCCCTCCTTGTCTAAACCAGCTTTCTGTGTCATTCTGTTACATCATTAGCAATATTAACCAGGGATTCCCACTTAACCAGGCTCGGAAACGGGGGTCCTGTCCTTCAGATGCCATGGCTGCCTGCAGTGCTTTCTTGCCACCCGTGCAGATAAGAGCAGCATGTTCACCCGCAGACTCTAGAAGGCGGCTAATAGCTTTTATCCCTCATTGTGGTGCAGCTGGTGCCACATTCATCACCAAAGGTGCCTGGCTGGAGTGGCAGTGGCGGTCCTGCGCGACGTGGGCCAGCTTCATTTCTACCGGTTCTACATGCAGTTCAGGTATCTCCGGAAGACCTTCAGGCAGGTAAGCCCCCTGCAGTGATCGAAGCTGACGAAGTGGGAGAGCACCTGCTTGTGGGTTGCGGCTCCCAGGTTGAATCCCTGGCACCTCCAGCATAAATGTACCAGGTGACAGGGAGAGTCCTCGCTACCAGAGGCCCAGGTGAGTCTCTGCCACTCGATGTAGACGACCGTGGGATAAATCAGGATAGGGAGCATTTGCCCCTCCAGGTGTTGGGAGGCTGGTAGCGAATGGCCAGTCAGGAGGGCGGATGGGAGCTGTGTGCAGGTTCCACACCTAAGCGGCATTGACATGTAACCGCAAGCCACCTTCCTGCCTTAATCAAGCTTGCTGTTCACTCAAGTGGATAAACAGCCCACAGAAGGGGAAAGCTTTATGTGGCACTTGAACCTGGATTATGATTAAGCATACCCAAACAAGCAAGGATTTTAAAGCCTGCCACAAATACAGGTTTAAAGCTGGCTTGTAATCATGGTTTCTCTGGATGCACTTAAGTATAATTCTTGCTTTGACTGTCATATGAATCTCTCTCCTTCCATGTTGGTTGACACAATTGCTGAAGAGGAGAACAGAGCTGGGGCAAAGAGGCTGTATGTACTAGCATGGAGCAAGTTCCCATTGTGATTTATTAAACTAGGATTACTAGTTTGTTATGAGAGCCAGAGTATTGACTAGAGCATTAGACCAAAAACCTCAGCAGACAGGTTTCTAGGCCCTGTGCAACCATAAAGCTTACAGGATGATTTTGGGCCAGTCCTTATTTTTCACCCAAGCCTACCTCACTGGGTTGTTGTGAGGATAAAATGGAGGAGGAGGAGGAGGAGATCCCATATGCCAGCTTGGGTGCCTTGGAGGAAAAGAACAGGGCATAAATGTTATAAATGTACCAGGTGGTACAACATGCTTGATGGATTTGTGTATAAAGCCACTCAAACCTGGTATGTTATTGCTTCAAGAAGGGCGACTCCACATTCATGACCCACCAGAGCAAATGCAGTCAGGCAGCACGGCCTGCCCGTCCTGCTCCGATCCTCCCGCTCTCTTCCCCTTTTGCCTCCTCTGTGTCCGTCAGCAAATCGTCAGCGCACAGCGTCCATCTTCTAGCTGGTACATCCCAAGCTTAGCAGGACGAATTTATCCGTTCTTCCTGGGTCTGGGCCCTGCTGTAGCTTTCCATTTGTGGAGTGTCCGTTCTGACGCAAGCGGCACATTCCCGCTCGTCTGCGCAGACTAAAGGCGACTCCAGAACTCCCGCTATTTGTTTTCGTCCTCCTTTTCAGCCTTCCCTCAACAGGATGCTTTGAATTGGTCAATATTGCCAGGGGCGGGATGGCTTTCCAGTGGCAAGGAAACACATGTCTCCAATTTAGAGCGAGTTCAGGACTTTCCAGGAACAAGCGGCCCACAGTTCTTGCCAACAAGATGCAAGAATGAGCAGCTTCTGGCTCCTGCCTGGAAGTCGAGGTCATTAACACGATAACAGAGTAGACACAAAGGGGACCTGTGTTACTCACCAGCATTTCCCTGAAAGGCTTTATCTGCCCCTCCACACCTTCCCCCTTTAGAAGTAACAAAGGCTCCAGGGAAAACCGTTTTGGAAAAGGGCTTCTTTTTCCTGTTCTCTCCTTCCCTCCCTCTCTCACACGCACACACACTCACACATGGCTGGGTGACTTTAATGCATTGTTTGTGGGACCTCTGATAACTTTAGATGGGGAGAATCTGAAGTGTAAAAAAGACAGAAATTGGGACTGTCCAAATGGCGGTGGTGAGGGAATATTTTTGCTGAAATCATTTGTTAGGGTAATTCATCAGTGAATTAAAAGTTCTTAATTATAAGGATGTTTGTTTGAAAGGGAATTTCCCATGATTTTTCAACCTTAAACTTTGTCGTGGCACTGTTATTATCACCATTCTTATTCTCACATTAGGTTTATGTCCCACCTTCCTCCTCCTTGTAAGGAACCCAAAGCGGCTTACAAGGTTCTCTCTGTTTTGTCCTCCCAACCACCCTGTGAGGTAGGTTAGGCTGAGAGGCCCTGACTGGCCCCAAAATCACTGAGGGATTTTTATTGGTGAGTAGAGACAAGAGCCTGGGATTCCAGAGTCTGAGTCTAGCACACTAACCACTAGACTGTGCTGTCTAGCTGTTCAGCTTATTTATTTATTTCATTTATCTACCACATACCCTCTGTGGCATCAGCTTTCATTCAGGTTTTATTTGAAGGCTGCGTCATCCTTATTGTCTTCAGACATGTGGAAGGGGAGTGTTTTTAAGCACCCTTTCGAAGAAGGGGCAGCCATTTTAAAACAAGACAACAGGTTCCATCTGCCGCACCATTTGCCCAAGGATATGGGATACCTAAGACAGGTGTCAGAAAGGGATAATGTTGGTTTATTTTTTGCACATGCCTTTGAAGGCAGCTTATATTACTGCTGTTTACTTGTGTCTGGTTATCCTGGACTCCCAGCTCTAGGAAATGGTGAAATTAATGTCTGTCTGTTTAAATATTTCTGCCCAACATGGCTTCCAGTGAGATTGCAGTCAGGTAATCTAGCACTTTGACATGACAAAGTATCACCAGTCAGAGGAGAAAATCGTAGGCTAGAAAAGGGGTGCAGAACTTTACACTTGGGGGCCAACTCCAATTTATTTTATTTATCTAGAATATTTGTATGCCGTCCTTTTGCAGAGCCTCAGGACGGCTTACATAAATGAACCTGAAGTCTGAGTCTGGCACTCCCTTTCCACCAGCACTGATCGTTTGGCTGTTTCCCACCAACTGTACATCATTTTCCCCATTATAAAAGCCCAACCCTAACCCTAAGGCTTTGTTAAGAACAGTACAATCTTTACACTAAAATACGCTGGAATTTGTGGCCTTCAGCCCTGCTCTCCTTGAAATGTGGCCTCCAAGTTTTTCTTGGAGCCCATGGGCTGATGAAGGTTCAGCACCCCTGGTTTATATGGACAAATCCTCTGGCTTGGTATAAAGCAGCCTCTTAGTTGCGCAAAACAAAGTTAAAATAAAGGAGCAACATGAGAACTAGGCAAGGATGTTGCTTTCTGATGAAATCATGGGATGCTGAACTCTTGGGCGTCCCTGGTGTACAGTCCTAGGGAGAATGGAACTTTCTCTCCAGACATTTCGCCAGACGTTTGTCGTGTTGCTTCACTTGTAGACATCAGTGGAAACTGCACAAGATCAACCCTTATGCATTAAGCGTGTTTTTTTAAATGGCCATCTGTGTATATTTTCACAGCGCTTCTCCCTACCGCCTGTCTCAGGTGATTTCATGGAAAAACTTTGTGGAGCAGGGGCAAAGATTCGCCAACGGGTCGACAAGCAAGGTATTAAGACATTTGATGTGCATTCTCAAGAAAGCTTTATGTGGGCCTGAGCCTTGGTCGCTGCCAGTTCTTAGCTGTCTGCCACGTCCTGTCCTCATTCACTAGGCTACCTTCAGCCAAACTCAAGAGAAAGCAGGGGTGCAAGAAGGGGGGCCCATGGGATGCAGATGACTGCCCAGTCGCTGACAGATGGATCCCGCGGGGGGGGGGGGGGGGGAAGCAAGTTACTCTAGGAATGGGCTCTGTATCTAGCTCCCTCTGCTCTTCCTCTTCTGTTCGGAAAAAGTTAGGCTCAGCTTTTTGGCACAAAGACTACAATTAATTTTACCTTAAAATAGACACACACAACTTCATTAAAGGTGCAGTCCTCAACAGACCAACTTGGATTTGAATCTGATTGAGATCGGTGTGTCTTCTGAATTACTCCTCCAGTATAAAGAAGCAATAGAGATGGAATATAGAATATTTCTACTGGGATGGAAATACTGCTGCAAAATATAGTCCCACTGGTTGATGAGTGGGGGATTAAAAGGTGGAAGAACTGCTATCCTGAGAGAGGTTGTAAGGAGCAAGAGCCTTTCACCCCCTCCCCTCCCCCCTTTCCTTTCCTTTCCTTTCCTTTCCTTTCCTTTCCTTTCCTTTCCCTTTACAACCCTCCTTCTGCTCCCCCAGTTGTCATGGGAGAAAATTTATGTATACCAGTTCCAAGGCTGGTATACCATTTTCCCCAATTCCTGGGGTGTTGCTGGGGAATGGGAAGGTTCAAACCTTCCCCCAGACAGACCCCCAGAAAACCCCTTCTTTACCTCTACTAATCTCAGTGAGCTCCTGGGGCCTCAGGAGTACAAGTTATCATTCTAAGTTTCCCACAATTCCCTGGAGTGCCAGATATAATGTTGCTCTGGGCGTCATGGGAAATTTAAAATGGTAGCTCACAGCCTGCTGAGCTGAAGAACTCCAAATGAGCTTCCGAGGAACTAGGACACTCTCTGAAATACATTTGAAAACCTCTTTTAAAGACTTCTATGCCTCTCTCTCCTGCATGAGTTACTGCTGATCTGTGCAGCACAAGAACTTCTGCCACTAAAAGCAGGGTCTTAACAGCTCTGGCCCCACTGAGAACAGTCCTCCTTTTCTCCAGGAATTGTTCCTTTTTACATGCTCTTCAGGAGAACTTTTTTTAAGCCAGTCCTTCAGGATTCCTCAGCAATTCCACGAGCCCCAACTTGCACAACCAATGATCAGGAATGCTGAGGGCACCAAGCTGGAGAAGGCCACTCATGGATGATGACTCTTAAGACATTTTCCACTTAGTTAATATTAGGTGTGGTATGTTCATGGCTTAATGGATTTTTATACTGTACAATTGTCCTTTTTCCATCACCTGATTATCCATTCTTGTAAGGCAGGAGTAAGCAACCTCCTTCGGACTACCACTCCCAGGATGACCATCAGTGATGGGAGTGGTAGTCCAAAACCCTCGGAGGACACCAAATTGTCCAGCCTTGCTAGAAGGCATGCTGAAGAGAAGCTGGGGAAAATCCTAGTATAGATGTTTTAAAATGCATATGTTACGGATTTCAGCACGAGCAAAAGAACCCATTATTCAGAAATACGGAGAAAAACGTCATGGGCTCACCAGTTACCTTCTAACCCCAAAGGAAATGTGTCTCCATGATTATCCTCAAGCAGGTAAGCTCCTCTTGTTTGGATGTTGCCAGGGAATCCACATGGGCTGTTAATGCAATTAATCTGAAATTCCAGTGTTCTGAAAAGGGAGAGTCCCTAGTTCAGTGGCAGACTATATGCAAGGGGTAAGACTCTGTAAGAATCCTCCCATGAGCCTGCTTTACCAGCAAAACAGGCTAAGAGGAAGGATCAAATCAGCCATCACACCAAATTTGCTTTGAGCTAACTAGGGACTGCAGGTGGCGCAGTGGTTTAAACCACTGTGCTGCTGGGCTGGTAGATCAAAAGGTCGCCGGTTCGAACCTGCACAACGGGGTGAGTTCCCGTTGCTCCGTCCCAGCTCCTGCTGACCTAGCAGTTCGAAAGCATGCAAACGCAAGTAGATAACAAGTAGATAAAAAGGTACCTCTTCGGTGGGCAGGTAACAGCGTTCTGTGCACTGCGGTGTTTAGTCATGCCGGCCACATGACCACGGAGACCGTCTGTGGACAAACGCTGGCTCCCTCGGCTAGGAAATGGAGATGAGCACCGGAGATGAGCACCGCCCCCGAGAGCCAGGCATGACTGGACTTAATGTCAAGGGGAAACCTTTACCTTTTTAACTATAGTTTATCCTCCAAACAACAGCTCAAAGGCACTTTTTTGGCCTCCTTGAGTGCCACAGTGGAAGAAAGGTGGGATAAATAGAATTCAATGATTTAACACATGAGCTGGGCTGTGCAGTTGATTTTCCCACATCCAGCTAGCACTGAATCATCCGTAACTCACGCAGGCTCCTGAGCCATCTTGTTTCTTCCTTCTCCAGATGATGACAGCTGCAGCCATTTTGTTCACACTGGTTGCAACAGCCCAGCAACAGACAGCAGCCCGCTTTTTGGACTAGACTGCGAAATGGTATGTTGCGTGAAATTCCCTGATGGGTAGAAGAAAGGAGGGATTTGTTTTCCTGCCCTGCCATGGCTAATAGAATTGATTGGCGGAAACCCTTCAGGAGGCGATCTCGTGAGGGTCAGTTTATGGCGTAGCATTACATGCATGGTTCGTCCAGAGAAGAAGGCCGCAGCAGACTGGCTGGGTGTGTGTTTCACACGCAAACGCTCCAGGTTCCATCCTGGGCATCTCCAGGCAGAGCTGGGAAGAACTGCTGCCTGGAACCCTGGGGAGTCGTCATTGGTCAGAGTAGACAATTTAGTACCAGATGGATGGTGGTCTCCCTTGGCATAAGGTGACAGTCAGTGTCGATTACACAAAGTTAATGGTGGAAATTAACCTTTTTTTGTAGGAAGGCCAAAATTTCAACCACTAAGTATAAAGAAAGAGCAGGCAAGCTTTTTTCTGTTACAGGCGTATTTCCTTACTGGCGGTCTGTCAGAGCTGCATATCGGTAGTAAGCAGGTCCAGAGCTAAAATCCAGTGGGTCAACCCTTTTCTCTTTCTCCCACACTCTTTTGTCTCATTTTCCACCTTTGCCATCTCTGCCCAGCCCCCTTTTCCTTCTCATTCCCTCCCATTCAGCCAACTAAAAGGAGAGGGCTAGAGCCTGCTTTTGCCAGAAGTCTAAAGTCTGAAGAGACCACATGCAGAAGACTTTTCAAACAAGGTCCAGGGCTGCATGAAGTTAAGCTGAGGGCCACATGCGGCCCTCAGGACTGCTGGTTGTACACCCCTAGAACAAAGATGCGCTTCCCATTTTTTCCTCCTCAGGTGCATTCAGGACACCGGCCTTCCCAGCCCTGGTGTCTTCCAGGAGTTTTGGGCTTTAACTCCCATGCTAGCAGGGAAGGTTGGGAGTCATAAACACATCTAGGACATAGCAGATCAAAGAAGTCTAGAGTAGCAGTTGTCCAAGCATGACGATTGACTTGTATGGGATTTCAGTTGTATCATTGGAATCAAGAGGCAAAGAAACGCTGTGAGGCCTTTCCTAACATCGTCCATCGTTTTTAACCAGTGTCTCACCAGCAAGGGATCCGAACTCACGCGAATTTCAGTGGTGGATGCCAGTGGCCGGTGCATTATGAATGAGCTGGTCAAGCCAAAATTGCCAATCAGCGACTACCTCACCAGGTAACCTGTTTATGCTCTTATTCCTTGAAAAAAAAATGACAAAACCACACAGACATGCTCCAGGATGCTGAAGGATTGCAAGCACATGGAGAGAGAGAAGGTAGCCATACATCGTTTGATGTGCACCAAGACACACGTCACAGTGGAAACGTACGAGTCCATCTTTTCTTGCTTTGAAATCTTTATGATAGAAGCTGCCAGGGGACCCAAATGGATTGGGAGCACAGCAGGGGGGGAGCAAGGATTCACTTGCCCATGGTGGGGGGCGAGGTTTCTAAAATCCCATCCACCAAACCACACTTTTCCCCAGAAGCAAAAGTGCACATGCTTTCCAGGCTGTCCGAAGCGATACAGACCTTTCTCCCACTTCAGCAGTGTGCATCGTCCTTGATTTCATGTGTCGTCCGAATCGTTTGCCAATGACTTTGCTTTGCTCAAAAGCAAAAAGACATCTGGAGCCTCTGTAGAAGAGCGTACAAAAACCAGCCAGGTTGCATCCTTCCCCAGGGGTTCCCATCACAGCCTTACCTTTGCTTGAAAAGCCTCCGTTCCTTCCAAGCCCTAAATTTCCTCATTTGTGTCTTGAAGTTACTCTGGCATTACCAAGGAGCTGCTGCTGCCAGTCACGACCACCCTCGCTGACATCCAGGGCCGCCTGAAGAGGCTTCTCCCCGCCGACGCAGTTTTAGTGGGGCACTCCTTAAATTTTGACCTCCGGGCTCTAGAAGTGAGTATATCCACACAGACGGAGTGGCAGAAGATGCCCTCCTTTACTTTCGCGGTGCATCACCAGTAGCACAAAGGCAAGGAGAGGTTTTTTGCCCAGGGTTGTTTGACTTCCTTTCCCACCTCCTTTCCCATCCCCTGCACCCCCCGACTTCCTTTCCCACCCCCTGCGTGCAGAACCCTGCGCCTGCGCTCTGACTGGGGGAAATGGCTGCGATCCATTCCTGAGTTGCTGATCATAAAAAGGGAGCCAGTGGTGCAAATTCGGCCTGCAGACTTGTCCTTGACTTTAAAGGACAAGTCGCTGCTCCATATGAATGCCACCCTCCTAGAGAGCAACCTTTTCACATCCATTTTCTCCCCATTTATTCCAGATGGTTCATCCAAGAGTTATAGACACGTCGCTTCTGTTTGCCAGGAAGGATGGCAAGCGGTTCAAGCTCAAATTCTTAGCCGAAGCTGTTTTAGGGTAAGAGTCTCCTGCCGTGCCATTCTTTGCAAGCCAAGCCATATCCCCCTAGGCCTTTTTAAGAAGGAAAAGTCTGACTTACTGTGCAGCAGAAAGGAGGGAAAAGATGATAATGGTGCAGTCCTGCACCCACTTGGCAGGAAGTAACTGCCGTTGAAATCCGCAGGGCTTGCTTCTGCATTAGACATGCGTAAGATTGCGCGCGAAGTTTGTCCAGCCCCATAAGGCATGTGAGTCCTCAAGGCAAGGAGTATCTGCATGGAACCTTGATGTGTTCTGCTTTCCTCCTGCAGGAAAAAAATTCAGCAAGAAGACGGACAGGGGCATGATCCTACAGAAGATGCTCGGTGTGCCCTTGAATTGGCCCAGTATTTTATTGGGCAGGGACCCAAGAAGGTATGTGACTTAGTTTCTTTCATGCATTCCTTTTAAACATGAAAACAGAAAAATAAAGATCTTTGCAAAATAACTGTATTACCAATGGAGGCATGATGACAGATAGACGGGGAGGGGGGACCCCAACCCAGGGAACAAAACAAAAACAACATAAACGTTCATACACAAGTAATAGTTTTGTGGCACTTACCAATTTCCTATGGCATAAACTCCCTCAGATTAGAGATCTCCAGCTGTAACTACATACTTTGGAGGGGAGCGTATCTTGTGACATACATTAACTTTGCCCTAGGTAGCTGAGCTAAACCTGGAAATCAAATTGCTGGAGCAAAGGAACGCGCCGAAGCAAAAGAACAGGGTCCAGAAACATGTGCAAAATCCCACCCAATGGTAAATAGCCCTTCCTGCTTTCTCTTTTTTGGAAAACTGCAGCCTTTCCTGGACTTACGTGCACATTGAAGATTCCTTCAGTGCCTTTACTTCATACAGCCACACTGTGCAAACAAACTGCCCCTTTCAATTTGCAGGACGTCTTGCTCCTGCTTTAATCGGCTCACATCCACGTAAGGGACTGTGGTCTCCTCACAGCTGCTGACTCTTTTTGCAAAAGCAAACCTGAGCTTGAAGGCCAACCCAATAGCCATTTTCCCAGGTGGCTGTGTAGATCCTCATTCCTTGGTCCTTCCCCTTTTAATCTGGAATTGCCGTCTTTAATTCACTCTCTGTATACAAAGAATCCAGACTTCTTCATCAGCCTGTCTCATTTCCATGTTTCAGTGCTGTCCTCCCATCATGCCTTTGTAGCCCCAGAGCTCACTCGGAATCATTCTTTTTAATAAAACGGTCAAAAGCATGTATTTCCACAATTCTGCGGCCGCCTTTTCTGAGGCACTGTATTGCATCTGATGCCGCTTGAGAGCCCCTATGGTTTCGGCAAGAAACAGAGATCCCACAAGCCTCTGTTTACACTGCTATATAAATGTGAAGCATGTTTCTAAGGAAGTAGTTACTGCTAAATGTGGCATGGCGTTTGCTTGTGTTTTCACTGACTTAGCTTTCCGTTCTCTTTCTTAGCCTTCTTGACATCTTGCACTCCATGGGCCAGAAGACCCTGCTTCTCGGAGGACCACATGAAGCTCCTTCCTCCAACTGTCAGAATCATCTGGACCCTCTAAATAAGCACGTGAGTTGCAGCTGTTCTTCTGGTGTTTCCCATTTTCATTTTAAGATACTACCTCGGGCCTTCCCCGTGGAAACACACTGAGCTAAATCAGAGAGGTGGATCATAACACCGTCCCCAAATCATTGCCATCATGGGCAGTCAGCATCCTCAGAGGCCCGTATCCATTTGGGGAGCCCATTACTGATCCTCAGAGCCCCCTGGTCCTGTTAGCTTCTTCTCCTCTCCATTGCAAACTGTTAACCTGCAGGCTTTGGACTTCAGCTCCTGTCACCTTGGCCACTAGTGGCTGGGAGTTTATTTTACTTAATTTCATTCTATACTGCCCAGTAGCCAAAGCCCACAGCTAACTCTACCCTACAACCAACCCTACAAGCCCATCAGTAATAATATTTCCAGGGAGTAGCTATTCCCTAAAGCTGGCAGGCCTTCAGCTTGCCTGATGCTGAGCATCCGGAGATGTCGAGCCAGAACCAGGAGTTTGTTGACTTCCAAGTTACTGCTTTCAGGCAGCAATACCAAAAGATGGTGCTCGTTCTAGCAGTCCTGGGCTCTGCAAAGGCTCCGTCCACCCCAGCCACCAGTTGGTCCTTCCTAACCCAAAATGACTCTAAACGCTTCTGGGTCATTTGGGATCTGTTTCATGTGTCCAGTGAAAGCGTCTGCTGTCCCTCACTCATCGACGGCTGTCTCAAAGCTTGGATCTTGTTCCAGCTGACACTCGTTTTCTGGGTACACCCTGTTTGCAGTTCATCGAACATGGAAGGATGTTGTTCAATGTTGTCTCCTTCCTAGATCTTCCAGAGAGCCCTGGACAAGATCCCAAGGGCCTCTTTCAGCCTGATTCAATTTGATTTGGATTCGAAGCTTGTTACATCTGACCTCACTGCAGAAATGTGTTCAAAGGTAAGCAGGACTTCCCAATAGGCTACAATAAGGGTGGCAGAAAGTCGGCTGAGCTCTACCTGAGGTTCTCCGGCTGATTTGCTGTGGGTCTGTGTGCTATAGCAGCAACTACCAACAAAGCAAAAAAACCCCTCCTCTCTCCCTAAATCATGCTAGTAGGATGATGGGGTTTGGGTTCCCCTTCACTTCCTAGAGATGCCTCATGTTGTACTGATGCTGTAGGACCTTCAGTGACAGATGAAGAGCTTCTTTTAAAAATTCCCAGGTTTTTAAAGCGCTTTTTTCAAGTCATTTCATGACAATTTTAGGACCTTCTAAGATAACCAGCAGGTGTTGTTCTATTGTTGCTGGTTTTATCTATTTTGTTCATCCTGTTCTGGTGGATTTTAGCAGTCTTTTTATTTATGATCTTGTAAACTGCCCAGAGGATTACATGTAAGTGTTAAAATAAAGAAACAGGTTTTAAAATAAGGCCTGTAAAGAAAGGTTGAGGGAACTAAGCATTTTGTGTACCCTGGAAACACGAAGGCTTAAGGGAGACATAGAAACTTAGAAACAGAGCGAGTCAGAAGGGGTCTCCCGTGCCATCTAGTCTGATCCCCGGCTCCAGCCAGCTCCGCCCATGACATGCCCACCATGTGCATGTCTAACCAATCCTTGAACCTGAGTGTTCTTGAAAAACCCAAAGGGCAGTCACAGAACAGAAGGCAAAGACTTGCTCTCTGGCCAAGGCAGGCAACAAGACTTGATAGGTTTAAGTTACAAGTAGGCAGATCTTCCTGCCTGTTAGAAGAAACTTTTACAATAGCAGCAGTTCGACTGTAGGGGCAGCCCCTTGCGGAAGGGTCTCCACCGGGGAGGCTCTGCCTCGGGGTTTTCTGCATCAAGCAGCAGGGTAGACAAGCTGACCTAAAGCCCCTCCCAGTTCTATGGCAGAGGACGCTCCTTCAGCCAGAGAGCCAAATTCCATGTCAGAAGCGTTCGGTAAGTGGGGAGCAAAGCAGGTGGGCCCCAAAAGCACACGGACACGGTAGCACGATGCGCAGCTGCAGGAAATGGGGTGGGGCCAAGGGGCAGCAGGGCCATCTAGGGTGCTGACAAGCCAGACTGGTCCCCACCCTGAAGGTCCCCACCTGCCTTCCTGTGGGGAAGTCCAGGATAAATGCACAAAACTAGGGGAGATTCTGAAGCCGGCATTACTGAGGTGAGGGACCAGGTGTTCTTTAATTGCACCATCTCTCCCCCTGCCGCCATTGTTCAATCCCAACACTATCCCTTCTCTCCGTAGATGAGGGCCAAGCTGGTTGACCTGCTGACGGTCTACGCAGGCCCATTTGGCCAAGACGTTTGCCTGAAGTCGCTGAAGAGAACCTTTAAGAAATACGGCCATGTTCAGTCGATTAGGTTCATTACAGAAACCGCCGAGGTGAATAGCAGAGGAGAACCACCGCGCTGGCAAGGAACACAAGCTGCCTCTGGCCAGCTGTGCGGCCCCATGCTGCCGCCTTCCCTTAACCCAGGGGTGGGAGTCCCGCTTCAGCCTGAGAGCCAGATGGGAACATGGGAAAGGCCTCGGGGGCCACACGCCAAGTGTGGGTGAAGCCGAAGCCGGGGTGTGTGGGCTCAAACATGATGCGCACCATTTTAAGCCTGCTCAGATGACTCCACAGCACTTTCAGATAGCATGCTAAGTAACAACTCTCTGTGTGCCTACTTACAAGTAAGCAGGCCTTCTGTCTTCGAAATGCGCACCTCGGTTTTGTGCAGCAGCTCTCCTGTTTGTCGGCCTGAGATGGTTACATCCGAGCCGTGTTGCCATGTTTTTCTTCCCTAAAGCCTCACATCTGTACCCAGTATGAAGTTCTGGAGGCTGCCCAGCTTGCAATGGGGAGCCTGAACGGAACAGTAGTGGAAGGATCTTTGATCAAGGTAAGTTTGGCTGCTGTCCTGGGGTCCACGGCGTCGATGGAAAGAACCAAACCGCTGCAGCAGCATCTTCTGTCCTACCCGTTGGCCACACACCTCTTCAGCACTTCCTTTCTGAGGGACGCAACTACTGTCCAGCCCACATTCTGCAAAAGGCCTCTGCCAGATGTGGATGTAGGCACTCGCCTATGGTGCACGCAAATCACCCCCAGCCGATTAGGCAGAAAGGAGGCGGAAGCTAGCACCTCAAAGAGTGAGATGAACTGAGGTAGGTATGTGCAGGCAGGGAAAACGCTGAGTGGTGGGAGCAGCTTTTGGAGACACGGACTTGGCTCTTCTTCTTGCAGCCATTGGAATTCAGAAGCATCCTGGCTCCAAAACCGGAAATAATAGATGGCTGCTTTGACTCGTTGCCACTGAACTGTGGCCCCGGGCCAGCTTTTTTGGCACTTGGTGCGGTGCCTCTGAAATGCCCCATGGAGACTCGGAGCCCCGCTGTCCAGTCAGGCAGACGCCCTCTTGCCCTGCACAGCCCGCAGCCCAGGACGGAGGGTCTGGGGAACGTGGCCAGAAAGTCAGTGCCCGGTGGTTGTGTGTTTCTGCTTGCTGTCTTCAGGTTCAGAGACCAGTCACAGAGTTGACGCTGGATTGTGAGGGGCTGGTGAAAGAGCTTGAAAGCGATCCAGAAAATGAAGGAGTCGTTTATTTGGCAGGACTGCGGAAGATGGAGAAGGAGACAGATTTACAAGAGAAATTGAGTTATTTGACGGACTTGAGCTCTGTTTTTCAGCCAAGGGATCCCAGCACTGGAAAAAAGAGAAATTACTGTTTTCTGAGTAAGTACGGCATTGACCAGTGGGGCCGGCAACAAAATGTTGCAGCATGGGGTGGACCTGCTCAGAAATGCAGCCACTCCGGTCCATTCTGCGTCCAGTATTCTCTGGCCGGAGAGCACACCCGGTCCTCTGCGGGTTCCTTTGGAGGTCATACCGTGCTTGCCTCGTGGCTTTTCCTTGTCCTGCAAGCCTTGGATTTTCTCCAGCCTGCCGATTCCTCCATCTGGGCGTGTAGGGTGCTTTTCTGGCTCTCATCGCCTAAACATAAGAGAAAATGGTAACAATCAGAGGGATTGGATTGCAGAAGCATTCCATCCCAGCATCTTCTTGATGGAAAAGTCAGAATAATTTTTAAATCAACAGAAACATGGGAATATAGAGACCCCCTTTTTCAAATGTGACACTATATTCATTACCTGCCTTTTTCCTGTTGCCAGGTGGCTTACCTGCTGTACCTCTTCTGCATTTTATCCTCACAGCGACCCTATGAGGCATGTTAGCCTGAGAGTCGGTGATTGGCCGAGAGATGCCCAGAGTTCCCATGGCTGAGTTGGGGAGCTGAACCCAGGTCCCTGCAGCTCTAACCACTCCCCCCTTCTGCCTCTGGGTTTGAGCATCATATTTCTGACAGAAGGAATCCTGCTGACCTCCCTCTGGTTTAGCTTCCTTGTACGGGGAGGATTTCTTTCCACGAATTCTCTTGACCTCCTGCCTCGCTTGGGGTGCCTCCAAATCTGGAGGATTACAAGCTTCTTACTGAGGGTGGGAGGTGAGGATGGTGCTGGCCGTTTTGGCTGTCTTAAGTGCTTTGTGCTGGTTACAAGGAAGAGGGGCTGGGGCAGTGCCAGGATGCCACGTACCCCAGTGGACCCCTGGTTCTCACCTCTCCAGCCCCTGCAGCAGCCCTCCAACACTGACTTAGAGGTCGGTCTTCAACCTTGGAGCCGCACCAGGAAAGAGCTGTGCTGGCGGTGGGGGTGGGGGCAAGGTGCTCCCATGCCCGATGCTTTCCAGGTCAGAGCTGGAAGGCCCACCTTTCCTGTGTCCACTTGGACATTGTCTCGCAGCCATAGGATTGCGTTGGAAAGCACAATTTTCAGTGTTCATGGACCCTTGCTGTGGAATGATTATTTTAAGGCTGCGGTGTTCAGTTGATCAGCATCCTTCTTTGGCGTTGCTTCAAAGCAAAGCCACCATCAGTTGTAAACCTTGCCCCAGATAAATCACGCAGCAGGTCTGATTATTACTAAAGTTTAACGCAAGCACATATAAAACTGCAGAGGGTAAGTGCGATCTCAGAACGCGCCATTCTTTTCTCCGCAAGGAGTGCATGCCTCTTTGAAGGATTCCTGTTTGATGACGCATGAGTGCAGCATCTAGCGAGTTGGATCCAGATGTCAGAATACCTGAAATGAACGGGATGAGCAACTCAGGCCCATTGAAATGAACGGGATGAGCAACTCAGACCTCATTGACGTCAGTGAGACTGTTCAAACCGTGACTTAATCTGGATCTTCTCAGAATATGCAGCAAAAGCAAGCACCCATTGTTTGTTCCGGCCAAAGGAAAGCCCATCTTTTCACCTAGGATGTGCTTGCATTTCTCATTTAGAGTTCCCAACAGCTCGAAGTGCCACCAGCGCCCTTAAGACCATAGAGGAGCAGGCAGCCAGAGGCAGCAGATTGCGGGGCCGGAGGGCCCTGACGCCCACAGGGCTGCAGCAGTGGATCTCTCGCGGAACCCAAAACGACAGCAAGCTTGCGGCACCACGCCCACACCCTGACTTCTCCGTCAAGCAGTGCTCTGCCTTGGTGAGCCCCTGGCCTTTCCTTTGACACACCTGACACGTGATCGATCACGAGGGTCCGAATGCCAAGTTCCACTCAAAGAAGTAGAAGAGAGATTCACACTGAAATGCCTGTATAGCCTGACCATTAGATTCAGTCGCAGCAACTCCACTTAAGACAGCTACCAAACCTCAGGTCCAGAGGCCAGATCTGCCCCTTCTGGAGCCCCATAATGGCCCCCCCAAACATCCAGATAGCCACACTGCCTCCCCCCCCCCAAAAAAAAACTTCCAGATGGCCACGCTACCTTCTCCTGACCTCCCTCTTCCTACTACCAATTGTTTAGTGGTTTCCTGGCTTTGGCACAGTTCCCCACTGCCCATGCTAAAAAAAATACTTCTAATGATTAGTTGCTGCCAGTACAAGCTTTACAGTAAAACACAGAAACAGAGCGAGTCAGAAGGGGCCTCCTGGGCCATCTAGTCTGACCCCCCAGCTCCAGCCGGCTCTGCTCATGACATGTCTGTCACGGTGGAACTTCTTGCAATTTTGACCCCATCCTCTTTACATTCAGCCCTGCCTACCAGGGGATGCTTTGTGCTCCTGAGCGCTTTTCTGGAATCTGGCTCTTGGGCTGACGGAAGGTCATTGCCCTCGAGTTAAAGGGCAGCTGGGCAAGGAGCAGCCCCCCCCCCCGGCCATCCTGAAGGACTGTGGCAGGGCAGAGGATCCCCAAACAAACAGGCCTCCGGTTTGACATGGTCTGTGACTTCACACGCACATCTGGATGGTGTTTTGGGTGTCAGTAGATGGTTTTAGCACCTGTCCTTCCCCAGCCTTTCTCTATTGACATTCTAACTGATTATTTTAGATTTGTGCTTTATTTGTCCGAACCTCGGGTTATACGTAACCTGTACATCTGCAAAGTATCGGAATAATCAATTTGCCATGGACTTTTTCACTGAGGTCTTAAGCACGGCGAAGCTTTCTGGCAATTTCCCTTTGGCCCCTGTAGGATAATACGCTCTTGCTTCTCTTGGTGCTGTGTTTTGGCGATTGTAGGGTAGAGAACCTCTCGCCTTTGTCTGTCTGTGTTTTTATGGCAGGCTTCGTGTTTTCCACACAGGAGCAAGATTTAAAGAAAGCAATAAAGGCGTTGGATCACCAAATCGAAGAGCTGTACCAGCGCCTGCCAGATCACACTCTCTGCGTCATTCTGTTACCAGGCACAGACAGGTGAAAATCCCGTAGGACGTGGTGTTTTTTCTTCCCCTTTTCACTTAATTCTAATACTGTCACCCCCCTTTTGAGTTGTCTGTATTGTAGCTGAGGGCCACAACATATTTAATATTCTTGCCCTTTCCGTTTTTTGTTTTGTTTTGCTTTGTTAGCTGCCTTAGATGCTAAGGATTAAAAACCGTCAGAAGCAAACTCCCTAGTTTTCGGCCTGCAAAGTTACCAACAGAAAACTAATTGGGTAGTTGGGTTACCAGGTAGAACTGCTCGTTAACTTTGGCCTTGGGGTCTGTCAGGTCTGAGGCAGGTCAAAACAACATCCCCTTTGAAGGACAAAAGCTTGTCTGGATAGATCAACAGGAGGCTGCCTCCATCCAGAGTTTATTTGGCATTACGTCCCCGACGGATCGCCTTCCTTGGACTTGAGAACCCTAACCCAGGAATGGAATCAGTTATTTGCCTGGGAGTCTGACTTGTTCAGAGAGCGGCAAGGCAGGGGATCCCCGGTTAGTCCTAACGCTGAGCAAACCACCAGCAGTTTCTGGTGGTGGGAAAGCTGGCTTCCCATGATGTCTGAACCGGGCCCGATGTGTCAGCCTGCAGCAGCTTCTCCCGCCTCCTTTTGTGCCATGCCGTGTACAAGACGCTCCTTCACAGATTTCAGAACCGATGGGTGATTCTGCTTGTTCCCTGTTAAGAGCATCTCCGTACTTTTACTCAGCAGGGCAACAAAATTCGAAGGGGGGGGGGTAGGCTTTGACCTCCTTTAGCCACACGGATGGGGCTTAAAGTCTTCTGGGGGAGGGCTTGGCGGCCTGACTGCCTGGGTGGAAGCCCCGCTTTCACTGATTCCTCGATCGCCCGGATCGGGAGAAGCCCTCCCCTTGAGTGCACTCGTATCAGCGAGCCCAGCTGGTACCCCCCGGATCTGCCGGGTGGTATTGTTTGCCACTTCGTGGCTTTTCTGTATCTTCTGGGAAGGAAGCGTTGCAGGGCTTTAGTCTCCTATTATTTCTCAGGGACTTAGAGGCAGTGAGAAGGGCGGGTGGGGGGGATAACACCCTCGCAGCTAACCCGGCTTGAATGTGGAAGGAGGCCCGCTACCGCATCTTCGTTTGTGTGCAGTAATCCTTTTAATGTGCTGCAGCGGTCGCGACTGGTCCTCTCTCTCCCCTCTGCCTTCTCCCCTGTCCCCTAAGTCTTTGCTAAGCTCCATGGGCAACACCAGAGTAGCTTAATCAGGCACGGGGGAGGCCTGAATCCAGGGATAAGCTGTTGCAGCCCTTTTTAATTCGCTTTGCTCCATCCTTTGATTCTAAGCCCTTGCTGCTGATTATTTGAAGTCTGTGTGTGTGTGTTTAGTCATTTTGCTTTAGATAAGCTTCAGCTCCTACACAGGATTTGATTCATTCTCACATTTTCCTGTTCTTTGTTAACACTTGAAAGCGTGCCAGCGAGTCCTGCCACACCAAGCACACGCATGCATACACTCAGTCGCGAGGGCAGACGCGCTTCGTCTCCCACTCTCTCCTCTGCCGGTTCCCATCTGTGGTGGAACTGGGCGCAAAGCGCGTGCTGTGGGCAGGCAAGAGTGTCTGCCTCCACAGACGGACTGGGACTTCAGGGCTGGCTTTGTCTGGGTGGCCGTTTCGCCCCAACCCTCCTCAGCTCTGCTCCAGAACAGCCCCCGCACTAAAGGTCCTTCTGATAGAAGGGGAAACTTCCGAGGACCGCCAGTTTTGGAGCCGGCCCCCAAAGCTGTGGCCCTCCGCCAGGAGCCTGCTCTGCAGCTGCAAATGTGTGAGTCTGCTTTGTCCCTTCAGAGCCTCTTCGGCTGTTCTCTGCAGGCAACACTCTGGCTTCGAAGGTTGGCGACGGGGCTTCTCGCCACTCTTTCCTTATGCAGAATGATCCCTTCATCTCCTCACCTTTGCCTGACTTTGACTTAATGAAAAAGCCCCAAGCATGGCAGCATTTCTTCATTGGGGGGGGGGGGTGCTCCACCCCCACCCCCCGCTTGCTGGGGCCCAGTTCTGCAACCTCTCTCTCTGTGTGGCAGCGACCAACCTGGATGGACCTGGCCGCCGGGCTGTAACTGGAAGAGTCAATACTTGCAGGGCCAATGCGTTCGCATGGAGCAGGAGTGGGGAACCCTCTGCCTGGGGGCCAGATCTGGCCCCACACAGCCCCATCCTCTCTCCCCCAACCACTGGTCACTTAGTGGCTTCCTGGCCTTGGTGTCAACTTTCTCCCATCCTGAAAGGTTGAAATGCTGCTCTTCAAGTCTAGTTTCCATTTTTTTTTTTTTTTGGATTAATTTTTATTCTAAAAAAACCTAAAACCAAAAAAAAAAAAAAAAATCAATCATCAAAAATATTGGACCTGTTGGGGGGCATTTTTATTTTATTTTATTTTATTATTTTTAAAGTCTAGTTTCCTGACAGCAAAAGCTGGAAGGTAAAAAAACCCGCTAGTACTTTTTGGTCTCTCTCTGGAAGGCCAGCTCCCAGGAGCTGCTCCAGAGTTGGATTTGGCACTCAGGCCGAGAGTGGTGCCCAGGACCTATGCCGGCCTATCTTTACTGCTTTGGTGAACTGCCTTTCTTGGGATCTCAGGCAGCAATGCCAGATCAAGGAAGGGGTCTTGGGTTTATGGTGGCTGGCCCAATGAAAATGTCCACCCACTACACAGCTGCTGTGAAAAAAGGCCAGGGCGACTTATTTTATACAGTTATGTGTATTTTATATTGTTATTTATGTATTTTAATTTATTTACTTGTAAGCTGCCCCGAGGCTTTGGCGAATGGGGCGGCCTAGAAATTTTCTAAATTAACAAACAAACTCCACGTTAGGCATGATTAGGAACAGAATTGCAAATAGAACTGCCACGATCACACTCCCCAAATGCCAGTCCTTGGAGTGCCCACACTAGGAGATTGTGTACCCTTCCAGTCACTTTACCTGAAAAACTTCTTTATGGAGCTGGGAAAAATACAGAGAAAGGCATTACAAATGATCAGAGGGCTGGAGCACCTCTCCTAAGAGGAGTGGCTGCAGCAGCTGGGACTGCCGGGTTTGGAAAAAAGGCACGTACGGGAAGACATGGTGGAGGTCTTTAAAATTAAGCATGGTGTGGGGAAAATTGAGCAGGAGAGATTTTTCTCCCCCATAGCACTAGAACCTGGGGTGATCCCATGGGGCTGATTGTTGGGAGATTTGGGATAGGTAAGAAGCAAGTAGCATAGCTTTTCTTGCCATATGAGGCGAGACGGAGGGAACTGGGCCTTTTCAGCCTGGAGGAGAGGAGACTCTGAGGGGATCTCTTGGCGACATGCAGGTATGTGACGGGGCGTCACACGGAGGTGGGTAGAGACCTGCTTTCCCCTGCGGAGGAAGGCAAGATGTGCCCCAGCAGAGCCAAGCTTAGGGAACCAAGGTTCAAGGTGGATGCCAGGAAATGCTTCCTGACCGTCAGGACCCCGAGGGTGTGGAATGGGCTTCCACGGGAGGTGGTTGAGGCCCCATCGGTGCGGGTGTTCAGGGAGAGGCTAGACTTGCACATGGTGGGCATGTCATGAGCGGAGTTGGCCGGAGCCGGGGGTCAGACTAGATGGCCCGGGAGGGCCCTTCTGACTCGCTCTGTTTCCGTGTACTACAGAACAAATGGATTAAGCTGGACTTGCTAGCACATCTCCTTCAGGGGCAGCACATGGTGGGGCTGAGGTGAGCGTCAGAAGGTTGCTGCAAGCGCCCCCCCCGGTGCAATGTTGGGAGAAAATGTTTGCCTTCGTGCCCTTCAGCTTTCTTTGGTGCAACTTGGAAGAAACCTGCCTTGCATTTTTTAAAAAGTGTTTACTCGGCCCTCTCTCATGCTAAGGAGCAGGCATGGCCTTCGAATCAAAGTAACATGTCTCCCCGTCACTTACTCTGCAGGCTTTCTGAACCGCTTCCTGGGTTGAGTCTGCTGGGAATAAAAGGAGAAGACACAGCTTGCAGCTCCTCGTAACATGCACGGTTCTGACGCCCTAGTTTTGTGGAAAACGTCGACTGTCTTCCTTTAGAGCTGTGCCATGCACACCAGCAGAATTCCCTCCTGTAATGTTTTAAACATCAAATATTAAACCATTTAAAGAAGCGGATTCTGTAGTGAGCGGTTTCTTCCTTTCTTGGTCTCTGCTGGCAGTGAGCCAGATGCTGGGGGGCCCGGACTGTGTGGTGGCGGATGGCATGCTTTGTCCCTGACCACAAATGGCACCCCCAAATTCCCCACGGTATTTTTTAATAGCAGCATTTCAGGAGGAAGGGGGCATTCTGCTAAATGTTTGCCAAAGGCGAGTACAAAAGTCACAGTTTGGAAGGAAGCACAGAAATGAAAATTTCTCAGTGTATGGAATTTCGGACCCTTTGATGCTGAACAGACACCCAGTTCCCACTGATGGACCACAGAAGTGGTGCGCCCAGAGAGGGAAATGGGAAGGAGCATGATTACGTTCATGTACCACTTTTCCCCCTCTTGAAGGTGGCTTACAGGGCTCACTTCCCCTCTATTTTATCTTCACAACAACAACCCTGTGAGGGAGGTGAGGCTGAGAATCCTTGGCTAACCCAGAGTCACCCAGTGAGTGGGGGACTTGGACCTAGTTCTCCTGGGTCCTCATCCTGCCATCTCAGTGCTACACTCCTCTGATTCTCAGCGGAGAAGACCAAACTTCTATTATTCCCTCAATAATATTGAACGATATTATACCTGCAGCAGAATATTGCCTAAAATCCTCCATCTGTGACTTTGGGCCAGCGACCGACTCTCATCCCAACCTCTCACAGGGTTGTTATTGCGGGATAAGATCAAGAGCAGCAGGAGAATGATGGAAGCTGCTTTGCATTTATCGGTGCGGGGGAAGCAGGATATGCATCTAATAAATAAAAACGAATAATAAATACATCTTATTTGATGACTTGGAAAGGGGGAGCGGCATTCTGTCAGCTTTCACCCTGGAGTGTGGAGGGGCAGAAACTTCTCCCGCAGTTCTCCAAGAACACAAAACACAAGGGGGAAAACAAGAAAGCATCCTGGAAAATTTTCTGAAACATTGACCTATTTCTGCACAACTGGCACACCTTGGCCTGTATGAATGTTCGGTTTGGAAACGGAGGGGCCGTTTTGGCATTCAGCCAACTCTTCTCAAGCATTAGCCCCCAGTCGTGCAAACAGCAGTGATGCCCTGCTTCAAAAAGCGCAGCTGGGGAAGGCAGAGGCTGCCCACTTTTCTGCTCTCCAGACCCATAATTGAACTTTTCGTAAATGTTCTTAGAATTCCTTCTCTCCCTCCCTCCCTCCCTCCCTCCCTCCCTCCCTCCCTCCCTCTCTCTCTCTCACACACACACACACACACACACACACACACAAGCACAAGTACATACCATTCAGCCTGAAGGAAGTAGCACACTCCAGAGAAAAACACTTAACTTTACCCGGGGGAAAATGGAATCTGTGATTCACACATTGTGGTCCTTTCCCATCTTCTTCATAAAAGGAAAGGTTTCGACTTGAGCTAGTGGAGGAAGGGCAGGATTTGGGGGGGGGGGGGGAGAAGGAACTTACCCAGGCAGGAATGTGTAAAGACGGGAAATTAAGAATCCTGCAGGACTGCCACTGCCTTCGCTCCCCCGCCCACGTCTCTGAAAAAATGTCTGTAAAGAGCTGCATTCACAGCCGAAGTGAGCAGGAGGTGGCAGCCCACCAGTGCCGGAGCCCCAGATCTCCGGGAGGCGTTCTGCCGTCTGTGGGCCCCTGCTGGGAGATCCAGGGCCCCTGCGGAATTCTGCATGGTCCACTCCTCTGCTTTATCCAGATTTTAGCTCACCTTCTTCTGTCTCCATGCCTTGAATCGTTCTGCCTGAATCCCCCCAGCCACAAAATCACATACCCTCCTTTTCCCTGCCCATACACCTTTTGAAAAAAAACCAAAATAGCTCTGCTCACACACAGACGTGAGAGCGAAGGTCTATTCATATGAACATTTTTCTATGGTTCTGAGCCTGCACCCAATCCTTTTGGTACCTGGCTGCATCACTGATGCACAGGGCACCTTCCCCCGTTCCCCAAAGTGAACATCATTTTTAAAAGTAGACAAGGAAGAAGAATTTCTGAGGACCGCTCCTCTCTCAAGCCACCCGGGGGGGCAAAACATCATTTCCCAAGAAGGATTTATTTTCAAAAGCAAACACTTTGTCTCACAGGCACAATTTTTCATAATAGAATAGTAGCAGAGTTGGAAGGGGCTTACCAGGTCATTGACCCAAGGCCTCACTCTGCTCCCACAGGAGGTCACCCACCCGGGTAAAGGCCTGGAAGAAGCTGTCCCATCTCGCCAGCGCTTGCAAGCTGACAGGTGTCAGGCAAGACTTTGTTCGCAAGAAGCAACCAATGAGTCCTCCTGTTGGAGGGACCAGGAGATCCGCCATTAGCACAGGCAAGCCCTACTAAAGCTCCTTCCCCACGCCCCCCCCCCCCCGTGAAACTCTGGCCAGTCTGTTGCAAGGCACCCTGCGCTCCTCCGGGAGACGGCCACCTGCAGCCTGCTTGCCCCTTGCTTCCAGCACGAGCCAGGACACGGATTGTGGCGGAAGGACTATTTGTGGCGCTGTATGCTTGCCCAGAAGGGGCCCCCTGCGGACCCAGGTTCCCCTTCTTGCTACCCACGGAGGCGGCATGCCCACGTGGACCACAGTATCTGAGTTGATTCTAGCCGGGCATTTCTGTTTGAGCTTGATCTGGACATTTCCCCCCAATCTGCAGAACAAGCCACCACCAGGGGACAGGCGATGATGCCTAGAGAAGTCTGCACTCTCCGATTCTGCTGGCCCATCCCTACGGATCAGCCCCTTTCTGAGGGTGCGGGGCAGCTTCTTGGACTCACCTGGTGCAGGAGCTGGCGGTTTTGCAGGACGGCCCATCATGCAGTGGGGAAATGGCTCCATCTCTGCAGCCAGAACACCACCTGCCTGCTTTGGCGCCTTTAATAAGAATGTAAGAACACTACCAGATCAACCCATGGATCTGCCCAGTCTAGCATTCTGGTTCTGCTGTGGGTAACCAGCTGCCTCGGGAACTCTCCCACCCATGTTCCTCAGCAACTGGTGTTTGCAGATCTACCACATGTGATACTGCCGGCTGTAATATACACTTTATGGCTAGTAGCCATGAACAGTCTTCCCCTTGGTCAAATAATCAAGGTTCATTATTACACTGTATTTATACTCCGTCTTTCATCTTCTTGCAAGGAGTCGACGGCAACTCGAAGGTTGTTTCCTCATCTTTTTATCCTCACAAAAACAACCCTGTGAAGTAGGTAAGGCTATGTATCCATGCCAGGCCCAAAGCTGCCCAATAGGCATCATGGCTGAGGGGGAATGAGGGCAGATCTCCTGCTTTCAACCAATGAACACACCTATCTCAACGCAGAGGCAGCTTCATTGGCCCATCCATTCAACTACTGGCTGAGTTGGGCCAACTTCTACCTCTCAGCCTAGCCTCCTTCACAGGAACATTCTAAGGATTGATTTGTTATTTATTATTATTTATTTCTTTAGGAAGCTTCAATGCCGCCCCATTCGCCGAAGCCTCGGGGCGGCTCACAACAATAAATAAATAATCATAATACAAAAACAATATAATTTGAGATGACCTGGCCAGAAATATAAAATAAATAAATAATAGCAACAATTTTATTTATTTATTTATTTAAAACATTTCTATGCCGCCCCCATTGCAACAAAGCATCGCAACAAAATTAAAATGACGTTTAAATAAAAAGGTCTTCGCCTGGCGCCGAAAAACAAATAACGACGGATGAAAATGGCAGAGACACACACACCCCCTTTGAGCATTTTGGAAGAAAGAAAAGATAGGAAGTAAATGAATAGATGATGCGATGACTAATTCATAGCCAGTCATTCATAACCAGCTTCTAATTACAGTGATATTTCTCACCACAAAATAATGTTCTGGGACTTGCGGGTCTTTTTTGAACATATCCCACATTTTCGTCTCCGCATAGCTGTGGAAAACAAGCGGCCGAGCCTTCCGTCAACATGCTGGTGAGGGAATCGCGGCGGCAAAACTTGTGGATGTCTGTTGTGTGGAGGTGAGGAGAGCCACGCCTGCTAATGTTTTTGCACCTACAAAGCTGTTAAATGTACCTGTTTTCTGCTAAAAATGCCCCCCCCCAAGCATTTTGTAGCTTTCTACTGAGAACCCAGTTTTAATGGCTGGTGACTCAGAGAATCGCTTTACCGAACTCATGTGACTGATTGCTTTGCTTCCCCAGTCATAATGCAACCCCGGGAGGAGACATGGGCAAACCAGGCCAGAACTGGAGGGCAGCGAACATCTGTAGGAGGCTCAGCAAGACAGCCCATGCTTGCTGATCAACCATTTTACCAAGGAGGACAGGAGGTGTGGCAGGACTGTGGGTGGCCAAGATGTGTGAATCACACGTTCTGGCTATTGGCCCATGAGCCTCCCTCCGAAAGGTTTGAGGTTTCACAATCCTCATTTCAGGAAGGTTCTCATCTGCCACAGGTCAGGGCTTCCTGCCAGCTCTTGAATCGGTTCTTTGCTGCAATTAGCAGCTGGTTATGAATGACTGGCTATGAATTAGTCATCTCAAGAGCTCTTCATTGCATCCCTACCTTGTCTTTCTTCCATGAAGCTCAACCGGTTGCGCATGTCTGCCATTTTCACTCGAACACCCATCTCTCACCTTAATAAAGGGCGCACTGTTTGGGAGACCATAAGCTTCCTCAGAGTCCCAGCTCTGAGTTCCTGAGATCCCAGAACTGGGGGTCTGACAGCCTAGCCCCTGTGCCCTCTCAGTCAGCATGGAAGGAAACAAACAACGGTCTAGAGAAAACACAGAGTGTGAAATCCAACCGTGGTCGGCAGCAGTACCACCTCTCTTTGCTCCTGCCGTTGGTTATTTGTAAGCCTCTGAACTCAGAGGCTTATGTGCATGTCATGGGGGCAGTGGGATTCTGCCCCGACTCATATATCCATACAAGAGCATGGACTGAAGGCACTAAGGCAGCTGCCACACTGAAGCTAAGCAAGTCTGGAGCTGGCACAAAACTGGATGGG